AACCGAGGCCTCTCACTTGACACCTACACCTAAGGGAAATACCCGACTCCGTTGCCAAGGAGAGACAGCCGTTTTCCGGCATTAGCCACGGAATTCAAGGAAGACAAGACTAGCAAAGTGGGCCAATCAAGCTTGTAGCTTCGAGATCTAGAGCTTTAATCCCTTCGAGAAATTCTTCGCTGGGGTGGAGATTGTCTTACCTTTTCTTAAGGCTTGATGAGAAATATATCCGACACTCGGCATGCCGAGGAGAACAGGATGCTGTGATTGGCTGAGAGCTCTAACGATGGGACCCGGATTTGCGGATATACATAGGATGTACGGATTTACGGGCTAATCTGATACGCATGAAACTGACATTGTATAAATAGTTGGGTTGGACCAATTTAGCTTTTAGATATGCTATTTCCATGGTCGAGTTGTTTTCTTTGAAAGGTTAAGCAGATCGTGCAGAATGGACACCCCCTCATCCGGCACGATCGACCTCGAACACGGCGATAGAGGGCTACGGAAGCGACTAACCCTCACGTTTCGAAATGTCAGTGTCCATGTCACGGCGCCAGATGCCGCCTTGGGGGATACGCTTCTCTCCGTGGCTGATCCGCGGCAGTACCTGGGGTTCTTGAAAGGGAGTCGGCCGAAGAGGGTATGTCAACACTGAGTTTTTTAAGGCAAATGCTAACGGAATAGACTATCCTGAAAGATGTCAGTGGGCAGGTCAAACCGGGTGAAATGGTAAGGTTAACCCCAATGCCGTGGTGATGCAACTAACCTGTCAGTTACTGGTGCTCGGTCGTCCCGGGTCAGGATGTACCTCGCTTCTTCGCGTCCTTTCCAACGACCGCGAATCCTTTGACGAAGTCGTCGGCGAAACACGATACGGGAGCATGGACCACATCGCTGCGAGACGCTTCCGCCAGCAGATCATGTTCAACAACGAGGACGACGTGCATTTCCCCACGCTGACGGTGAACCGCACGATGAAGTTTGCACTGCGGAATAAGGTGCCCCGGGAACGGCCGGAGGGACAAGGGTCGAAGGAGTTTGTGCAGGAGCAACGGGACAGTATCCTCACTGCGCTAGGGATTCACCACACGACAAAGACGCTGGTGGGAAACGAGTTTATCCGCGGTGTCTCTGGTGGGGAACGAAAGCGCGTGTCGCTCGCCGAGGTGATTGCCGGACAGAGCCCGATTCAGTTCTGGGACAATCCCACCCGGGGCCTCGACTCCAAGACGGCTGTTGAGTTCGCCCGGCTGCTGCGCCGCGAGGCGGACATTAACCAGAAGACGATGGTGGCTACCATGTACCAGGCTGGCAACGGCATCTACAACGAGTTCGATCAGGTTCTGGTTCTAGCTGATGGACGGGTGACCTACTACGGACCGCGACACCTGGCAAGGAGCTACTTTGAGGATATGGGCTTCGTCTGTCCGAAGGGAGCCAATATCGCTGATTTTCTGACCTCCGTGACGGTGCTCACCGAGCGCATTGTACGGGCGGGGATGGAGGACAAAGTTCCCAGCACCGCGGAGGAATTCGAGGCTCGCTACCGCCAGAGCGACATCTGCCAGAAAGCAACGGAAGGATTTGACCCGCCGGAGAAACTCACCCACGAGGTGGACGAGCTGACTGCCGCCGTGGCCAGCGAGAAACGTAAGCGGCATCTGCCCCGGACTCCAAGTGTCTATACCACAAGTCTCTGGGAGCAGATACAGGCCTGCACCCTCCGCCAGTTCCAGATCATGGCAGGAGACAGGCTGTCCCTCATCATCAAGGTGGTATCAGCTATCCTGCAGGCCCTGGTATGCGGAAGTCTATTCTACAACCTCAAAGACGACAGTTCATCGATCTTCCTGCGCCCAGGTGCGCTCTTCTTCCCAGTCCTCTACTTCCTCCTCGAGTCCATGTCCGAAACGACCGCCTCCTTCATGGGCCGGCCCATCCTCTCCCGCCAGAAACGCTTCGGATTCTACCGCCCGACGGCCTTCTGCATCGCCAACGCCATCACCGATATCCCAGTGGTCCTCGTACAGGTCTCCTGCTTCTGCCTCATCCTATACTTTATGGCCGCGCTGCAGATGGACGCCGGTCGGTTCTTCACCTATTGGATCATCGTCATCGCCAACACACTGTGTTTCATGCAGATGTTCCGCGCCGTTGGCGCACTCTGCAAGCGATTCGGCAACGCATCCAAGATCACCGGGCTGCTGTCGACCATTTTTTTCGTCTATGGGGGTAAGCATGCCCATTTCCCTTTCTAGGGATGTCACTAACAAGCAAGGCTACCTCATCCCCTACGAGAAAATGCACGTCTGGTTCCGCTGGATCTTCTATCTCAATCCTGGCGCGTACGCCTTCGAGGCCCTCATGGCTAACGAGTTCGTTGGTAAATCGCTTCAGTGCGTGCAGCCGGACTATATCCCCTACGGGGCTGGATATCCCGGCTCGGAATCGCCGTACCGGGGGTGCTCGATCCCAGGCAGCGAGGGTGACACCATCCTCGGGGCGGCGTATATCCGCGCACAGTACAATTACTCGTGGCATCATATCTGGCGGAGCTTCGGGGTGATTGTTGGATTCTGGATTTTCTTTATTGTCTTGACGGCATCAGGGCTCGAGTTGCTTAATAGCCAGGGGGGATCGTCCGTGTTGCTGTACAAGCGGGGGAGCCAGAAGACTAAATCAGAAAACACTCCGACCCCGGTGCAGGAGGCCGTGTTGGCGTCGCATGTCAAGCAGTCGACCTTCACCTGGCATGACCTCGATTACCATGTCCCCTACCAAGGACAGAAGAAGCAGCTCCTGGATAAGGTGTTTGGGTTCGTGAAGCCAGGGAATCTGGTTGCGCTAATGGGGTGTTCCGGTGCGGGAAAGACGACGTAAGTAACGTCCTCGCTCCACAAACACAACGTAGCTAACATTGGCAACAGACTTCTTGATGTGCTGGCGCAACGCAAGGATAGCGGTGAGATCTACGGATCTATTCTGATTGACGGCCGGCCGCAAGGAATTAGTTTCCAGCGCACGACGGGATACTGCGAGCAGATGGACGTGCACGAGGCTACAGCCACGGTCCGGGAGGCATTGGTTTTCTCGGCGCTCCTGCGCCAGCCGGCTCATGTTCCTCGGGAAGAGAAACTGGCGTACGTAGATCACATTATTGATCTGTTGGAGCTGCGCGATATCAGTGACGCCCTGATTGGAGGTAGGTACACTGGCCATATTGCCGACGCATGCTGACGTGCGACAGTCCCGGGCGCCGGGTTGAGCATCGAACAGCGGAAGCGAGTCACGCTCGGCGTGGAACTGGTCGCCAAACCTAGCCTTCTGTGAGTGGGACAATCAAGTGACAGAGCAATCTAAAGTTGTGACCTCAAGCAAATTACTGACAGCAGCGTTGCGTGCGCATTAGTTTCCTGGATGAACCCACGAGTGGCCTGGACGGGCAGTCCGCGTACAATATCATCCGGTTCCTGCGGAAACTGGTCGACGGCGGCCAGGCAGTCCTGTGCACGATCCACCAGCCCTCGGCCGTTCTCTTCGAGGCCTTCGACTCGCTGCTACTCCTTGCTCGCGGAGGAAAGATGGCGTACTTTGGCGAAACGGGCAAAGACTCGCAGATTGTGCTGGACTACTTCGCTCGGCATGGAGCCCCCTGTCCTCCTGACGAGAATCCAGCAGAGCACATCGTCGAGGTGATCCAAGGCAACACGGACAAGCCCATCGACTGGGTACAGGTATGGAACCAGTCCGAGGAGAAACAGCGCGCGCTCGCCCAGTTGCAGACACTCAACGCCCTCGGCAAAGCCGACACCGACTACGTCGAGGACACAGCCGACTACGCGACGTCGAAATGGTTCCAGTTCACGATGGTGACGAAGCGGCTGATGGTGCAGCTGTGGCGGTCGCCAGACTACGTGTGGAACAAGATCATTCTGCATGTATTTGCAGCGCTGTTCAGCGGGTTCACCTTCTGGAAGATCGGAGACGGCACGTTTGACCTGCAGCTGCGGCTGTTTGCCATTTTCAATTTCATTTTCGTCGCACCGGGGTGTATCAACCAGATGCAGCCGTTCTTCCTGCATAACCGGGATATTTTCGAGGCGAGAGAGAAGAAGGTAGCGTCGCAGACCTACTCCTTGACTCTGTTGTCAACAGTGCTAAAGTACTATAGTCCAAAATCTACCACTGGCTCGCCTTCATCGGCGCGCAGACGGTGTCCGAAATCCCCTACCTCATCCTCTGCGCCACCCTCTACTTCGCCTGCTGGTACTTCACCGCGGGATTCCCCACCACGGCCAGCATCTCGGGACACATGTACCTGCAGATGATCTTCTACGAGTTCCTGTACACATCCATCGGACAGGGGATCGCGGCGTACGCGCCCAACGAGTACTTCGCAGCGGTGATGAATCCGGTGCTGATCGGCGCGGGGCTGGTCAGCTTCTGCGGCGTTGTGGTGCCCTTCTCGCAGATGCAGCCGTTCTGGCGGGACTGGCTGTACTACCTCGATCCGTTCACGTATCTGGTTGGCGGCCTGCTGGGTGAGGTCCTCTGGGATGTGGAGGTGCGCTGTGATCCGTCGGAGCTGGTGCGGTTTAGTGCGCCGGTGGGACAGACGTGCGGGGAGTACATGGCTGCGTTCCTGGCTGAGAAGCCGGGTTATCTGGTTGATGGGAATGCGACGATGTGTGAGTTCTGTCAGTATTCGACTGGGGCGGACTATGCGCGGACGTTTAATCTGAAGGAGCGGTATTACTCATGGAGAGATGTAAGCCCTTCCCTGTTCAGGATGACAAGAGAGATACTGACGATGCAGACCGGGATTACGGCGCTGTTTTGCATCTCAAGCTATGCGATGGTATTTTTGATGATGAAGCTGAGGAGCAAGAAGACCAAGAGTGCGCGGTCGGAGTAGAGAATCTTATAGACAATGTATATAAACAAAGATAATATAGACAGAAGAAAATCTATAGATATAGATGAGGGCGATAAAACTACAACCTCATCCGCGCAGCCGCCGGTGAGCGCACCCGCGCAACATCAACCAACCTGCCGAGAATAACATACTCCAGCTTCAGCTTGATGCTATACACCAACGCCTTGAACGTAACCTGAAAGGTAAAGAACCCCAGATACTGCACAACCACGACAGAAACATCCAACATCATGATAATCATATTTATGACGATCAGCTGCACAAGCACCCCATGCGAGCGACGATCCGCATCCATCTTCAGCAACGGCACCGCCTTGTAGATATACAGCCCGGAGAGCAGCAATTCCTGCAGACAGAAGCCAACAAGCTGTACGCGCTCCATGACGTCGAACGCGGTAGCCACGCCATTGGACCCGCGCAGGGCGTTCGTCGCGAACTCCAGCGCCGTGCAGGAGATGTGCAGGACTGCCCCGTCCACGATGATCAGGTATAGCAAGACTTTCAAGACGCGGCGGTTATCGAGCACTAGATTCAGCCGCGACCAGAGGACGAGCGACTGCCCCGTGACCATTCCCGACCAGCCGACATCGAGGATGGCGATTTCAAGGAAGTAGTTTGTAAAGGTGATGCTGTAGATCTTGAGGACGTAGCCGAGGCCGAAGGGAATGATGCAGAAGGAGGCCACGAGGAGGGACCAGAAGTAGGGTCCGGAGTAGCGCTTGAAGGTGTTGAAGCAGAGGACGATCAGGTCGAGGGCGTTGCACCAGGCGACGGCGATGAAGGTTGGGTAAACATATTGCTGGACGATGGGGGAGTGGAGGTGGTGGTCGAGCCCTAGACCTGTCGAGGTGGTATTGAAGGTAGGCATGTAGCCATGCCAGAGGGAAAGGAGAGAGAAAAAGTGGAGATGAGAATGGGGACAAAAAATGGGGATCTGGAGTCGGTTATCAATAATTCTCTGGGGCTTGTCTCCCCTCGGTACCGGCCAGCCAATTGCGTCATGCCCAGTTGATCCTATGGGGCTGATAAAGTGTTGTGAGTGGCTGGAGATTGTGGGCTGACCAATCAGATTGTGCTGATACCATGTCTAGGCCAATGATAAGCCAGGACCTCGGTAGTAAGCTAGGTATTATTGTAGGGTGGTAAGTAAGAGGTAGAGAGCTATAGCTATTAGAGGCGGGTACTTCAGCTATAAATGTGTTGACGACAGTGGTGGTATCACCATTAGCTGATTGTTGACATCCTGTAGGCTCTCACTGTCTACTGACAAAGACTCGCGGCACTTGAGGATACTCGGTACTTGGGAACTTTGACATTGGTCTTATAGCTATACTCTGTAAGATGTCAAAGTCTTCAGATTATATCTAAGTTGCCTGGTGCCTTGATGATAGATCTGATCCATGTGGAGCATGGACGCTGGGGTAGAGCTCAAGGTGTAGAGGATCTCAATTGTTTTAGTCTATGGAGTACAGTGGAGAATGTCTTTGATATGGAGTATACTTTAGCGACGCTCCATCTGTTCAATTCTAAGTACCCTTTGGAGTCCAAATTGTGATCTCCATATCCTCTTTGTCTTGCAGAGTGATTGTATGGTATAAATCTGGGAGCCTCATTAGGCCGCTTCCATACCATACAGCTTGTATACAGATACAACCTTAGTTATGAATGACCAGGTATACTGTTCACAGCACTAGTTCCTAACCTAACTATGAATAGCTAAGACCTCTCAGTACTCCATTTGCTTATATGGAGGCCTTGAAACGCACTGGAAGATGAGAGTATGAATTTAACACTTACATGCACAATGGGGATTGGCAGCTAAGCAAGGTAAGTAAAAAGTGTAAACTAGGCTTGAGGCCCTTAGTTAGTGCAAACAATCCTGTAGAACAAACTCTGGCCATTGTTTTTGTGGACAAAGGACTAACCTCTTCTTAGTCAATGTGATAGGGCTTGTCATACCAACACGGCTCTCATACTCAGAGGTGGGATGACGCATGTATTAATAATGCTGGACTTGTTTACGATATACCTTAAATTAAATATTAAGCTAGGCTTTGCCCAAGGAACCAAAGGCAAGTGAGGACTGATGAGATAGAGCTATTGAGGAGGTCTCCATAGCCTCCACGCTGTGAAATGATTGGAAACTATTGCAGGAAAGATAACTGCATACTAAGAAATATACATCGCCTCGGATGTATTCCCGTTTCTGCACAACTTAAACTACTTGGATTGGCAGAGACATGCGGGACTAATAAGATAGTGGCCGTGGTGCCGTCCGTTAATCTGTTTTAATCTATTTGGTTTTCTTTCTCCGTCCATCCGATGCTGCACGTGCGCCAGAATATCCCCGAGATCAACATCGCTTATCCTGATGTGGTACTCTCCTCACTATGCCCTTGTTTTTCCTGACAGCGTTACATTGAATTCACTACGACAGATGGCTTGCTTAAATTCAGGACAGCCCCCCAGCATTGAAACTAGATAACTATCAACCATCACCATGCATCTTCTACCTCTATTTCTCCTGCCCCTGACAGCCCAGGCCATCAACATCGTCTCATCCAACGACGATGGATGGGCCGAGATTAACATCCGCCAATTCTACAAGGCCCTGAGCGCAGCTGGACACTCCGTCGTTGTGTCTGCGCCAGCCGAAAACCAGAGTGGAACAGGTAGTCCCGTTTTCCCTCATCACCGGCTTAATCGCAGCTGACCAACCCAGGCTCCTCCGACAAAACACCCACCACCCTGACGGAACCATGCGAGTTCAACAGCTGTCCATCCGGCAGTCCCGCGACAGGCTTTAATGCCTCCGACCCCCGACTCAACTATGTCAACTCCTACCCCGTCACCTCAATGAAATACGGCATCAGCACCGCGGCGCCCCCGTTCTTCAACGGCGCCCCTCCAGCCCTAGCCGTCTCCGGCCCCAACGTCGGCTCGAACCTCGGCCTGGCCGTGTACTTCTCCGGCACAGTCGGCGCAGCACACTACGCCGCCGAGGCTGGAATCCCGGCGATCGCCTTCTCGGGAAGTTCCGGCTCGCCGACGGCATGGAATGCAGCCGTGCCGGCGTACAGCCAGGTATATGCGCAGCTGGCCACCAAAGTCACCAATAAGATCGTCGCCTCGGGAACGCCATACCTGCCCGACCAGGTCTGGCTGAATGTCAACTTCCCCGAGGTGAGCGATGAGTGTTCCAGCGCAGATGACTTCAAGTTTGTGCTGTCGCGGATCTTCTCGGGGATCTTCTCGGCGGATGATGTCGAGACTTGTGGAAGCTCGCGCCTGCCGACTGAGTCGACAGTCGTGGGTACCGATGGGTGCTATGTCAGTATCTCTGTGGGATGGAGCGACAAGACCGATGCGGCTGCCGATGTGCAGGCGATCGTGCTAGATAAGTTGGGTGATTTGTTGGTTTGTTTGCCTTGATGTCTTAGATGAGCATAAGAAGCAGTGACGCAGAAAAAAAAGAATCCTGCTATCTGCGAGCACAATAGGGCAGTTTACCAGAAGAGACCGTCGCATTCATAGAATAAGCACTGTGACCTCTTAGAACTATTTTAATATTGGATGGCAGTCCTTCTCAATGAAAAGCAAGATAATCCTATCACAAATTCCCATGCTGGTTGCAGGATAGGTCTGAACTGTATTCTCTTTATAATCTGCAAATAGCTGGCCTCTCTCGAGCCAGACCTATCCGGTATGCTATCCTGTTCAATCAGTAAACAATAGCGCGACAATATACTGAGGAAGCACGCAGTGAATAGATCAGAATGTGGTCGCCAGACGGATTATATGATCTTATCATTCACTGCGCGGAAATATGCTGATTGATGTGAATACTACCAGTGATATTGCCTCTGTAGTGAATGTATATTGTCATACATTCATACCCCTTCTCCCAATTCTCCTGTCTCCTGCCCCGTCTCCTCCTCCCAGTCCAACCTTCTTCCCCCGGCGGATACCAGTCCACTACTGGCTCGCGGGCTGTCTGACATGGGAACTTGCATATATTTACCGTGATGAGGTTCAACTGTCTATCATTCCACCTTGATAAACAAATAGCCAGACGGTTAGAGCCATGCCTTGCAAGACTCATCCAGCAAAGGCGATTGTCAAAAGGTGGTCGTTACCCCGAGCATTGGCAGGACAATATGTTATTTGACAGGCGGCCAGTGCTTGGCTAGGCTACGCAATAAACCGCGACACCATCTCCTCGGATGTTCACATACTAAAGCTCTGCATGGTTGTTCTGCAGAGCGCATTTAGTTGTTGTCCTGGTTCGTCTAATCTTCTCCTCATCGCGAATACGTACATAACGTCTGACTGCACAGGAGACCTAATAGAACCATCTCAATGTTGAATTTCCATCATTGCCCCTTCAGCGGCCCGCAGACTTTCCGGGAACCGTTAAAATACGGACTATGTTCGACAAAGACAACTATGTCAAGTGGAGTGATGCCCCCATTACCGTTGGAGACACATTTGAAGATCTTCATGGGCAAATAACCTATGTGGCTATGCATCGCGAGAGGTGAGTACGACAAGATGTTCGTGCAGAACTTCGAAGGGAGTGCTCCCCGCCTGTAGGCTGTTTCGCTCTGCCCGACTCCGTTGCAGTCTAGGGCCTGATTTAACGATGGCAATGCGTATGTTGTCCACCGCGCCAATGATTACGTCCACACTGACAAGATCAAAGGGAGCCGTCCGCAACAACGTCATCGAGTGGTCACAGGATCCCAATGTCATCCCCGCTCTCCTCGCCCCTGCCGCTCCAAAGGTTGGCGTCCTTGAGATCAAAGCGAAGCAGTTACCGGAGCTCACTCTACCTCGGCCTTCGCGCTCTGAAGTGGCTAATGGCGCTGCCAATGCGGACTGGTTTCCACAATACAAGCGGATCGCCAATATGCCGGAACTGCCGACCCCGCCACCATACAGGGTACTCCAACCAAAAGCTTTCATGAGTCTAGTCTGCCGGGTGCGTCTAGCGCCAGCGCAGCGCCTACTGGGCGCTACCGGTCATTATGAGAATACTTTGCCTCCGTCGGGACATGGGGGACCCCGTCGACGGCCCCCGTGCCCTGCGTCAGAAGGAGCAAAGGGCAATCAAGAAAAAGAAAGCGAATAAGATGAAGGTCAGGGAGATGGATTCATCCAACAGCAAGAGCAACAGCACCAACAACAGAAGCACCAGCAACAATGACAAGAATCGTGAAGGTAAGTTTAGATTCGGTTGACAATGTAAAACAGATGTCGATTCTGACGGATGTTTTACAGCAAGTCATTATCAGCAAAGGGGGGTGCTTCCAAATGGAAGCACCGCGTGTTAACCACCCCCATGCCCTGCGCCAGAAGGACAAGAGGGCCATCAAAAAGAAGAAGAAAGCAAAGATGGATTCATCCATCAAGAAGCTGGTAAGACTGTCATTGCCACTATATACGTATAGTAGTGAGTCAAGGCTGATATATGATATTATCGTTTTAGCGGGTCGAGGTTGATCGGCTGGAGAAGACCGTTCTGGCCGAAAGGGCTGTTCATCGGGACGAGATCCCCCATGTGCATGAAGTCCATTGACTTAGGCACCAGGCAAAGGGTGCATCACGAGCATGAGATCTGCTTCGAGGCATACCTTGCGGAATGAAGAGGAGCACCTGCTGCGTCCCCGGGACAGAGGCGCATGACGCAGGTTCGATGGCAAAACAAATGCCCGCATGCCTGAACTTCCCAGGGTGGTTATGAGGACCTGACAGTCGAAGAAGGTGGTGAGGAGAAAACAGAATGGAACAACTTGTAACATCTGGAGATGTTAGCACATTTGACCAGGACACAGCCCAGCCATATATTCTGCTCCGCCTTCTGCCTGGGGAGGAGAGCTATGCCGCATTGTACCTGCCTTTGTCGAACGTGTCTGTGCCCTAAATCTGCTACAGCTGAAGGTACTGCTCTGGAGTCATTTCCTTGGTATTGGAGGAGATAAGAGTCCGAGGATACTGAGAATGGTGAGTCACCAAGCTCTGGGAATCAGCCAGTCAAACACATCACGAATCTCATATAATACACAAATCGCCAATGCTTGATGTTCAAGGGGATAATATTTAGGTTAGCAGTACGCTATCAACAGCTTTATTCCCCATAAAATAACCAAAAGACTATATTTTCATTGTCCATTGTAATTTGTGTAACGCTACGGATGATCAACATGAGTTGAAGAAAAATTATAATAAACGTAACAACTGTAAACCAAACACAAAATATCCCTATTCAACTCAGCATTATTACATTGGATGAGTGATTCAACAGTTATGAACCACCACATATGGCGCTATTCAAAATGTAGGCACCACCGACTCAGGACCATCATCCCAATCCACTATTGCCCCAGCATTGGATCAAATCGCAAATGCCGCCAACACGCCAACAGCCATAACCATTCCCGCCGGCTGGTGTACGACAGCAAGCCCAGTCTGCGTAGACGACGAGGCAGACGCAGTAGTAGTCGCATGAGTTGTAGTCCGGGTGGCCGCAACACCAGTAGTAGTCATCGAGCCCGCAGTAGTGGCAGCAGAGGACGTACTCTCCGTCCGTGTTGGGCTGGCCGTGCCACTACCACTGCCAGACGCAACACTAACATCAGGAAGCAGTTTATCCCGACACTCAGCCGGAATGCCAGCAGCGAATGCGGCGACATCAGCCGCAGGACACGACTTGATGCAGACAAGCATGGGATCGGATGGGCCCTGGAACGACGCGCAGGTGCAGTCGGCGAGTGCCTGGCCCGTTTCATCGCCTTCGCATGCGGAGACTTCGAGATTGGATGTTTCGCAGTTGGTGACGCATTGGCTTTGGCTTTGGGCCAGGGCCGAGGATGCAAGGAGGAGGGCTGTGATAATGGTACTGGTGAAATGCATCTTGTTTGGAGGGGGATACTGGTATTTTCACTTGAATAGAGAAGATGGAGCTTCAGGAGGAGACGAATTTCAAAAAGGAACTTCAGTCAGGTCTTTAAGCGTGTGGGGATTCAGGGGCCAAGCTTCGGATTCAAGGCTTGGTTTTCAGGAAGCAGCCACCTCGTATTCGTGGTCCAGTTAGGACCAGCCGCTGTCAACGAATTCGTATTATAAAAGCCTATCACCGATGAAGGTATTAATAGTCTTCCCATTCTAGTAATGCCAGGCCGATCCGTCTAGGAAAGTGCGCACCTGACTGAAATCCTCTGCATGTTTCTCCTAATCATAATCCGTCAACTCCGCAGTTGGTTAGGATCACCGGACCCCGGCTACTGGCATCTTTGCGGTGGAATGGATAATCCTTAATGGATAAACGGGTGCTCGACATGTGGATCGATGCTGTTCCCGTACAAGAAGCCAGTTATGCCGAGTTTGTCAAGCTCATTGCTGAAGCTTTGGCTATACCGCCAAGGGTGGCTTGGCCATATCTTCGACCAAACTTTGACCATTCTAACTCCGTATTGGCTAGAGAAACCGAGACAGGAGATCTCAAGAAAGGATCATGCCCTGGGTAGTGCTTCGCGTATTTTAGCGCTAGGCAGTCAAACAGCACCAGTCGTCTCCAGGAAAAAGAGACGAGGAGTGGAGAACGTACTAACTCAATGGTCAAAGTGTGAAATTCCCATGGCGGATTGAACGTATGCTTTGTGCAGATACTTTGTTGCTTGGAGAACCTAGCAACATACAAAGAGAGAAGATGCTCTGTATAAAAAACTTGAGAATTACCACTTTTCATGGTGATCCTTGCTTACCTACAGGCCATCGCCGCCACTTTACTCCACTATTCATTATAGCTGATGTTTCTCGTCGAACACAGTAAACCTATTTCGCTCACGGAGACTGTAGCTGTAAATAATATCCATAATATATGTCTACATCTTTCGCGTATTGCCTATGAATCATCTGAATGTCTGATCTATATCGGTATCAATGCAGTGTACTTCCAATTGAATGCTCACTATCTAGTACTGTACATCATCTAGTTAGGGACACACTGGGAGTAGTAAGGGTTCCAGGTCTTGCAGGTGGAGCCGGAAGCACAAGCAGTCGGACCAGTCCAGTTCCGTCCGCCACACTGACCATAGGTAGTCTGAGTACCGCCAGGGGCAGAAGTGGGCTGGGGAGCCGCCGTGCTAGACGTAACAGGGACGGAGCTGCTGCTGGGGACAGGAGTGCTAGACGCAGGCGCTGTGATGAAGGTTGATGGCGAGCTGGAGGGGATAGGGGTGTACTGGGCCTTGGTGGTGGGAACCTGCACGGCGATGGTCGAGTACTTGGACGCCGCAGACGAGGGCACGGGGGTGCTGTCGGCGCCTGAGCCGACCGTTGCGGTGCCGGTCGCGGTAATGGCCGAGGTGGTCTGGGTGATGGAGACGGCGCCGGTGTACATGGCAGGACCGGGGACGGCGTACGAGGCGATTGACTTGTAGATGTCCACCAAGAGACCGGCGTCGCTGTCGGTGTACAGTTCTGTGCCCACCGTACCAGCGGGCGAGTCGGTGCCGGATCCGGTAACCTTGAGGTTGAAGCACTGGGGGTAGTTCTGCGCGCCGCCTTTCTCAAAGGCGCTATGCAGGGCGATCAGCTCGTGGCGAAGGACGTAGTTGCCGGGCGCAATAGATTTAGGGATCTCGACCATCCAGCTGTTGTTGTTGGCGATGAGCTGGTCGTCGCCCCAGGTGCCCGGCACCGCCGAGTTATCCACCAGTCCTACTCCGTCAATCTTGAAGAATTTGAGCGAAGTTTTGTCGACGGTTGTACACGACTCGCCACAAGACGCCAGCATATCAATAACGGGTCCATGATGAGATTCTGGCCAGGCAGTCCATTGAATTTGAATGCGATCGCCAGCTGCGATTTCGATATAGGCCTGCGCGTTGGTAGCGTTTTGGTGGCAGATGATGTCGGCGGAGTTGTACGCGCTGGGGGCGATGAAGCCGTTGCCGGTGTTGGGTGTGGTCCAAGCGGCGACCTTAGGAGGATCCGACATGTAGGGATAGCTGTTAATGTCAAAGCCAGCGTAGGAGACGCCGTTGACAACGACGTTGGTGACATGGCCGTGGGCAGCGACACGGGTGGCGGACAGCAGAGCTGTCAGGAGAGACAGAGACTTGGTTAGAGACATTGTAAAAGAATGGAAGGCGAAGAGAAGTCAATGAATGAATAGATCGGTGAAAGAATGTAAGCGACCAGCGCAGACTCAGTCAATGAGAATGAATGAATTGGTTGAAGAATGAGGAACAGTGAAACCCATGGAGGAAACTGGTTTCTTTTAAGCTTGAGCGACAGAGTATTCAGCCTGAATGGCTTCAATGTCTCGCAATCATGCGTCTGTGTGTTGAGACAACGGTTCGTAGTCCATTGGGCTCGAACCACTACATGAATCAAGAAAGCCAATGTTGGATGCTAAAGATATTGTTGCAAGCGCCACTTAATCTATCCGGAGAGTGCGTAAATAAGCATAAAACACTAGCTGTCTGGACCAGGGGCTCCTGTCGCAGTTTGATGCTCATAGTGGAGACGGCGCCAAACCTTGCCGTGTTTCGGGTCCACCAGTTGAGATATTCCGTCTACTCCGTGTACAAAAAGGAAAGATTGAAGACATCCTGTGTTTCAAGTAAGTGAACTTTTGTCAATGATATGTCTCGTTGGCGGAAAATTCTGGTCATGTCCCTGTAGAGAGGAGCTGTGCCTGGTACCTGCGTATGCAACGAGTCAGTTCAATGGTAGATCCCTATTTAGTTTGATTAATCCCTTCTATTCGCGGACTTAGTGGGTGATGCGCATTGAATTGAACTCGTCAGTCTATAATTTATCCGTGAGTGTAATAGAAACAATATGCCTTGGCGCACGTCAACAATGGAATATCGACGAAGCCATAGATTCAGCATCAATATGGATAATCCTTCAAGGCGCACACGGGTCTAGGGTCTCTCGTAACTGATAAGCTTATCCATCCATATCTAGACCTAGATAGGGATAATTTTTTATACGTGTAAATAGAAAAATCATATATATCTGGACCACTTTTCCTCCCCAGATTGGAGGGCAGCCCTACAGTCTCTACTTCTCTATATAAGGCTGTTCTACATTATACAATAGGTAATACATGATACTTATATAGCGAATTATCATATTGCTTTAATAGAATATATAGATATTTATGACTGAATAATAGATATACGCATTATCCGCAGTGCAACCCGCATGGATGTGAGGGTTAGATAGGTGGTGGTTCAACCCATATCCAGTCCAAAACCAGTTGGGTTCAACGAGGAAGGCCCCGACTTCTCTCGACGCAGATGTTTGTAGACATACCAAATTCACAACGCCTATTACACGGGCGGTGAACCTCTGGGTTCATGGGCTCAATGGCGGCTGGTGTTCCATGATTGGATGTGTCGTTGGGTATATTGTCATCGGTATCATCGAAGCGGAGGAGAAGTACCCCACCCTAGAGGAAGTTATTCGAGAGTTGACGAAGACGAGACAGTTGCTTAGCGAGCATAACGACAGTATCGCCGACACTGCTGATCAATTGACGTTGGCGGCCCGCTTGGCTCAGGCATGATCGCTCGGCAGAAGTATCGTAAGGAACCAGAACATGGCTCATTTGTATCAAGAGCTACTGGGGGAATATAGCAAAGTCTAACAATGTTTAGCTAGTACATGGTACTATCTTTAAGAAGTTTCCTATGTGACGTACTGGGCTGGTGGCATATATCACCTTTTGCTCATGGATACGTGCCTCGCTGATCTGACACGCTTCTCTATGTAGAGCTTGGGCCCATATTTAACCCGGCGAGCCATACATGACATCAAGTGTAGCAACTAGCCACCTTAGTGGTCATGTTATGCTTGTTATATTGACACTGAGAACAGCACTCATTCACCTCCGCTGCTGCTGCTCTACTCTCTCACTTTCGCTTCACATCGATAGTTTCTCTTCCTCTCTTCGAGAAAGCATCACAATATCACAACACCATACTCTTGACATATACTATTCTCGCCTTAACAAGCTACAGATAGGCATCGCTCAGTAAACTTCCGAGACACAGAAACCTACCGTCTCTTGCCAGCCAGCCGCTACGTCTACACATATGGTCGCACCACTCTCCCAAGCAACACATTCGCGACCGGAGCGCATCTCTTACGGAAACGATGCCATCAAACAGGATCCGAACGTCGAAGGATGAGGATAGCAAGTAAGTACTGTGCCTGGTGTGTTTTTCTACATGCTAATCTTTTTCAAAGACTTCGGGGGAGACCAGTCGATATAGTCGTAGGAGCTGAGAAACAAGTCTTCAGTGTCCATGAAGCGCTGGTCCGAGCCTCCTCTTCATTCTTCGACAAGGCCATGGCGAGTGATTGGAAGGAGTCTCAGCAACGCACCATCCACCTACCAGATGATGAATCCGAAATATTTGCGTTATATGTGCACTGGCTCTATTACGGCACTCTTCCTGTCTTTTGTGATGAGCCGGGTCTCCCAGGAAATTCTGAATACCTTAACTTAGTTAAGACTTACGTCCTGGGAGATAAAATACTTGACTGCAAGTTTCAAGACGCGGCCATTGACGCTATTGTGGAGAAATGCCTGTCGAAAGCACAAGATGGGGCAAGTTGGTTCCCCGTTGGCGAGGTGATAAGGTATGCATTCGACAACACAAGCGAGTCGGCTCCAATTCGCGAACTACTCGTGGATATGTACGCAATTTATGGAAAAAGAGTATGGCTCCAAGATTGGGCAGAGCCGGCAAATGTTCCGCAGCCGTTTCTGTTCAAGCTTGCTTCGAAGCTCTTAGATTGGCGAAACGGTACTAAACTGTCCTTCCAACCCTAGCAAGATCATCAATCTACGAGATACCATGCAATAGCCACTATCATGATAAGATATGCATTATCAAAATAGAGTAGAGACAACCACAGCCGGATGGATATTGAAAAACAAAATGCAGCAGAATGCCAGAATGTCACTGTGAAATAATCCAAACATCACAGAGACACCCGCTTCGCTATATACAACAGTTACAACTCCTTTGAAATCCCAAATCACATCTGTTAGTTATAGGATAGGATACTAGTTATAGCCTTATAGGTTTTATATAAGCTATTACTAAAGGCTTCTAGTTAAGGTTAGTAGTATAAGATCTACGGTCTACCTAGGCTACCTAGCCTATCTAAAAAGCTATATAGATCTAAAACTCTTAGTCTCTTCCTCTCTTATAATACTAAGTTGCTAACTACTATATCAAAGATTAGATCTTTCCTCTAGAGCTATAGTACTAGCTAAATCTAATTAATCTATACTAGTTATACTATTATTAGAGTAATTGGTATACTAGCTTGGGAGGCCAATCCTTTTAGAAAAGTACTAATCGTCAGTCAGAATTGCATAACTTAACTATCCGAACCACTAAAATCAAATCCAACCTTCACCGAACCCGCAGGGGTTCCATTTGGCTGCCTACCTTAGGGAATCGAAGCAGTTTTGGTTTGCTAGGGTGGAACCAATTCGGATTTGGTTAAAACTGTTGGTTATGGTTTTTGTGGTTTTATTGGATTAGGTTAACTAACCCACAACCTTTTTACATAGAAACCACTAATTTCTAGGGTTTCTCTAATAATTTTAATATCACTAGATAGCCCTAAGTCTAGGCTATCTAAATATATAAATAATAATTCAAAATAATTAGTGGTTGCTGATATATAAGGGAATAATCATTTCTGTCACAGGTTGGTATGAAAGTGGTGATGATTAATATGTACATATATACATATCAACCTTTGACAATCACTTATAATCTAATAATGATTCTAACCACCATCCATTCAACCCTAGAGATATTGAATCGATATTTTAGATATAGATTACTATGAGGATAAATACTATATATTTCATATAAAAATATTAATTTTCTATAGGTATAGTGATAGTATGGTAGATAGTATGGCAGTCAATAATCATTTGAAATTTCAAAACAGCAAGCGCTTTGACTCGCATGAGATCGAACTGAATCTAACCATGGTTAGTTAGTATGAGCCTAGCTAGGCCTATCTAGGCCTAGTGGCGAATTTTGCGGTGAAACTCAAACCAAATCAGAACAGATCAGGTTGGTTCTGTTTTCTGAGATCTGGACTCAAAATCGCAGCGGTTCGGTTCCAACCCTAGTTGGACTCGCCCGAACTCGGACCAAATGCAACTCTAGCTATGATAGAAAATACATAAAGATAGACAGAAATAAAAGGGAAGTTAATAGAGGATTAGGCTATTAGTAAGGAAAGAAAAATCTTAAATATTACTAGCAGGGGTGTTGACACCTACCATGGTTTTCCCTTATAGTTAGTTGCCATAGCCGCTAATAATACATTTAAAAGCACTTGCTGAATCTTCTTCTCTCAAATCCGCCCTCCTCCGAATATGCTGACTAACAAATAGGGGCACGCGGCGTTTTTTAGCTGTGATGGAATAAAATGAATGTTGTCCGACAACATCCACGAGCCTGTCCACTTTTGCCACCATATCCAAGTGAGGGGCATTAATGCAGTATCTTTTTCCGATCTGAAGGGTTTCCCCAGGGCCATCTGTCCCGCGAAGATGACGAGTGAACGTGTTCAACTTTGTAGACAATCGAAATTTGTCTGGCAGCTTCCATTGACCCTCCTGACATGTGTGGCCTATAGTTTCAAAACAATACGGAGACACGCAAGCGAAAGTCGCTGTTATAGACGAGTCACTTAAAATTTTGGTCCATGGGTGGTCCCGGGCAGACAGGACCAGCATACGGTTCTTGCGTTGTTCATTGAGAAACGCAAGGTGGAGGTCTCCATTTTTTGATATTCCTGTGTCTTTGAGCATGGCCAAAACGTTTCGAAATAGAGACAGGATGCGTTCCTGTAACCATTCCAACGATTGTCTTGTACTGAGGTCTCTCTGTTCGGACTCCAGAACCAGAGATGCGAGCCAGACAGTGAGATGTTCTTCTCCGCTCAAGGCCTGCACAAAAGCGTCCAAAGACGCCTCGTAAGAATTACCAGGCAATTTGGGAATTTGCCCAGGTACATGAAGGCATACAAACGCGACTAGGTCGCGAAGTCTGACACGAGTCATCACTCCTGTGCAGAGGCTGACGAACAACCCCCACATTTCATCAAATTCACTTATCTGGAATTCGAATAACCCTTTTGAAGTCAGTAATACCTCTTTAGCAGTTCTCCCTGGTACCTTTTCAAACGTTGCTTGGGCGATAAAATTCATATATTCACCGGATTGCAGCCCTACTGTGAAGTTTTTCATCTCAATGCAGGGATCACTTGCTCCAGGTATCTGAAAGTTCGATTGTAGTTCTTCAAAACTCATACTTCGACGGCAGCTCTGATTCCAATAAGCTGGCCCAATTGGCGTCAAGTGGAGGCCATTTGTGTCTCCGATCCTGATCCGAGTATGAAGATCAACGCGGATATTGGTTTCGCAGATGAGACGCATGCTGTATTCAGCCTGGTTTACCAACGTCCAGTGCCATTTCGGTATCGCATCATCCGTTTCGTCACTTGGTAAAATCATCCCGTTATGAATTTTAATGCCAGATATAGTCATTTTTCCAGGTGTAGGTATATCCATCTGGCTATCAACCACGTCCTGTTCTCCTTCGTCAAATAAAAGGAGGCAATCAGTCCTTCTAATGACAAACTCTGCTGGACCCCACATAGCAGCCACTTGCGCTGGTGTTGCAATAACATTTAGTCGTTTCTGTAAAAGTGGATTCTGTAGTCCGAAGACTAGAACCTCCTTACGAAGCATGTCGCCCAAGCAAGAGAGTCTGTGCGAGCCTGCATAGATTTTAGGAGCTTCCGGGCTGGGATTGGCACCTTCAAGGACGAAATCAAAAATAGGAGCCGTCAAGAATTCAAAACGAAATGGCGTCTCCGAGCCTCGTAAGTATGATTGAAGGATTAAGTTGAGAGCTTGCACCACCAAAGCAGTGAGGTGCAAAACTTCGGACTGAGCCGAGTTCGAGTTCCTGTCTCCATTGAATTGACCAACTCTGAGTGCTTTAAGTAGGGGCTCCATGGACTTCATCAATGGTGTCAATTTCTGATGAATGAGGACATCTGACGGTCGATTAAAACCGAAACGACGCAGGAATTTGTAGAAAAAACTCCCTGCCGTGAAAATCAAGAATGCCGGATGTACAAAGCTCAAAAGATGAGTAGCAAAAAGTCCGATGCTCGCAAACCGAAAACCATGACTTTCATCTTCCGAGGATTCAGCGCTTTCTTCGAATAGATTCCTGCACTTCCAATAGGCATCGATAAATTCATCAATTTCCTTCATTTGTATTGAAACGATCTCGGCATAATCTTCGTCGCCATCCGTCTGGCTCTCAGATTTGGACGAGACATGGTGGATAAACAATAGCTGATCAAGAGGACCCACAACGTCCTCAAGCGTCGTGACTTGTGACTCAAAATTCATGAAGCCATGGTCGACAAGAATCTTAGTAGCAATTGTTGAGGAAGCCTCGGAACGCCTTGGATCCCTTTGAGAGAACGAGATTCTTGCACATTGCCTGGATGGTGTCCCAGCGAGCTGGACATGTTTGCGGTATTGATTGATGTAATCGTCTTCTATGTCAGTAATCAATCGTGGTTCGGGATCTGTATTTCCATCCTCTGCCGTAGCCTTCTCAATCCAAGGAGAGAACCCTGCTAGGCCTAGAGCAGCATCTGATTGTCCTAGTATCTCGGGTTTGTTGCTAACTCTTTCCACTTTATTAACCACTATAACTTCGTTGCCAATATGGTCCGTTTTAGCCACATCATGCGTCACCATTTCGGCGAGATCTTCGAATGCCAGTATAGATCCATGACCCGTATGAGACTCAGGGAGAGGAGACATCGGCACATGGGACGCATCAGAAAAACGGTCATTGCGGTTCTCCAATTTCCGTTGGACCAGCCAAGGCTGGAAAACCCAAGGGCGATTCAGGACATAGCTCGTGAGAATGCTAGTTATCGAGTTGGCTTCATCGCTAGTAGAATTTTTGTCGAGATCTAACTCTGCTAATTCAGTGGTCCAGTGATCTTCCCCGAGTGTAGTAACAGACAAAAGCTGTTTGATACGTCTCTGAATTGCTTGAAATATGTCGGCGCGATGTGGCTTGCGACTCCTTTCACCAGATAGAAAGTCGTTAACCTCTGGGATCGATTGGAGGAAATCCTCGATTTCCGTGCTTGATTGCTCACTATAGCTCGCCATTTTGGGTCAGTAGCAGGTTGAAGAATAACTCTACCTTGTGCATTCTCTCTCGGAACAGAGATGGTCAAATACATGGGTTGCTCTTGAGCCTTGATATGAGGGGATTTCTTGCGACTGACAGGGCAAGAACGAATCAGCTCCTCCCACGTGTAAATACCCCACTAAATCAGGAATGAATATTCGTTGGCTTCAGCAGTCTTAGAGCAATGAGATACGTACGATAGATATGGACATTGAAGCTGTATCTATCCTTCCCATCACCTTACTTCATGGACTTTTCTCTCTGCATATGCGAGGTGTCCGATAGCTGTTGCAAGTAACCTTTTCTGCGAAGGGTTTTTGGCGTTTGGTTCTGCTGGGATAGAACCCTGGTATGATGTATGTAAACTTAACAGTAAAGCACAGCCACGATTATGTATCTGTCATGAGCCGCCTCCTTCATCGAAGAGCTTTGGGCTTGTGCCTGTGCATGATTCCACTTCCTAAAGTGGTGTCTCTGCCGCATACAGAGTTGGTAGCACATGCCAAAAGCTCGACATAGCCCCATTATTCCCTCCACTGCGGCACTGCCAGGGGATCACTGCATACTGCGTCAAGCAAGGATGGAGCCAAACCTAAAAGCTCCATAACCTGAGGTCATTCAGCATATGGATGATGTGATCATAATAATCCAGAGTTATTCACTAACTACTAATTAAAGACGCTGCTGTATGGAGTACTTAGTTAAATAGGTAGGCTATAAACACCCCTATATAGGAGTTAGCTATTAACCTTACTAATATAGTAGTACTTAATATCTGGGAGAGCCACTAGCCTCCTTTAGAAGGGAAGGGGGGCAGTATAGCAGGCAGGGCCTACTAAATACTTAAGCCCACTAGGTACTTATAGACTGCCTTAGGCACCAGTGAACTCCTGTTAGTAGGGATACTAGTAGTTATATAACTCTTATAAAAAATAATGTAATAGTTAACGTGTCATATAATCTTATCCACCATTTATACACTCCATTTTATGTTTGGCTGTCGCAGCCCTGGTTAGAACTCCTCAGCAATTTCTTACTGTCTAAATCTAGCTATAGATTTATAAGGCTCCTAGACCGTGACACTAAAGATTATAATCTTAATCCTCTAAAGGGCTTCTTATTAACTTATTTGAGAAAAAAAAAAGATCTATTATTCTATCTTCCTTAGAAGTACCAAAAGCATACTACTCAATCAACCGCACCCTAGTGGGCAACCCCAACGATGGCTTAGCCGTAACATCCAAAACTTGATACATGAACGTCCCCTCCTCATACACGATCTCAAAAGCAAACGTCCTAACTGTCATCACCAAGGCAATCTTCAACTGCATCAACGCCAGTGTCTGGCCCAGACACATCCGCGGTCCCTTCTCGAACGGTCTCCATGCGTTGGCCGGGACAAAGTATGAATCCGCAGGGTCGGTAACGAGGTGCCGTTCGGGATAGAACCTCTCTGCGTCCTTGAAGAGATCTTCGCGGCGCATGGTCGCGCAATTGTTGACAAGGACGGCGAAGGGGTAGGTGGGCCATTCCTTGCCGTCCGCGAGGAGTTTTTGCTCTGGTTGGCCGCGGCGGAGGCTGACGCCTGTTGGGGGCCAGAGGCGGAGGGCTTCCTTGATGACGGCGAGCGTGTATGGGAGATTGTTGACGAGGTTGGGGTCGTTGCGGAGGAGGTTTGCCGCGGCGGAGGGGTCAGTGCCGAAGAGGGTATTGTGTTCTTCTCGGAGGGTGTGGAGGACTTGGGGATGTTTGCTTAGGGCGGCGTATGTATACTGGCTAATGTTAGTGGCGCAGGAAAGAGAAGGAGAGAGTATAAAGGACTTACGCAGAGAGTGCTTGCTGAGGTGTCGTGACCAGCGAAGATGAGCGTCTTGACGGACGCGATGAGCATGTCTCGCGTATATTTATCCATGGCGGTCGTAGGGGGGATTGACTTGTTCAGGATGCGGCTGGTAGCAATGGCGTCGTCGATGGCGTAGAACTTGGCCTTTTCGCTTGGAACAGCAGTTGGGCCGCTGACGACTCGTTTGTCTACCAGACGACCAACGTACCGGTCTAATGCACGTCCGTTGCTCCATTTTTGATAGTGTCGACGGGGGCTGACGTCGTAGAGATACCGAGACCAGAAGTCCTGAGGGGCCAGAGCGGCCTGCTTTCGGAAAAGCTCGAGGAATTCATCATCGTCTCGCTGCGCATTGCACTTGATTCCCCTATTCTCTGTTAGATGAAGCTTTATCCGGGACAGGGACGTGAAGCTTACAAGATTACCCAAGCCGAGATATTGAATATCATTCTCGCACCTAGGTCTTCCATTCTGAAGATGTCATCGCTCCGCGCATGTTCTTTGAGGACGTCTGCAAAAGCCAGCGCCTCATCCACAATATTCGGAACATGCTGCAGCAACTTCCGCGGCTGGAAGCCCGGAGTAAAGGATTTCCGCGCAATGAACCAGTCATGTCCATTCGCAGAGACCATAGATTTCTCGCCAAGGATAGGGCCAGTCCACTTCTGCATGACGGCCGACTCCTTGGGGAGATTCATCTTATGGACGATCTGCGTCGCCAGTTCCGGATGGGCAATGACAAGCTGCGGCGGCGCAAGCGGCCACAGATCGAGGTAGAAGAAGTCACCGAGGCCGTACCGCTGGCGCATCAAGTGCGCGAACAGCTGCGGGGTTGCATCGGGAGGCAGAGTGCTTGCGATCTCGCGCATGATTAAAAAGTGACCCCAGATAGCGTGATGCGGCGGCCCAGGGAGATTTTTGAACATGCTGCGCTGCTGGCGTAGTCTGACGAGGAAGTAGCTCGCGAGAGCGGCTAGGACGAGAAGTAGAGCGAGCATGGTTGTATTCGGGTGTGGAGGACGAGGAGGCGTCGCTGGTGGAGTAGATGCAGAGCTGGAGTGGTGAAGAGACGACGAGGTAGGCCAGGTATTCAGCTTCCAGCATACTGTTGAGCACGATTCTGTTTGATTTGTTGTCCTGGGATGGGATGGGTCTGTTGGGCTCTTATATATCCATTCTGAAGGGGTCAAGGCGGACTCTGTGATTGTTGTTTTGTGATGTTGAATCTATTCCTGGCTTTGGGGCCAAGTTCCCGTATACTAACAGTCAGAGGCTTGCAGGATGCAGATCCTCTGAAAATAACTCTGCAAGGCTGAAACACCAGGCTTGGCGGACCATTGCTTGGTATTCCTGGGAATCCTGGCAGTGCTTCTTTTGAGTGGGGATTCTTCATCAAACCTTAACTACGAGATTAGGGCTGTGCAGGGATCGCCCCCACTCCTTATCACACTGCATGTTTCTTAGTATACGGCACACTCCACGTGTCTTTGTAGATGGTACAGGTCAGCAGACTGCATCTTTGCCAGATCATTGCTCGGAATCCTTCAGGATGTCTCGTATGTGATCAATTTGTTTTGCATCTGCGATGTGAGTTACATGGGGGCCATGGGGCCGCAGGGTCGATCTCACGCCTCTAAACGAAGCAAGAATAGTCGTGGCATCTCGGTGGCAATGATTGAAGTATTCTGTAGTTATAGTTCTTTACCGTCCTTTTCAATAGCACTGTAGATTTAGAAATCCATTCAGGATCACTCAACCTCGATCGTCGCCCATCTGCTTGACCGTTTCCAAGCCCACCATGTTCGCCCTACGAGACGCAATTTACCTTATTGAACTGGCATTCTATGCCCCTGTTGTTCCTGCTATTATTTTCATCATTCTACTCCATGGCAACAAACACCCCTACACATGGCGCCCCATCGTGATTCCCCTCATCATTCTCTCCGGCTTGCGAATCGCCGCCGCCGGACTCGGCCTTGCAGCCATGGACCCAGCAAAGTCCAATCTCCTCACGACAGCCACCCTCCTCGACACAATCGGCCTCGCACCAGTCCTGTGTCTTTTGATAGGACTTCTCATCCGAGCGTGAGTCACCTCCTCTCCTCGACACATCTTCTAACACAAATCGCAGCAACGCCCCCGTATACAAAGGCCTGCCTCTCTGGGTGTTCATCCCGTTGCAATTGATCACCATAGCAGCAACGGTGATGACAGCATACGGCGGCCGAGACCTCTACACGAGCCGCGATAGTCAAGCACAAGACCTCCGCTTGATGCGCGCCGGCATCATCCTCTTCATCGCCCTTTTTGCTGGCATCATGGTGCTCTCGGTCATCACCATGCTGAAGGTCCGGGTAAAGTTCTACCGCACTGAGCGTGCGGCTGTCGTTTGTGCTTTGCTCTGTGTGCCCTTCATGAGTGTCCGGTTGGCGTTCTCAGCTGGATCGTTGTTTTCGGGGGAGGCGTCCGTGTTGAATCCGATGTCGGAAGATGAGACCGGCATTTGGCTGCATTTTCTTATGGTCATTGTTATGGAGTATATTGTTACGCTTTCTGCCACAGCTGTTGCTTTGACTGCGAGAAAGGTCATGGTGCTGTCGGCGGGAAAGGCTGATTCTCTTAAGGATGAGGAGATTTGAGATATGTTGTTGATGTTGGTTCCGAGGCGGATGGGTGTCTGGTGATAAGTTTATCATTATATTGCATGTGGTTTTATCTGTTTACTTTGCTTAGCATCACTTATTTGATATCGTCTTTTTGAATATACTCTATGTTGCTCTATATAATGTTTGTCTGTACGTGTGATCTCGTTCATACTTACAGTATAATGGATGGCTTTCGTAATTTCTTTCCCCTGCATCTCATAATGTCGCAACATATATATGCATGACGCGCTGACTAACAACCTTAATGCAATAATACAACTCATTCAATCTAACTATATGTGATGTATCTGAAAGTTCTCTAAATGCAGACAGCGGATAGGTTGCTATTGGCTTCTTTCTCTGTGTACGATCATACGGATTTGATGGCGACAGGAAAGCTCTCTGTGCCTGTAGGATGAACAGGGCGATAGCCCAAATGCCCGCTGCTGGAAGGCCTACCCCAAGGCATACCTACGTGAGACAAACATATACAAATGCATGAAGTTTCTAATTCCGCCTCACACCTCGCAGGATCTCAATACGATGAGATGCGACGTTGATCCTGTCTAATATTAGACACGACACTTATTCGCCACTAGATACGAAGAAGATTGCCTCATACTATCCTTCTGGTGACTACCAGTTCCGCAGTTGAGGAGCGGGGCAGAGGGTGATGCAGCCCTGTCACAGCGTCTGTGGGCGTTTGGCCCCATGCGGGTTGACTGAGACACAATCCTGCGGTAGTCTAGCCTTGACTAACTGCATGACAAGGCACACAAGGTTACTTTGATACCAGAAGTAGACCCTGATATTGCATGTTTTGAGTGCGAACTGCACCAGGCTGAAAACCCACGTGGGGATGTTTCACCACTGGGGCCAAATCCTTCATGCAGAGCCTCGTGTGGGTTCCAAATATATGCTAGGAGGCGCAAGGTGCATTAGGGGCTAAATTATCTGGATTAAGGTTATTAATTCAGGACGCCTCGTGTTGGGGATGTCCTTGGCTGGAAGGAGTCAAGATCGTCAAGATCACTTGGCGATGCTTATTGGTTTGGCAACGGCCCCAACTTCAGTATCTGATGTAAGATCGGATTATTCAGGGCAATTGGAGGTAATCCATCTGCAGAAAAGCAAGTAGGCAATTTTTGTTGGAATGTCGGAATGATAGTCTATTGGTGGCTGTGTTCGTGTTGTGGGTTTTGCGATGGGGGCCATATCACATCGCTATACTCAGCTTCCTACGGTCGAAAGTCTACTAATACGCACTCAATGCGCGTCAAGTCGATCATTTCTTCATCACCAGTCATCTCAACTACTCTACAACACGTCTCACAATGGAAGCCACAAAAATGCAAATGGACATGCACAAGTCCAACTCCTGGCTCTACTACAAACTCAGCATCCACACCCTAGGCCTAGTCCTTCGGTCTGGCATCACAATCACCAGCCCCGACCCCAAAGCAGACGCAAAACTCCAAGTCACCTCAGGCGTACACCATGGAGGAACTCTCAAAGTCATCGTCGTACGTCTCCCCAGCAACAAGCTCGAAGATAAACTGACACACACAGGCCGGCCTCCCCCGCACCGGCACAATCAGCATGAAGCGCGCCCTCGAGGAACTAGGCTACGGCCCCTGCTTCCACCTCGCCGAACCCCTCTGCCAATTCGACAACCTCCGCCAAAGCGCCGCCATCGTCCACACAAAAGACACGGCCCTCCGGCGGCGCAAGCTCGCCAAACTCCTCCAAGGCAGCGAAGTTACCCTCGAGGTTCCCGGCAGCGCTTGCCTACCCGACCTACTAGAAATGTACCCCGACGCCAAAGTCATCTTGACAGAACGCACCTCCGCAGCGGTCTGGCTGCGCTCCTGGCGCGGGTTCGGGATCGATTTGAGGTCGGACTGCTTCCGCTGGATCGGGTACTGGGTTCCCGGCGTGGTGGCAGCTAACGATCTCTACCGCGGGTGGATGTGGCTTGCGTCCGAGCGGTTCGGGGTGGAGGCCGAGCCATCGGAGGAGCTGTACCATGCGCACAGTGCGTGGGTGAAGAGCATCGTGCCGAGAGAGAGGTTGCTGGTCTTCAAGTGTCAGGATGGATGGGGGCCTCTGTGTGAGTTTTTGGGGCGGCACAGGCCGAATCCGTTCCCGCATGGCAATGAGGCGGGTTACTTGCGGTATTATAAGCGAGTGGCGATGGTGTTGGGGATTTTTCTGTGGTTGGGTGTTCTCGCGATGGCTATTATGTCGTTGTTTGTGATGTCTTTGGTGGAGTAGACTCGCTGTTGCTCTGTTTTTGTTTGTCTTTAAGCCTTTATACCTTGGTGTTTTGTGGAGCCTGTATGTTGGTTTTGCTTATACTTGCCAACTCTTTCGATGAACAACGTCGATTATTTATACGTTTGTTACCGTGGTACAAGTGAGCCGACTGGCGAGATGTGGTAGACTACACAGTAGCCTGTATCTTTCTGGACATTATATGGAAAAAACTACCGTAAGGCCAAACCAGAAGACGGTCCATCATTGTAGTACGAGAGGGCATAACTGCGAAGGAAATATTCACAACCAGATCAAAGAAGAGCAGCAACCGCAGCCGCAACAACAGGCGCAGCCGTGATCAACGCCCCCGCAGGCCCAGCAGCAGCAACACCAGGCGTCTTCGTCGCCTCAGGGGCAGTAAACTTGTCCACTCCCGCCGTAACAACCAACTCATAGTACGAGCTCGTCGCCGGCGAATACGTCGCACTACTTGACGTCGACGACCCAACCGTAGCACCACCCGCCGAGCCTGTCATCCCAATGCTCATGGTGCAACTGGCAGACTCAGTGCGGGACCGAATCTTGCACTCGTAGGACTGCGTGACGGTGATATCGTAGCTCGTTTCCTTGCCTGAGGTCGAGGCGGTGTACACGCCTGTCACGCTGACGGTCTCGGGGCCCTGGATGATCGTCCAGGAGTTCTTGATGTTGCAGTCTGTCTTGGGGGCGTCTTTCAGACAGCCCACGTTGTAGGTTGTTGCGGCGGCGTTGATTCCTGCGATGCTGGCGCCGGTGCTGGTCCAGCCGCCGTAGCTTAACAAGGTGGCAGACCAGTTGGGGACGAAGTAGCCGATTGTAGTGGTTTTGTCGTCGGCATGGGCGGCCAGGGCGTAGAGGGCTGCAGGGAGGAGGAACGAGGCACGCATTGTGACGGTTACTTTTTGTTGTGGAGACGTCAGAAAGAATAGAAACAGGGAAGAAGATCGACAGACAAAATTGCAGAAAGAGAGGAACGTGGCCCCTTTTAAAGGGAGGAGGGAAGAAAGGATAATAATTATCGCGTCCAGTCGTCTGCCAGACTACCAATGTCAATAGTCTACAAACAAACGACCCAAGCACCACGCTAGGATAAAGGAAGATGAGTATTCGGGTATATCGTAACCATGTCCACCAACCAATGTTTCTGAATTGATGCTGTTGGCGCTAGACTGCATCGCTCTGTGCTGATTGGCATATGCCTTGCAGGATAGCATTCGGTAATATTTTAGTGCAGGAAACTAGTCTCTCTAGTGCTCAGCTAAGACTGTAGCAGGCCACTGAGAGTAGACTCAGTAGAGAGCAACTAGTCCATTATTTGATGACAGCATCCTATCAATTGGTTTATCTCTTTATTTTGCGGGGTGACAAACACAAATAGTGGACTCCGCTTTGAAGGACTGTTGTTATGTGTGCCCGTTGCGCGGGTCAAGCTTGTCAACAGATCAATACTCAGTCTAATTTCAAGAAAACTACCTATGCGGGCGCCTAAAGGTATGCCATGATTAGCTAACCTTGATTACTCTTAGAAGGTAGCTGTGATGCGGCTAAATCCTACATGTAACACTGTCAAATAGGATGTTTGTAGCTTCTGGTTTGGTCACTGGCGGTTGGCAGCGAATCCGATTCTCAAGAAGGCTTTGCAGAAGAACAGAGCAGAGTAGCAACGGCCACAGACAATAGTAGCCAGTCGGGTACTAGAAGGCAAGATTATTTAAGTAGCGTTAAGATGATCAATCAATTATATATTTTACCTAAGTACCCCAGTTCGAAAGCAATAATCAGACCAATGATAAAGTTCGCCGGATAGGCCAATACATGGCATAGATTGATATAGCAGGCTCTTTGTCACATCTGATGTATAACTGCCTACGCACCTCATGCAAGGCTATCAGATCAATACACCGCGTGTATATGGCCTGTGGAGGGATACATTAAAACCCGCCTTTTCGCATCATCTCAACCACTCGGCGAAAAGCCTGTTGACGCTGCTGTTCCCAGCTGTTAAAAGCGATATTCGACAGACCGATTGCAATCTGGTCATCTCCGGCCAGAAGCTTCTCCATCGTCTGCACAAGGGTGGTCAGATGAGCTCGCGAAGTGATATATATAAGTAGACACAAACCTCTTTAGTAAACTCCTCTACTGGGATACCAAACGGCTTGCCACGAACCGTTTCCGCCATGTCAGGTTGGTGCTTTGGGTCGTGCAGTTCAGCTGTAGTGCAGGAAATTAGTATCATTGTGACGTCTTTTTGGTTCTTTTTCCCAACCCCTGAATGAACAAGTCCTCAGGTATACGTACTTTGCACGATAGGTGGGAAGATCTCAATCACTTTGACGTTTGTGGTCTTTAGCTGCTCCCGTAGGCAGAGGATCCAATGATGCAGAGCGGCCTTGGAAGCGCAGTAGTTGGAGCAGCGAAGAATGGGAACCAGTGCGAGATTGGATGAAGTGCTAATGCATTATCAGTCAGGTGTGAATATCCCAGAGATGGGAGGCGAATATTTGCCAACGACTTACAATATGAGTGATGTTGGAGTGTCTCCTTTAGCCATGAGAAAGGGTAGGAACTCCTTGGCCAATGCAACGTAGGAAACATAGTTGACCTAGAAACACTGTCAATTAAACGTAAGAAGGAAAGGAATGTACCAGTCAAGGTTTAATAGGTCCTTTACTGTCATCTCATCCTGAATCTGATTGATATCAATGCTCTCTGGCTCGCTAAAAACAGACCGCCGTTGAATGCCCGAGTTGACGAAGACGCAGTCTAAATCTGGGTGGGAAGAAGTCACACTGATCAATCCGTTGGTTAACCATATTAATATATATATAGGCAAATACGCTGAAAGGCTGAGCTGACGACGTACTTCTTCACAAAGTCTGGAATTGCATCTAGCTTGCTGATATCGAGATTGAAAGATGCAGCCTTGTCCGCGCCGTGTTCCTGGACGAATGAGTCAAGGTGATCCTGTCGTCGACCGACGGCAATCACGAAGCAGCCATGTTCGACAAGGCTTGCGGCTAAAGCACGGCCGATACCTGAGGACCAGTGTCAACCACTGTAACGCTGACTCTATGTTGCATGTATCAAAGGTAAAGTGAGGAGATCAGCCTCATGCATACGTGGAACACTCACCAGATGTAGCTCCAACCAGGAGTACCTTCTTGTAAGGGAAAGCCATGATTGTTTAGGCGGGTATCCCAAAGAGAGAACGCAAGATCACAAACCAAGCCTTATACGACGGTGGCTGCAGCCTCTTTTATAATTGTCTGCCATAAACCTAACACCAGCCCATTGTTGGGCCATGGGGAGCGGCCAAGTTCCGTGTCCAGCCATCCCGTGCGAGCGGGCCCCTCCTTGACAGGCCCCGAAACATTTGCGTGCCACTGTATTCATGGCTCCCTTCGTAGACACAGCAACGAACTGACTACTCAAGCCAGCATTATTGGTGGGGTAGGTGGCGTCGCCGAGTAGACGTCATGATATCCAAAACCCTCCGCCGTCGGGTCAATTGATCGATCCGTTGGTTTTCAGTGAAGCTGCGAAATAGCCGTGCCTGCAAACTGGTATTGGTTGAATTGTCGCAAGTATCCGCCCTATTCATTTGCTACCTCCGGAGATAGTCGATTATGTTTTATCTTAACCCCGTCGGGTTCTGCAGTCAGTACATACTCCGTATATGGACCGGTGGGGCACATTATTCGGGTCGCCGCAAAACCCGAACCCCATACAAAACGATTAAGTCGGGGGAGCAGGACCGGTTATGCCAATCCTTCCGTGTACCGATCTTCAAGGATATGGGTGTTTTGAGCCTCTTGGTGTTGTCCTTTGTTGTAGGGACACCCTGCTAGCTACCCCTCTAGATCTCAAGATGTAAACCTAAAGTTTTGGTTTTAGATAAATACGTAGTCAGGCCCATTCGCTATCTACGTGTATAAAATTTTAGCTTATCAATTATAACAGGCCCCTAGATCATCTGCACCTAAGGTTATCCGTATCCATATAGGGTAGACATTGTCAAACCACGTCCAGTTGGCTTGGATATGCCAGACAGTCTATCCGAAACGGCAATGTCCTTTCTTCGCATCGTGATTCGTGACAGTATATATCCCATATAGCTTTACAGTGAGTAACTTATTCGTCCTACCCCTTTAGGGTCAAAGCCTTTACCCACTTTCAGGAGAACGTTTCCTCCCTCCTTAGAATTCTTTCTTATTTGAAAAAAATAACAGTGCTGGCGGCCCCTTTGAGGCAAGCTCAGTGTGGACGGCTGCATAGCTAATGATTTGAGAATATGTGACAAGGTAATAACATAGCCAATCACCATGTGAGTTTCCAAGATATTTGCCTGACATTATCTGGACCTACACATGTCCTTTGCATATTGTCATATTTGTTCATCTTCCCTCCCAACTATTTTGCCTGTGCTCCTGCTGTGTACTTAACATGTTATACAGAGATAATGGCAAGTTAAATATTAAGAATAAAATCTTCCCAGCTTATATCAACATCTAATGGCGCAGACTCTATTCTGCGTCCAAGATCCCTTCCACAATTTTGAAATGGCTGATCTGATACTACACCTTCGCGCGGTGACTGAGGGGTAGCATGTGCTGTAGTAAGTAGGGAGCCTAACATCGCACCCAGCAAAGCTGGATGGGATATGCTAGGTAGTTCTAATTTTTCTTAGACTGCCCTTCAATTCCACTGTCTTTGTCTTGCATGGTGAAGCTCTTTTAGAGAATTCTGGATGGCGACTTGTGCTTTTCTTCTTGCATTAATGTTGTTTTTTCTCTTGCATAAAACCTTTCTAACAATTTCCACCGCACCTGATGATATGCGAAGAATCTGGCTGAATTCACCTCTTGATCTATTATTAGCTAACTGCATAAAGCTTACCACTAAGTCCACAGCCTGGAATATCTCCAGGATGTAAATATCGTCTGTATTAACTATGGCTGACATCAGGAGAACGAGGACGGCATCGACGATATAGGGTGGGATAAGCCTTGTAGGTAAGGAGGTTATTACGCGTGTTAAACACATCGCTGTAGCTAGGCTTCCACTTACCAGAATGGGAAAGCGTCCAATGAACCTAGATGCTGAAGTAGACGGATTGAATCCAGGGCAGCCTCAGTACGTCTCATTGTGGCTGACCTGATGCAAGAAAGGAGTGGAGATGATGGCTCTATCCTGGACAGTAAACTTGTGTAAGGACAGTGAATTGCAGCTAAGTAATGAATGGTGATGAGGCAGTTGTTATACATTAGTTTCAGCAGCAATATTAAGAACATACTTTGAGAGTTATCGCCCTCGCTGCAGCTAAGGGACAAGGATAAGTCAGGTAGGAGGTTATTTTACTAAGTCTCTAGTTACTAATCCAGACCAGCTGTTAATTTCAGTAAATATTCTAGTATTTCATCTTTCGCACTTGCTGAATAGAGTGTCTAGTATATCTGTTCTGTAATTATTATAAGAGAAATAAAATGCTGCAGGGACTAATAGCTTTCTCTAAATAACTAAGATATAGAGGCTCTGCAGTTATTATCCAGCATCTGCTCCACCATAGGATAATAACTTTTAATAATTAATGGAAGTCCAGACCAAAATAAAAACCTAACTATGTGAGACCTTATATTATTAAGAAATTAGGGTAGCGCGGCAAATCCTACTCCTTATCTAAAACATACAAAATATACTAGGTTGCTGTCTCTTCTGAAAAGACTAAGTAAGATTCTAGACTTTCTCTAAGACCAGTTACTTAATTAATGGCTACCCCTAATATACTAGAGGCATTATTAAAGTGCATCTCACCTTACAGAAAGACAGACTGGCCATCATATTTAGTAGAGAAATAAGAGACTGGTAAGGTAATCTTACTATAATAGATAAAGCCTGGACATTTCTTAGGCTGGGGTCAGAAATAGTTATCTCAGGCACAAGGTGTATTACAGCATTAAAGTATGTCTATGCTGCTCCAACAGTGTGATCAGGAGTAGATATATTCCATAGCTGTATCTTATATAATATTACCATAACTGCATAAACACATGCCCAAGAGCCTGCATTAAGATGAGATTCTAACACCAATGCATCTTGAATTAAACTTCTCAAGGTAGGCTCCTGGAACAAGGGGTAAAGTGAGTTGAAAGACTAAAAGTAGGCGCTAAGTAATTCCTGGATTTTGTCGGGTGGTGGCAGAGAAATTCAGATCATTCTCCTGCTCTGCGGCCCGAAGTTGAGCATATCATTGCTGAAGTAGGGTTGAGGCATAGGAATAGGAGGTTGTAAAATGTTGTTAGCCAAATTTAGACCCAAGGAATCCGGAAATTCCGACTTCATGACTTCTTCCTTAATATAAGAGGCTATATCAGGCGAGATTACAGGTATATTTAGCGGAGGATTCCGCGAACAGATGTCAGTAGCTGATTTTAAGTATTAGTACTGTTCAAATTGGCACAGTTCCGTAACCATTGGATAGGGCAAACCAACACCTATCCATTACATTACTGGAGATATTATTTCCAAGCGCATCAAGCCTTCGGATTCTATCAACAAGTGACTGGAGGTGCGAACTACCACCAAGAGTAAGTATTCCAGAGAAGTATGGCAGCTACTGAGGGTGAATGCATACTGCCTGTCTGCATACTCATGTTCACTCATCTTGACGGATGAAATAAATCAGCCCTCAATACCAGTGGATGACATCAACATGTGCCGACTGCTTGAAAGGGGGAGTAAACCGTAGTGAGAATTAGGTAGACTTCGCAATCGAGGGTGGCCAATGTATCGAGTTAGCAGGACAAACTTGTTCTATTGCAGTTCCGCGTATTATTAATCTATGCGGAAATACCCAGTCAACCAGACGAATCATCTGATGATTACGTGAGCTATGCACGGTTATCCTTCCTTCAATGGAATTTATTCACCAAATTAAAGTTTTCCGGATTGTCGGGTCTTCCATTTCCGGTATTCTTACATCATGACAAACCCATATTTGTAAAGTAGGCTTCTTTTGGAATACCTACTGTTGAAACAAAACTATATAAGGCTGCCCAAATAGCCAGATGAACGAACTCATCCAAAAGGTCTTCAGCATCTTCTACCTGGTTATTCTTCATCCCAAACACTTCTATTGGTAAAATACCTCCTGTGAAACGATGTCACCCAGAGTAGCAATTGCAGGGGTAAGTACAACGATGCTCCGACACATATGATATCAGAACCCTTAACCTTATTCATCCGCAGGCGAGTGGCAACCTTGGCCCAGCTGTGCTTAAAGCTCTGCTGAGCGCGGGCTTCGAGGTGACTGTCTTGACTAGGGCTGGAAGTCAAAACAAGGACAATTTCGGACGAGCACAAGTTGTACCGGTCGACTACAGCTCCTTGGAGTCTTTGACCTCTGCACTGAGTGGTCATGATGTAGTCGTCAACACCCTCGGAGCTATACCTCGAGATATACATCTCAGATTGGTGGATGCTGCTGTCGCTGCCCAGGTTCAGCGCTTCATTCCCTCAGAGTTCGGCTCCGACACAACCAATGAAAATGCGGCCAAGCTACCAGTCTACCAAGACAAGGTCGCTGTTCAGAAATATCTCCAGGAAAAGTCAAAGGAGTCTGGTGGGAAATTCTCCTATACCATTCAGATCAATGGCCCCTTCCTGGACTGGGGTCTCATGGTCAATTTCTTGCTGAACTTGGAGGGCCCAGAAGCTGAGCTATATGATGGGGGTGATAGAAAGTTCAGTACCACTACGCTTTCAGGAGTGGGCAAAGGTGTTTGCGGCATAATCAACAACCTCGAGGCCACCAAGAATCGCACAGTGTATGTCCGTGAGGCAGATGTCTCTCAGAAGCAGCTGCTGAAGATCTCGGGCAAACAACTGGCCACCAAGTCCATTAGCACGGTAGAGTTGGAGAAGGCTGGTTTCGCGGAACTCAGCAAGCCAAACCCGGACCCAACAGTATTTGTTTTCAACTTCCTCCGGCGAGCGATTTTCGGCGAAGGGTTCGGCAGCCTGTTCAGCACCGAAAGTCTTAGCAACGATTTGCTGGGTGTGGAACCACTAGGAGAGGAGGATCTCAAGAACCTTGTGGCCAAGTACACAAACTAGATTTGTGCCCTTTTGTACTTTCCGCCGTGAAAAGCCAATATCGAACCCCTTTGTTATTCCTGTACCCTAAACACGAACATCCTTACGGATCCAGCTAAGACATGCTTGGCGAGTGACACTCATGGTTAACAGCCTCCCAATAATTATGCCATTGCCTTCTTGATGGGCTATGTCCTTGGAGCTCTCTTTTCCTCCCTGATTCTGCAAGGAAACTGATCGAGCAAAGCCCATATCAATATGATCCACAATGACGATGAGGGTGTAATTGTTGATAGTCCACATTCTAACAGATAACCTGCTTTACAAGCAGGGATCAGCCACTGCCCGGACTATTGGTGAGGGATGGGTATATAATTCCAATAACCGCTAAGATGAGACTGTAGTCCAAGAGGAACTGCAATCAAAGTGGAACTGCTGTTAGCTGTGACTCAGGCTCACCCACTCCGGCCGCGGTGTGGGTGAGCCTGAGTCACGGCTAAAGGGGTGCGGCCAATCCATGAGTAGCGTAGGAGCGCGGCCCCCTCGTATTCAAGCGGGGGTTGATAATGAAATGTCTTAGGCAGAATAGCAATGCGTAATCCAACCCAGCGAGGCAGGCAGGTATTCAAAAGGCCAATTTCCATTCAGCATCTGATTATTTTAGTTCGGCATCGAATATAATACTGGTTTATCATCGAAATGGCTTCCAATATGCCGGCGAGGTGCTGCACTGTGGGGGTCAAGCACAGTGGAGAAGCAACCGGAGAATATCAGGATATCAACGGCGGTATGTTTCTATGTACTCAAGCGATACCAATTTAGCTCACCGTCTTCAGTTGAGACGTATTTATCATATCCTGAGGACAGATCGACCAAGCATGGAGTTCTCATCCTCACGGATGTCATCGGTCACCGATTCATCAACTCGCAGCTCATTGCTGACCAGTTTGCGGCAAACGGATACCTTGTAGCCATGCCTGATTTGTTTCACGGCGACCCGGTCAAGCTCAATAGGCCTGAGTCTTTTAACCTGATGAGTTGGCTGGAAGGACACCCGGTTGAGAGGGTAGATCCCGTTGTCGACTCGGTGATTCAGTATATGCGCACACACCTCGGCTGCGAAAAGGTCGGGGCGGTCGGGTATTGCTTTGGGGTATGTATGCGAAGATAGTCTGAGGGATCATGTCTCTTACAAAGTACACTATTCAGGCAAAATACGTCGTCCGATTCCTGAAGCCCGAAGAGGGAAAAGTTGATGTCGGATATATCGCGCATCCGGGTTTTGTTGAATTAGAAGAACTTAGTGCGATTACAGGCCCCTTGAGCATTGCAGCTGCAGGTGAGTGATAGTTCTTCCGTTGTATAGATATAAGAGAGTACGGCTAACCTAGGCCGCAGAGACTGATGACATCTTTCCAACGTCAAAACGCCATCAGTCAGAAGTCATTCTCCGTGATGCTGGCCAGCCATACCAGATCAATCTCTATGGTGGAGTCGAGCACGGGTTCGCCATTCGTGCGGACTTGACCGATAAGGCGAAGAAGTTTGCAAAGGAGCAGGCATTCCTGCAAGCAGTCCAATGGTTCGATGAATTTATCAGGGGTGGGAATTGACATGATTTCTAAATAGAATCATCGACAACCAAGACAAGTGCGGGTATTTGATTCAAGTGCACCAATAGCAACGGCGGGTCCAATGCCCCTTGAGGACATGTACCCATGGGCCATTGATTTGTGTGTTTTTGAAGCGTTTGACTACCTGAATGGCGGCATCGGCTGTGGCTACAGCCGCCTGGTCCGGCGTGCTTCCAGGTCGTGGAGCGATCTTAGTAGGTTTTCCTCCTGTCGAGGTCAGCGATAATTGAAATACCTTGGGTCGACGGAAAGAGGGTCATCCATCCACAGTCGAAAGCCTTGAAATCTCTCTATTTATACTGGGAAATTTGCATCAAGAATATATGTGAACCGCGTTGGCAGAACTGACTAATCTGGCACCGTATGCTGCATGCCCTCGTCCGACTTCGACCAGAGCAATGGCAGCTAGCTGTACGTTGCGGTGCAGCCCTACTTACTTATCCGTCTCCGCTTTGACCTGCATATGGCCTCTCCATCAGAATCTGTGTCACTGTAAGTTTGCCCTAAACCAGGATAGAGTATCGTGTTCCTATATGTAACGATATCATGCTTATTGTTCCTCAATCCTTCCTAGCATTCACGACACTCCCTATGATCCGTTAGTTAGTAGGCTCTAAGCTCCTCCCTAATCCCTGATCATAATACGCGTAGTAATGCCATATTTCAACCCACGTTGTCCTTTTCTGTTCACATCGCTCCCTTGAATCGTCGCCATCGGCAGCATAACTCTTATCCAGGTGCTGTTATGGCGTCCACCGAGCAGAGAGTGAATAATGCATCTCCTACCTTATTCGAGATGGAAGACCGCTGGCAGCCGATGAGTCGACAAAAGCCAGTACCGACCGAACGGGACACTGATCCTGTGGGAATCAATTCGGGTACAGAAGGGGAGCAGGAAAGCAAGCCGCCCCGAAAATACTTATCAGGCTGGAAACTATGGTTATTAACGGCTGGGTATGTTACGCTAGGCTCTTCCTGAGCAAAGCAAGGCGGAAACTCATTGCACAGTGTTTGGATTGCCCTCTTTCTCTCCACCATCGAGACCACCATTGTCAGTACCTCGTTGGTTTCGATCACCAACGCCTTGAACGGCTTCTTGATTAAGGACTGGGTTGTTACTGCATACCTATTAACCTACACAGGTGAGTAGCTTGTAATAGAGAAGGTTAAAACCTATAAAACAACGACTGACAGAATATCTAGGTTTCCTCACCATCTTTGCAAAATTCAGTGACATCTTTGGAAGAAAGACAATGCTCATCCTCGCCCTGATTATTTTCTCATTGTCTTCTCTTCTGTGCGGTGTCTCTACCTCGATTGTTGAACTGTGAGTTATAATAAAACATACCCGACCCAACTATCAATACTCATTTGTGACTTAGAATTGTATTCCGCGCATCCAGGGTATTGGTGCGTCAGGGATCTACTCCATGGTCATGGTGATTGCACCGGACATGGTACCCCCCGAGAAATATGGCAAGTATATGGGGATTGTGTCAACAGTTTTCATCGTCGCCAGCGTCCTGGGGCCCATCCTTGGCGGGATCATCAACACGCATTCTTCATGGAGATAGGTTTTCCTTTTCAAGTTAGCTGACTGCAGGGATTCTCAGTACGAGGCTAACCAATACCAGTCTTCCCGGGGGTCTTGTGGCCCTCATCTTGATCGTGTGGTGTCTACCAACATCCGAGACGAGTTCGAGGCTTACGTTCCGCGAACGTTTGCGGACCAAGCTGTCCAAGTCGGACTGTGCGCGAGTGGATATATGTGGCATGTTTCTTTTGCTCGCCTCTTCTGTTTTACTTGTTTTCGCCCTGGAGGAAGGAGGAAGCCGGTACCCATGGGACAGCGCCGCCATTATCGTCCCGTTCGTGCTGGCAATCATCGCTGCCGTCGTTCTCGCAATCTGGGAGGTTTCCCTTGAGAGGAAAGGATCGGTTCAGGAACCAGTTTTTCCTCCTAGCATTCTCAAGAACAGGCTGCTGGCAGCCATGCTGCTGTAAGTTGCGGTTAGGCTCGAACTAAGTACCCTCCTATTGATGTGGAGTAGTACAGCCTTCTTTGTCGGCTTCCCATTTGTGGCCATCGTCGTCAACGTGCCGCAGAGAGCGCAGGCCGTGAGCGGTCTGTCTCCTCTGAAGGCTGGTCTTGCCTTGCTACCATTGCTGCTAGCATCCCCATTTGCAACAGCTTTGTCTGGATTCTTGACCAGCAATTTGAGAATCCCACCTTTTTACCTCGTCCTCGCGGCGTCAGTCTTACAGTTGATTGGAGTCGGTTTGTCTTGCTCATATCCTAGTGACCGGACCGAGGTTCCTCCATCGCAATACGGCTTCGAAGTGATTATGGGGATAGGTTTTGGACTGGGCCTGACCACGATCCTCACCTTCGCTCGTGCAGTGGTGGAAGAGAAGCACATGGGTAAGTTTTCAATGAATAGAAGAATTACCGTAGCCATTGCTTCACTAACTCCATTAAGCCGTCATGATGGGTGCCGTAACGCAGATCCGCGTGCTGGGAGGGACAATATCGCTTGCAATTTGGTAATTCTTCCCCAGTCTCATTCAATATGCGTATTAATTCGTAATAGCTCTACTATCCTGAACAATCACGTCAAGCCTCGCATACTTTCTGTCGTTTCCCCCGAGCAAGTGCAGGCAATCTGCGACTCGCTATCTGCCATCAAGGACTTGACTCCGTCTCAACAGGCGGCGGTCAAAAGGGTGTTTGCTGAGGGCTATAATTTGCAGAATATCTTCATGACTGCAGTCACGGCTCTGGGTCTCATCACGACATGTTTCCTGTGGGAGAGGCATCCGAGGAAAGCAGTATAGCAAATGACCTAGCTTAGTGTAGCACTATCGTTCACTTGGTATCTATCTGCATCTAAATTAGGCGGCTCATGTCTCGATTAGATAGTCTTGAGAAGCCCTCTGGACCCTTGATCAGGGTGCATTGACGCGCCGCGTAACAGTCTTCCTTGGTCTGGTCTTACATGTTTTCCAACACGAGTCAATGCTCACTGGGAGTGATGTATGGTCCAGCCTGCCGGAGTGGTTGCCTGAAGAAATTCTATAAACACAGATAAGTGAAACATCATCAAATACAAACGGACAAAATATGCTAGAATTCGGAGCAGTAAAGAACATAGAGGACTTACCGTGATACTAGAAGATAATAATATTACCGTGCCTTCTTGATTACATCAGTTGTCATCTCTGTCGTCTTTCCGTACAACAGTGCCAGCACGACCGAGATCTGGATTTGGCATATCCTGTGATATTTAACATCGTTTTGCTCAGCCAGATGCTCTGTCTGTTTGCCTGTAATTGTTTGCATATGGGACGGTGGTAACGTGTCTCTCGGACAATGGAGATCGGCAAGGGGTAAAAGGGATATGAAGATAGGGAAATTGATGCCTGTAAAGGTAACTGTGTGATGATTTTTTCAATCATCGGAATCGGCACAAAGATGTTAATCATGTTATAATATTTCTCAGAAGTTCATCGAAGCTCCGGTGTAGTTCGGTTATTTCTCGATGCCGAGTTTTCTCCGTATGACGGTATGACCTAATTCATGATATTTCTCGCGCGGTAGACTTCTGTCAATCCATGTCTATTAAGACTATACCGTAGATAAAGATCTAGAAGTACAAACTGAGAAAGATATAAGTTATAACTTAGGTACCGAACTTGTAAACAGGCTAAGAGTATCTTTGGTGGATGCGCAGTTAGTCCTAAGCAAAGCGGCAAGTGAGTGACCTTATGATGATGCATCTCTCGACAACTTCACCATTACGTTTGTCATACTCAGCTCAAATACACGTCAGACAGATACTAGCTTATGCCAGTAAGATCCCGAGAACCCGCGTAGAAGCTCTGATTTAACACGGAAAGATTTGCTTGTATAGGATGGCTGAAACTCGGCTTTCGGATTTTGGTCGGCCACACAACAGTATGGTGATTCAGCGGCAATAGCTTGGTGCTTGTGAGTATATATATCCCGGAGGTCCTATTAGCTATGAGTTAATATAATTTTATATTGCTACTGCATAATAAGTTATTGTCGATATCTCGCAGCCTCTCGCAGGCTAACTCCCACCATGTCGACCCTACCTCCAGAAAGATCTCAAACACGACGCAATACTAACAACCTTGGATTGGTACCAACAGAAACTAGAGAGACTCTCCATGAAGCTGGACTGAGCCCAAGTCCCCCTGAGATAGGGATCAATTATCCCGAAGTCGGACGTCCTGCCGACCCCATTTTCCCCGAGGAATACAACCTCGAAACTCAAACTGGGTTGGTCCCAGCACGGACTCTTGAATCGGTCCGTACGACAACCAGCAGGGGCCGGCAGATCTCGCCGGCGGATGTGGAAAAGGGAGGCGAACCCGTGGATTTTGTCACGTTTACGATTAATGATCCCGATAATCCGCATAACTGGAACCGGTTATACCGCTGGTACGTCACCATGGTTGTCTCGATAGTCGTCGTGTGCGTCGCGTACGGGTCGGCATTCGTGACCGGTGGACTGGGCCTGATTGAGAGAAAGTATCATGTCTCTCTCGAAGTGGCTACGCTCACCGTTTCGATCATGGTCTGTGGGTTTGCGGTTGGCCCGTTACTTTGGAGTCCGCTTTCTGAGATCATCGGCCGTCGTCCAGTGTATGTCATTTCGCTGGGACTGTACACCATATTCCAGATACCCTGCGCACTTTCTCCCAACATCGGTGGATTGCTGGCTTGCCGTTTTCTTAGCGGCGTCTTCTCCAGCTCCGGCCTGTCGCTGGCTGGCGGTACCATTGCGGATATCTGGAATATCGAAGAGCGCGGCATGGCGATTGCCTTCTTCGCCGCAGCGCCCTACTGCGGTCCCGTCGTGGGCCCCATCGTGTGCGGCTGGATCAACGTCGGTTCGCATCGACTGGACCTCTTCTTCTGGACCAACATGGCCTTCGCCGGCGCCGTCATGATCCTCGTCGGCCTGGTGCCAGAGACCTACGCCCCCGTCATCCTGAAACACCGCGCAAAGAAACTCCGCAAGGAAACAGGCAACCCCAACATCATAACCGAGCAGGAAAAAGTCAAACTGAGCTTCGGGGATATCGTGCGCACAAACCTCGTCCGTCCCATTACCATGATCATCACGGAGCCCGTCCTCGACCTGATGTGCATGTACATTGTGCTCATCTACGCCATGCTCTACGGCTTCTTCTTCGCCTTCCCCGTCATCTTCGGCGAACTGTACGGCTTCAACGACGGGCAGATCGGCCTGATGTTCATCCCGATTCTGATCGGCGCCGGGTTCGCGCTCCTCGTCACGCCCCTCATGGAGAAGCAATTCCGGCGTATCTGCCAGTCTCGCGTCCCGACGCCCGAAGACCGACTCATCGCTGCGCTGATCGGAGCCCCGTTCATCCCGATCGCATTGTTCATTCTCGGCGCTACCTCATTCAAACACATTATCTGGGTTGGGCCAGCCTCGTCGGGTATCGCATTCGGCTTTGGCATGGTGCTCTGCTACTACGCGGTTAACAACTACATCATCGATTCGTACCATAAGTATGCGGCCTCGGCGCTCGCCGCGAAGGTGTTTCTGCGATCCGGTGGAGGCGCGGCGTTTCCGCTGTTTACTACTCAGATGTATCATAGGCTCGGCCTGCAGTGGGCGTCGTGGCTGCTGGCCTTTCTGGGGGTGGGCATGGTGTTTATCCCGTATGGGTTCTATGTGTATGGGGCGAGGATACGGGCGAGGTTTGAGAAGTACTAATTGCAGTAGGAGCATGTAATATAGCGTAAGATAGATAGGTTATATAATAGCACACATCATTTCCAATGAGCAACCGCTGATGATCCTCTACAGGCAGCGCGTATTCTTCCTTGGGCATTTACTGTTATAAAGACCCCTAAAGCCTGGTGGCTTTAATCTATAGCTTAGCAATTCATACTATATATCTATTTAGTAGATTGGATATCCCTCGTGTAAAACTTGTGGTTTTAATACGTATGAGGAGATATATATGTGAAGATTTTACATAGCTTCTTAATAAGATCATCATCACCTTACTGCAACTGCTAGCATGGCATTAATATATTATTAGTTGGGCATGTACCAAGAATCTATTTTATAATAATTGCCTAGAGGCACAGTGACTAATTTACTACCCTCTTCTATACTTTTACCCTAATCTGCATGATCTCTGTTGGTTGCTGCCTTCCAAGGCAGAGTGGATTCAGTGCTCTACTATTCAGATATCTTCAGTATAATTCACTGATCTATGAGTATCTTCACTGGGGTGAATAAATTTATGTAAGGGCCTGGAGCCCTAAACCAAGTAGGACCTGCCTTATTTGCAGTGGATAATACTCTTAGGCTTGGCTTGTGTAGGTAGTTAGTGGAAAATGCCATGAGAGGGAAAATACCATGTGGATAGGGCTGACGCTTGGGTTGATCCTGGCCATAGGTATGGGTTTGGACTTAAGATAGAAACAAGCAACATAATTAGTATTGATACACATATGCTTGAAAACGGTCCTGGCTCAGCTATCTGCTATAATCATCTGCCTACTGTGCTGTAGCTCTTGGAGCATGTAGCGTGCTGTTGGGCCAGTATGTTGATGATATATGGTATATGCACTGAACCTAGTACCTCTTTATAACGGACATACTGAGCGACTATAGATGGTCTAGAAGATAGCGTTTGGAAAAGATTGCAATCTGGGAAAGAGGAGAAGCTTAGTGATAGCATGACTTGTGATACTAACATGGCCGTGAGGAAGAATGGAATTTCTAGAATTATAGCTTCCACCATGCCATAAAAATTTGAAACGCCGACGATACCTCGTCTCTTCAAGGAAAGTTAACCTTCAATCGTCCTGTACCACTGTCTCACTGCCACAGCAAGCCTCAGCAACACTCACTCGGCGTGATTTCCAGGAAGACACAATCTCAGTTTCCCAAAGAGGTTGCTTTCGGCGGCGGATAGGCTCATCCAACCACAGCGCGTCTTTCCCCAACGATGGCGAGTCAAGACACACCAGGACAAACATGGGAGTGGCTAGACCGTATCTGGACGTGAGACGAGTGTTTCCAGAGAACCCAAAGACAAGAAAAGCAAAAAGCAAAGGAGGGTCGCCAGTCAATCTCGCCGATGATACAGTTCTCTCAACAACTGACCTTTACACGCCGTGCTCAGCTACAGGCGTGTATTCCTCACTCGCGGGAACCGACTCGCCATTGGACTCAGCTTGCTGCGCACAGGGGACCAGGTAATTCTCATCTCACCTGCAAGGACGTTTAATGTTTCGCGATGGATTGCGGGGCATGAACATGAGGTTCATGGTGAGAGCCACGTGGACGGGATCAGGTCTGAGTTAATATTGTGGAACGATGACTTGCGGCCGATCATCTAGGTATGGTATGGGCGGGAATCGAGTGGACAGATGCAGGTTTCAGCGTATGGGGCTCTGCCGTGTGCGTCAGCCTCACATATTTAAACATATTCCTCAGCGGGCGTTGCGGATAGGGAGTTGAAAGCTCGACCTGATAGGTACATTGTATTTACTCCAGCCTTTCGCGCCATGATAGGTACCTAAGCAACGAAGGGTGCCTTGGGTCAAAGCGACCTATGAAAGTTGATCCAGACCCTCCATTCCAATCCTCGATTTTTTTTTTTTTTTTTTTTTCCTTTATTCATAAAGCTACAAGTGACAGTAAACAGACCTAAAAATGATGCTTGGTGGTGTAAGTGCACATGATCGCACCTTCCACGTAGACACACTATTGACTTTTTAGGGGTCTTGCTTTTTACTTCTTTTTACGCTCACCCACCCTGGATTCTTCTACAATAGCGGTGTATTGGTACTTGTGGCTGGCATCCAGTCTCTCACAAAGATTCTATACGTATTTCATACCGATCTTCGGTACTCGGTTAAAGATAGATTGCCACCGAAATGAATAGGCGACTACAGGCTGTCGAGGAGGTATGTACATGGAGATTAAAATGATCTCTTGCCGTACAGCCGGAGCTAACCAACAGCAGGCAGGAGGACCGGACGCCCTCTGTGCAAAATGCCGCCGCATAGACTGGAGCTGGCTCGGAATCCAGTACTACCTGGATATACTTGATGTGACAACTGATTTGAGGTACCCGCTTGCGGAAGCTATAAAGTCTGCGGCCACTTGTTGGTTCTGTGGATGGCTGGTTGCTATGGCAGAAGACAAGCATCATGATGATGCCGTATCTGGTAGGGTTGTTGTTGAGATAAACAGGAGTGAGGTTCCAATACTGTGGCGCGAACAGGTGTGGCACAGTCGAGCCGATAACCTTCCTTCTCTGTACCGGATCCAGGTCCTTGTTAGCGAGTATGGTCCTCGTCTAGATTACCGCAGAGGCTTTATCCACAAGGCCAGTGGGACTCGAGGGCCTGTGCACGTTTCTGATATGCTTGACTCATGGGACACGGTGGAAGCCGAGCCTTACTCTGCACGACTGCGCCCTGTCAAGGCTGACACGCGACTATTCAAATTCTGGAAAGATTACTGCATCAAGGAGCATGGAAATTTGTGCGAAAGGAGCGGATGCACCCCAGAGCGTCTGCGCTCGATGCCATTTATTCGGTTGGTTGATGTTCTCAGAGAGTGCGTCGTCGCTTTGTCAACTTCCGAGCATGTGAACTGGGTGGCGCTGAGCTATGTCTGGGGCGAAGCTCAAAAGCACGAATTAGTGACGGCAAACTATACCTTGTACCACCTGCCAGGGGCACTAAAGTCTCACAAAATGCCTGCGACAATAGTTGATGCTATGACAGTTACCAGGGACCTTGGTGAGCAGTATCTTTGGGTGGATTCGCTCTGTATCATCCAGGACAACGAAGAGGATAAGCGTCGTTATATTCCGGCTATGGACATTATATACGGACAGGCAATTGTGACAATCATCAACGCCGGTGCAGATAAAGTGTCCACTGGCATTCCGGGTCTAGGGCATGGCCCTCAACGTACGGCCCAGGATGTGTTCACGATCAACAATTCGACGGTTGTGGTGTCGCTCGATCAACCATATCATACGACAGAATCGTATCTGAAAAACACCAAGTGGAATAATCGAGGTTGGACGTACCAGGAGTGCCTCCTGTCGCGACGATGTCTGATATTCACCCCGGAGCAAGCTTACTGGCAGTGCCTTCGGGCATCTCTATGCGAAGATGCAATCTGGGAAGAGCATATCTGCAAACAACAGCGCAACATATACAGACACTGCCTTGGTCGGGACGGCACCGATGAGATCACGATGGGGGCCTTATTGGGGAATGCATCTACCCACTGGTCCAAACTGTACTCATTGGCCCTCGAGCAATTCCGCCAGCGACAGCTCTCCTCAGAAAGTGACTGGATGGATGCATTTACAGGTATTCTTCGGGTCCTAGAGCACTCAAGGGGACAAGAGTTCTTCTGGGGCATGCCCAAAAGTCGATTCGAGCCGTCCTTAGCGTGGGTTGGGAACGAAGCCCTCAGACGCAACACCGCTAGCCAGGTCATAGCGGCAGGCACTCAGACAGTTTCCTGTCCCTTTCCGAGTTGGTCGTGGACTGGGTGGTTTGGACGAATCATTACGGATGTCGAGAACTTCCATGGTTCAACTACCCTCCTCCCGCTTAGGTTTTATCGCCTAGGCAGTGATGGTGTCCCAACGCCCGTCCACGATAACCTGGATGATGTTCTGTCTGAGTTTCACAACGATAGTGTCGTTGCCAACGGCAGAGCAATTAGTTTTCCGCCTAAAAACAACCCATCAGATCATACTTGGATGGATACAGCAAGGACCGAAATTACCACGCTTGACATTCCGGATAGCATCCGTTTCTGTGACATCGCTCCATCGCTTCTTTGCTTTTGGACTAGCACGGCCATCCTGGAGATCTCGCAGGACAGGCAAAGATCCAAAAGCGAGCCTTTCAAAGAAAACACTACACTTAGTGACGGAGAGGCAAAGGTCTGCGGACAACACCACTGGAGGGAACCCCGGCTTGACGTTAAACAGGGCAAGTTCATCGTGGTTGGTGCTATCCAGACAAAGCTCAATCAGGGAGCATTATTCACTCTAAAGCTAATGTTGGTCGAAGAACGCGAGTCTGGAGTGTGCTACCGGCGCTGTATTATTGGTAACGTCTTAGCATCAGCCTGGGCAAAGTTGGGCAATCTCAAATGGGAGTTAATCTATTTAGGTTAGGCTTCTTGATGCAGTTACTAGAGCCTCTAATGTAAAATAAATATTCCTTTCATCGTTCTCAGACTACTTCATTCCAGCAGTCACAAGCTCGTATCCCTTAGCCTTGAACCACCACGATCAAGGAAAAGATTAATCTGCACGTCCATGCTGCCTGTCATGAAAGTTGCCGTTTCTCAAGCCTGGGAAAGAATAAACAGAGCCATCAGTCGACCCTTACTATCTTGATTCAGACCATTTCCAGATACTCGTAAAACCCGCGACTTGGCCAATGAACCCTCGGCAGTGTGGCTACGCAGCCTTTGACCCCAACCCACCAAGTGGCTCACTGGAATACGGTGCCATATTACAGGACCAGAGAAAGTGAGCCTATTGTCTTTGCTTGGGACTATCTAATTCCGCGTTTCCCTTGCCAGGGTCTCAAGACTGTTGCTCGCACTTGTTTTTACTGAGTGCTCAATCCTATGGCATTCTTGTTATAGACCAATTTGTTATCGCCAGTGGGGCCTTGCGCTTGAATTGCTTAAAACAGATTCGCGCATTGCTGGGCGATTGAGGAGGGAGTCGATGCCCTGATCTGGAACTGCGTGTACCTCCCGTCATTCCAAAACTGTTTGACGGCGATGATGCTCTTTCCGGCTTTGGCGTTGCATCGGCCAGAGCTATTGCGCCAGGCTCTACGCCTACTATCTCTGCCATTTAGCGGCCTTCTGAACAGAGGTCCTCGATAGAGTACCTCGTCCTTGCCTGCAATTGTGGAGAGAAAGAACAGACTGACATCCCCTACTTCTACAGCCAGCTATAGTCGCATTGTGCCTCTGCGATTGGGTGAAGACTGGTTTATGACATGTAAGTATTCCCCACTTTCTGCTCTGCTCCGGCATCATCACATATATCCTTGCACAGTATGAGAGCAGCCAGTCCTGTCACTTGTAACCATGCCAAGGACTGGTCATCCACAGCCTTGCATCTAAGCCCCAGCTGGATGTGGGCGCACAACGTGGATCCAATGAACGCTTACAATGTGCAGTGGCCCAAAGCACTTTTGAAGTGGAATTTGGCAAATCAAACTGATCGTTCCGCTACTGGGTGTAGAACTGGATCAACAGTCCCTCGACCCCCGTATGGCCACCCGCCCACCTCCGTCCTCACCTCTGGGGCTCAAGTCAGGGCAACTATACCTGATCGCCGTACTTAAAATATGTTCCCAGTCCGGTGCGCTGTCCGCTCTTACTTTTCCAATTCCGCATTCTCCCAGACCTTCAATCCCAATTCCCCTTTTGCCGCACGCACCCTCACCAAGGCAGGCTTTATCGGAAGACTCAATCACCGAGCCATGTGTCACGAACAATATGTGCAGTGGAAATTCGGCTGTGGTGCCCCTACCATCAAGCATAGTTCAAACACAACCAAATGCAACAGCATTGGGAGCAGAGCCTGCAAGAAACAGAAGAAGAAGCCCCAGTGTCTCGGTACCATCGAACACACGCGATGCGGGAAATGCTCGACTTGCAGGGGGTCAAGCCAGAAGAATGTGAGAACTACCAAGGCTAAATGAGGCGTTGGGTAAGTTTAACTTTTGCATTGCTGTTTTGGGAACTGAAGATATTTATACGTGTAGTGTATCTCTTCGATCAGAGGCGCATGCAACTGACCTTGTCACTAAGCTCTGCTTGTTTTGGGGCACTTATTAACTGGGTGACTTTTTGGCTTTTGTGAAATTTCAATGGCGGTATTCGAGACGTCTTGGGAATATTTTATTATATTGGCCCAGGCATCAATGGAAAGCATAATGCACTGCGATCTATTTGCTTTGTACAAATACCTGTCGTCGGGCTTCGTTCCATTTAGCTTCTCTTAGTTTAACCGTAGTAGGAAAGTGTCAGGGTCGTCGAAGAGGAAAATATCATCTTGACTTCAATAAGACCGCAGATGGCGAGAACTGAGGTTGAACCGCCAAAGAAAGGCCGGCCACTTAAGGCTCAGAACTCATAAGGAAAGCCCTTTAGGAAGACTAACAGACATGGGCTCGTCAACTATCGCAAGAGAGCGCCGTGGTTGGTACAACTAATTTTGAAGTCCGCGACCTGGCTTACGTGCATCCCTTGTTCTACGCTTCTGCCAGCTATATGACGAGGTCGCGTATCTGCTGACGTTATGAAAGGCGCACATGGCGCCCGTCCCTTAACTTAGAGCTAAACGCAACTAGGATATCCTACCGACAAAGCCCGATGTGGCCATTTCAAGGTTATACGCGGGTGAACGGCACATTCTGCCTTGCCGCAGCCTTGTCCGAAGCCTTGTCTGCAAGCTCGTACAACATAAGGGGTAAATTCGGCAGAAAACGTAAAAATGTAGAAGATGCATAGCAAACATGCATATGAGAGCAGTCCTGATTCGAGTCCGTGACTTCGCAGATTCGAAAACCGCCCATGTTGGGTGTAATGCAGGCGTAATTGGCCAGAGCCTCACAAGGCTGACCTTAGCATCGTCCCTCTTCTCACTAACCAGCCCCCGCTCTCACCGCACACATGTTGGCCATTCTGACAACGACACTAGAAAAGCCTCAGAAATAGCAATGTTCTGTCCTTGGAAGAGTCTTTCGGAATGGGCCCCCTTTGAGATCGATGCTCTCGGGCTGCTGACTCTGTTAGGTGCGAATGAGGTGGATATATCTGTTGGTCGGCTTGCCCCCAGCTATTGGCTTGAGTATATGCCCCTGCTTGCTGGATTTGTGTTTGCAGGCGACAGATTTCGTGCCAAACAGCCAACATTCACATTATACAACGTCTCTAGCGGGATTGTAACAGCGAATCTGGCAGCATGGTTTACCAGGTGGATGCAAGCGCAAGAGTTCCATGTCTCCCGCAGCCTAGTCTATTGGGAAGTGAACAAGTCATCGCCACCACGACTTGACCAGTGGTCCTACGTGCTTGTTCCGGCTTCGATCTCAGCTACTCTCACAATGCTTTTCGTTGCGATGACGATTCTGTCCGGGGATTGGTACGGCTTTGCAAACGCAATTGCCATCATCCTACTCATTCTCGTCCGCTCTTACATGATACACGAGAACCGCAACGCAATTAACAGATCTGTTGCGGCCGCAAAGCCACTTCCATCAACTTATGCAAGCGCCCTAGACAAATGGGAGGAGCAACGGAAGAGAGACCCGAACGCGCCGCGACCCCTACCGGACTCCCCCTCCTCTTCCGCCCCTCCACGGTGGCGCCCGGAGGTAGTGAAAATCCTGGTCGTCATGCCTGACTCGCGGGCCGTCACCATGTTCATTCCCGAGCATCTTCTTCGCGGGGTCTTTGTCACCGAGACCCCCGTCCGCTCCCCCGGCGTGTATCGCATGGCGCAGTGGATCGGGTGGGTAGCATTCACTGTCCACGTCGTCACACTAGGCATGGCCCGGCTCGCAACCCAGCTCTACGTGATTGCGTTTACAGTGATTCCAACCGTGTTGATCTGCTACGGCTTCGGCTGCGACGACTCCCGTGTACATAAAGCGTGGTGCTGGCTCCGGGGGCAGGACGTCGGGCCGTACGTCTACCAGGCCGGGCCTCATCTGAGCGCGACAGTTTTTGAGTGGCCAGAAGACGTGGAGTTTGCCACGGACAAAAGAGGCGTCCTGCGCAGGTGGGATGAGCTAGCGGTGCAAAACGGCGGGCCGGGTTGCAAGAAGCGATCGACAGCGCGGCAGGATTTATATGCGTGGCTGAATCTCACCAGCGAGGAGCAGAAGAGCCTTTGGGACTGGCATTTGCTACCTCATACGCGCGGCGTTGATGATTCGTGGTGGGTTACCTTCAACGAGAAGAAGCGCCTCATTAGCGAGCGGCCGCCGGACATCCTGGCTCTCAAGGACTCTATTCGACGTGACTTAGAAACGAGAAGATCTGGGCGTTGGTCCTTTCGGGGTCAGCCACGGGGTACGGGGGATGTTGAAAAGGGGTCCAGATGAAGGAGACAGATGGAATGCTTCATGGTTGGGTGGGTGAGGGCAAGTCAGGAAACTTCATCCTGTGAAATTTGAATCTATGGTCAGTTTTGTCGCCTTGACTATGTGACTCCCTGCGATGGGTTGCAGTTTTGTGTCCAAACACTCAAGATAGAGGGCTGCCTAGATATCTTGTCAAGGTTGGAAATTTTGCGAAATACTGTAATTGAACCTTCCCAAAAAGACGCCCAGCGGTATAAAGCACCGCATTTCAGTCGCCCGGTTGAAGCTGCTTATCAAGAACACGTAAAAGGAAGCAGCAAACATGTCTTGTTAGGTTGTCATACGAGATCAGAAGAGAGGGATCCGCAATAGATATAATTAGCCTATTCTAAGAACTCTCCAGGTACCAGTAGTTAGAAAAACAAAGCTAACAGCCACTACTGCGAAACCTGTCGAGATTACATTAAGGTGAATGTCGGGAGCCTGGACGCCCCAACCCGCGAAATGATATCCTACCCTATCTCAATGTAGACATTTTGCTTCGCTACCTACCCTATAGAGTCGACGCCCTTGGCAGACATACTGGTGAAGGATGGCGACCTGGATACAGCCCTGGTCTGCGCATAACCAGTCGCCGCCACGCGCCGCAAGCGGAGCGCTCGCGAAATCAATGCCGACTGCGTTCTCCGCTTCCTCTTCTTTAAGCTCACTTGGCGCGGTGTGTCTACTCCATAGGCACTTACACTATCACATCTGAACGTGCAGAGCTGCATGCCATGGAGGGACCGAGCAAAGCCACCCACCTGGGCAATTTGCCGAGCTTTGAACCGAGCTGGTCTCCTTCTGTTTTTCCTGCCCAGCCAGGCCAGCAGTCCATTCCCACCCTCGATGCTCATGGTTTCGCCAAGAACTTGTTTCGTCCAACACTACATCACCCTGGCAGTTGCATTCTTTGTGCTCTTTGATAAATTCAATGTACTCATAAGCGTAGTACCGCTCATGGTAGATACCCGCCGCATGCTCAGGCCTGAGTTCCTCGAACGGACGATTCGCGGGAGGGAAGCGGAAGCCTGTCGCGCATTCTAGGTACTGAGGGCTAGTTCCTTGACGCGAAGGAGTTTTCCGTCTCCTAAAAATGAAAAGGTGGGAATCTGGTCACTTACACGGACGCGTGGGTCCTCCTAACCGTCAGAAGACTCGGGACGGTTCATATATGGGACACCTAGCAATGGACACCCCGAGGGGAGAGCGCCCTGCCATTTTTCTGCCGGCGAGACGGGTCTTGATCGTAGTGTGATCACGGATTACGTATAGGCTGCGTGTTGTTATGGTGATTGCCTTCATCGCCCGGCAAATGACTTCATAAGCTGAGGCGGCGTATTCAATACGAATAGGCTATTAGAAGTCACGAGGGAGCAAGTCGTGGAATGCATAGATGTGATCTCGCGAATCTTTACACTGGTTTTCCCAGAAAGCCGTCGAGGAAACTTTTTATGGGTAGGTATGATGCGGTGACCACGCGGATCAGCATCTATGATCGAATCGTCCTCGCATGGCACTCTCTCGAGACACCAAAGGAGACTCTGTGGGAGATAGCGTTCCCAGACTCCTGCCAAGTATCTGGAGCGTAAGGCCGCCGCAAGAGTTTTTGCAATACCTGGCAGGGCAATCAATTTATCTCCAGGTTTTGGGTCAATGAGCACCTAGTAAACGCGGAAACTGCGTGGGTCCAATATTATAAGGATTCTCCTCTCCCTTGAGAAGGGAAGGCCAAATCTTTCGCTGATTCACTAGGGGGTGTTGGATTCGGACTTCGCCGGAATTACCATCACTCATGAGAGATTCCCGGCATTCGTACATCAGAGGTGACCCGAAGTAGATAGTCCGCGGTGCCAGGTAGCGTTCCTGAATCGAACCCCCCCCCCCCCCTTGTTAACCGGGCCGACCGTGCCAGCCTCCTTGGATAAAATCCTTTGGACTCTCCACAAGGTCGAGGGGGTGGGTGAATGGCGATTTGACTGTCGGCTTCTTAGCATCTAACAACGATTGTCCTAGCGTCTCGGCCTCTGAAGCGGCTAATGTGCAGATCGCGTTTCTGTAAACAAGATGCATCGTCACTGACTCCTTCTGCCAGTCCTCCTGGGAGTTCTGGATTATGCAAAGTGAGTCAACCCACAGGTACTGGAATCCAAGGCCACTAGTCATTTCGATCACATCCCGAAAGGTTGACCGTAGTCTTGGTGACCATTTCACAAAGCGAGCAAGACGTGGCTGCCTTGGCAATTTCTGCTATGGATCGTTTGTATCTGTGTTCGATTGTTTCAAGAAACTCAATGTTACGTTTCATACTATCCTCATCCGAGTCGCGGTCGCAGACAAGAGGGAGCCAGTTAGATCTGTTAAGAAACGAGAGACAACTTCTGCAGACGTTCGCCATGGTTTGAAACGGGTAGTACAAAGGAACCGAAAGGAAGATTCATCTATCGATTCATGGCGAAAATAGAGATCCAAGCCGGAAGCAGTCAACGCTCTGTGTAGCGTGGCTAAGACAAAAATAATTTCGGGGTACATCACACTGCAGCGAGCATTGCTCGTTAGAGAAGCGTACATGGAAGGAAAGCGCATCTCTTCCTGATCGGAATAGTTCACTCTGTCCCAGTAGCAAGGCTTTCTCCGACCCTGTAACCTGGCAGTGACGTGGCGGCTGTTGCACTTCTGGGATTGGGCCTGACAGGTGATTACAAAATATTTAGATTGAAACTAGGCTAGATAGTGGTACTTTGGCGATGAAAATTATAGAGGGTTGAAATTCTAGGAATCACGTGTCGGACGCTTGAAACCAAAAGGAAATGCAGCGAGTCATCAGCCTTTGCTCCCCAAATCTCTAGAGTCAACAATCAGACTCTTCATTGCATAGGTTTACCATGTTTAGTGTAAAGCTGATTTGGGGCGTCAAGGAAATTCGACTTTTCCTCTGCACTCCCAGGCCAGCGTTCAATTGAGGCCAAAGGCTACCTACCTCTGGCTGGGCGATGCTATGCAATATCCGCAAATATCCGCCGCCGGGCTCTTTGTGTTATGCACGAGTCTTAAAAAAGCTGCGTACAGAACGGTAATATCCCCCTGGCAGTGGCGCATCGCATTGCATTAACTGGAGGCCGACTAATGTATTCGGTAAGCGAACTGTATTACTCTTCCCTACTAAATAACAGATTTGAGAATACAAATAACTCAATACAGAAGACATATAGTGACCTGAAACTAATATATATAGCAGACTATCTGAATATCTACTGACCGGTCCGCTTACCGAATACGTTATACATCCGAATGCTGAGTCGTATAAAAAAGACAAGGCGACCGGGCTTAGTACCAATTATTATTGGCTCACATTGGACAAGGGATCCCTTGCATTGTTTGACGCCTGTTGTCGACGCACAGCTCTCGAATCCGCCTGATCTGTTTTTGCTTTTGCGAAGTCATGAGCTAAATTAGCTGTGAGGCTCTGCCGCCCCTCAAAGAGTGATTTATCTCTCTGTGCACCTTCGCGTTAAAGGGTGAGTCTGCATTGTAGTGTAGAAATCTCGAGACTCACTCAGCTCGTCACTGAGGAGGGAAGAGCGCATAATGCTGACATCTCGGTCATTTCACAGCCCGGCGCGGCGTTCGGCTGGGCGTATCTTAGCCACCCGGTATCCCACCCCTTATAGACACGTTCCGCATAGCTTTGTACTATTGCGACACTACAGCATTGCACTGGTGGGTCTCGGATACCGGGGCTACAGAAGCCATTTCCTCAGCCTATCTGAAGATCCGACTGTTTCAATAACCGCCGTCTGTGACACGAATCGCGTGGCGCTGGAGGCTTTCTCCGCGACACACAAGGGAATCCCCACGTACCTTTCACTACCACAGCTGCTACAGAGCCACATACCGGATTTTGCCATTGTGTCTGTGCCCCATAGCGCCCACACTCAGTGCATCACCACCCTTGCAGCAAAGGGCATTGCGGTCCTAAAGGAGAAACCTGTTGCAGAATCCATTGCAGAGTACGAGTGGATGACCAGGCTGCCAGTGAGGATTGGAATCACCTTCCAAAAGCGATTCGAACCACATTTTCTACATTTTAGGAGCCTTCTCCCGCTTGTTGGAGAAGTTGCGGCGCTTGAGGCGAGCCTCGCCCTCGGTATTACGAACCTCGAGGAAACATGGCGTGCAGCATCCGGTGTCGGAGTCACGGTAGGCTGAGCCCTGCACCCGTCAGGCGTGCAATACAGCGAACTGACGTCTCAATTGTCTCTAGGAAGACCTGGGCTGTCATATGCTCGACATGCTCGTGTGGCTATTCGGACCGCCAACCTCCGTTATGGCACACCAGGTCTCCTCTGTTCGACGTGGCCAAAGATATGGCGGGGATGATGTCTCTGACATTCTAATGGACTGGGGAGCAAAAAAGTGCATCGGCCATGTACGCCTGTCCCGCGTCGCCCATAGACCTATCCAGTCCATCGTAGTGACAGGGACCAATGGTACGCTTCATCTGGATGGGTATCAAATCACCCATCACGACATCAATGGTTTAGAGACGTTAAAGGTCAATCATCAACCACGGCAAAAACAAGTGATCCAAACCATGGCCCAAGAATTCGGCGACTGGATATCGGGTCGTCGACCTGAATTTTCATCCTCTTTAGGAAACACGCTGCACACAGTTTCCGTTGTGGACGCTATCAACGCGTCGCTTGCGAGCCGGCAGGTGCGGCACCCGCTGCTGCTGTCCTCTTCAGCCGAAAGTCTGGGCGCTGCCACTAACTGCCGGCCCTTGTCCAAAATATCCGGAAGCAGCAGAGCGTTAGCGGCCAACTTCTCTACCTCTTCCTCCTCGGCCTCCTTTGCTTATCCCAGCTACCGGGAGAAAGTATTTCGGCTTAATACTGGAGCCTCAATCCCCGCCATTGGCTTGGGTACTCGCAGAGCCGAGACGCCAGGGCAGGTATACAAGGCTGTTCGTAGCGCATTAGATGTCGGATATCGCCACATTGATGCAGCACAGTCTTCCGAGAATGAGCATGAGATTGGCCGAGCCATCAAGGATTCTGGTGTGCCACGTAAGCAGATTTGGATCACAACTAAACTCGACAACAGATGGCATACACGTGTTGGGAGTGCTCTGCAACTGTCTCTAGACGCACTGGACATGGACTATATCGACCTTTATCTCATGGTAAACGCGCCTCGAGCTATCATATGTGAGGATTCACTGGCTGACCTCACAAGCATTGGCCTGTATCCGCCTGCCCCAACGATCAGACCACCCAGCTGAAGAATTGGAACTTTGTCAACACGTGGTACGGCACAGTATAGTACTGAGAAGTAACTCACGGCCACAACGCTGACTCATACAGGGAAGCAATGCAACAACTACCATCACACATCGTGCGAAACATCGGGGTTTCGAACTTTGGCATCGCCCACCTCCGGCGACTGTTGAATCATCCATCCTGCAAGGTCGTTCCTGCAGTCAATCAAATTGAGGTAACGGCCAGATCCGTAGTAGCTTGACTCAGCCCCTGCTGACGTGCTGCAGCTCCACCCCTACTGGCCCTCTCGTCTACTCCTCACATACTGCAATAACCATGATATCCACTGCACGGCGTATTCGTGCCTGGGTTCCACTGATTCCCCGCTATTACAAGACCCGGCGGTACTTGAAATATCGCGGCTGAAAGATAGATCACCACAACAGATTTTGTAAGCGCTGCCCCTCTGGCCCCCTCTTTCCTCCGCTCATGATTTCCTCATTTCGTGCCATGCCACTCTGTATATGCTGACCTTCTTTTGGCACCAAAGAATTAAATGGGCCATCCAGCGGGGTACAAGCGCGGTACCCAAGAGTGTAAGCGCGTCAAGAATCCGAGACAACATCGAACTGGATGGCTGGGACTTGAGTCGATATGAGATAGACATGTTGGATGGTTGCAGTACGCGATTTAAATCATGTAATGACAACTGGTTACCTGAAAAGGTCTTCTTCGCGGAGGATGGCTGAACTCATAGGCAACTCGACTAAGATATATAAGTTCAGATCTCAATGTCAGTCTCTTGAGAATACCTGGCTGCCGTTGAACGTCTATTGGGGAAATTACTTCTAATGCCCTGATTCTTTTCGTTGCATTTTCATCATTGCCCCCGCTTCGCAGTACGGACCGTCACTTCAAGTGCTGACGTGACTACAAGAGTCCAAATCGCCAGGAATGCGTCGTACTTTCAATTTCTGACCCGCTGGCGTCCGCAACGGAGAAACTTTTGAGAAAATCCGATGGGATGAGGTCCTACGTAATCCCGCTACGTGTCACCGCAGCTCGGAAAAGAGCCAGACCAAAGGAGGCCACTCGGAACACAAATAAGAAGCCTCTTCGACAGGAATTGATATTTATATGAGTATGATCAGCGGGTATGTAAAGCCTACCTATATTAAGCGTCACAGGCATCATCACCGTCTTGATTCATCTCATCAACTCCACTGATCCCACCACATAAACGGCTATAATCTCGGACGATGGCATCGCAAGATGAATTTAGGCAATGCCAGTTCGTTCGTGCAGACCTTGAACGTCGCGTTAACCCCACTACGTCAATCGAGGAACCTACCTCTGACCACGGCTCTTAGAACCAGGCTGAGATTTTGTATGAGATTCTGACAACCAAGGCGAGCTGCGCTACGTAGGTCCACGCAGGACTCAGGCTAGTACCTAGTTCTGGACCTTATCTGCCTGCCCGTTAAGCTAGACCTTGTGCTACATGTCTCATTTGGTCATTCCACAGACCACAGCCCGCAGATCGCACGGCGTGGCACCAGAGCTGGTACCGCCCCAGATGTGGGCCCCCAGATGTCTGGATCAAACAATACACAAAGGAGCTATGGGGAGAGGTTCTGATGGCACTTAGACATTGACGCATGGCGACCACCTCCAGCGCCTATTCTCATTCCTCAATAAGCAGTCATTCACTGTCTGTAACAATTTAGCACCGGCTGAAAGTAGTGCCCTCTTTCAGGCGCGGATTGGTAAGATTGTGTCTCTGGCGCGGCCCAGCTCGGTGCTGCAATAGTGGACTCAATCATTAATTAACTGAGGAATGATATATTTTCAGTCACATTAAATTAACTCACTTCTTCACAGGCAGTCGACTGCCTTCTATGCTGCTTGACTCTCGATCCAGTAGCCGCCATTACAGTTAGTTGCCTGCCCATTATCGATCAACGAGCTCTCGAAAGTAAAGTACAGTTACATGGCGAAGACAACTCCACAATTACAATCAGGCAGAGCCTGTCTCGATTACAGAAACCAACTTGGTCGGCTGCGATGGTGCAGCATCATAGATGAGAAGCGCCACAAGGCACAGATCAATCCAGCCACTGGATACCAGTTATTTCATGGATCTACAAACAATGATGGTTATGACCAGGTAGATGCACACAGACCCCTGATTAGGCAGGACTTAATTATGGGCGGTACTGAACGTTATATCATTATACCCATTCAACGATTCTTGTTTCAGAATTTCCATGCATCTTCCCTGGAACCTTACTGGATTCAGCCTTTGTTTCATGTGCTCGTCAACCTCCTCTCCTCTCAATATTTTGGTGAGGAATTTGGCTGCTCCAGCTGCATGGGTAACCCACACTGCTGCTGCCATGTAGAGACCACCAATTGTTCCAATGCTTCCTACCAATGGCATATTGTCTGGCGTCATAGCGAAAATACCGCTGAACTTTTCCCTTGCGCTCAGCTCCGCTGTCGCTGGCAGTAGACTTCGAGCCTGCTCCAGTGTTGCGTCGAACTGCTCCCTCCAATCGCCAGTTGCCGCTTCTTTAGGCTCCTCATGTACAGGTCGATGAGCATAGGACCCGATCCCATAGAAAGAGCCATGGTCACGAGCATAAACATGGTGCTCCGGCCACCTTACCCACGGCGCATTGTACGGCATTGGCTCTCGCTGCTGACCATACATGTATGGATGTGCAACTGATATAACTGGGATTGGCACGTCGATACCACAAAGCTGTGTGGCCCAAATACCGGTCGCAATGACCACCCTTTTTGCCTTAACCAACCCAGCTGTGGTTATGACCCCAGTGACACAACCGTCAATGATCTGGACTTGCTTGGCGTCTGATTCGATGAGCTTAGCACCCCTTGCCCCTGCAGCTTCCTGGTAAAAAGATGTGATCCGGGTAGCGTTTGCTGTACCGTCGCTCGGAAAGAACAAAGCAAGCAAGTTATCCTCCTTCACTAAGTCTGGAGCCATTTGGGCCGCCTGCTGGGGAGATATAAGCTCAGCAGGCAGCCCAGCTTTCCTCGCCATATCATATCTGGCATTCAGTCTGTCATTTCCATTGGGGCTAGTGGCAACCTCGAGTCCCCCGACAATGTCGAAGCCCTCCGGAATTTTGGTATACTCGTTGACGCTATCGATAGCCAGGCGAGTGAGAATATCGGATTCATTGAATTGTCCGATGATACCCTGCGCATGTCCTGTCGAACCCCTCAATGGTGAAAAGGCCCGATCAATGAGGGCCACACGTTTGTCATCTTGGGGAGTAGTGGATAGAAAATAAGCCAAGGCCGAGCCAACGATCCCAGCACCGACAATAGCAATATCATAGGTGGTTTGCGAAGATTCCATGCTATGTTATGTTGTATTCTGGCCTTGAAACTGAAGTATGATCGACTTTGGAAGCCATACCGGAAACTTCGTCAGCTGTACAAATTATAACTTCTCGAGGTACCTGAACGCCAAGAGGGCCATGACATGCCAAGCGCGGGAACTCTGTTCCAGTGGCCCGAAGGGCGTAATAGTGATAGTCCTATTAAAGAGCGCAATGCTATCTCATGTCATCATTATCATCATCCACATCGTACGAGGATGGGCATGCCGACGTTATCCGCACTGAATTCTTGGATTCATTTTAAGCTAATGGAACTAGGGCTGTGAAGCTACACCTTCAACCACATCGAAACCTGAAAGTTTCAAGAAACTAGCTAGCTCAATTCCCTATTGTTGAAACTGGCAACACTTGTCCCTGCCTTAGTGTTTCGCTAAAATTCCTCCTTGCTTGATTTCATGCTAGATAGGCCTTTCCTTCTTGCTCTTTGCCTCGTTTTTAGCGAAATCGAAGCTATACTGGTAGTCTCTTCGGGAAGAGAAAATTGACTAGGCCAAACCAAACTGCACGTCGATTTATCCACCATAAGAGAGTTGTAACCTGGTAGCGACGGGTTTGGTAGGACTGGGTAGGGTTGTCACAAAAAGTCGAAGCTTAGCACCGCCACGGAGTGCACTGTCCGAAGTACGAACCACTCGCCTTGATTAGTCTTGGCGCTGTCACTTGAAGGGCGCATGAGTGGCTTGGGGTTGTCACTTGAAGGGCGCATGGGTGCATGATCAGTGACTGGACCTCACCAGCCCGATGTCGCCCCTCTCGCTCACTGGGAACACGTACTCTGTATGCTATCACCAATTCAATGAGCAGCGCATGACATCGGCTAAAGATGGGTGTTAGGAGAGGCAAGCTCGCCGGCATCGGGCTACAGCTTGCACATAAGACGGCCATCGAGGACCGCCTCAGAACTACGAGCATCCCTTGCCTTTAATCAGTTTCAATCTCCGAGAAGGCCCCCTTCGCAATGCACTCAACACTAGACATCCCATTCCTAAACGCCAACCCCACACCAAATCGAACCATCATAATCGGCGGGGGCATCGTCGGCGCATCCCTCGCCTTCCACCTCTCCACCAAAAGCGCACACCACATCGTCCTCATCGACAAAGACCTTCAGACACAACTAGGCTCAACAGGCCACGCCCCAGGCTTTGTCGGCCAACTGAACGAGTCTCCCGTCTTGACCAGACTCGCCCAAGATACCGTATCTGATTACCTCTCCATCCCGGGCGGATTCAACACCGTCGGTGGGTTGGAACTCACATCCACACCGTCAGGGTTGGAGACGTTACGTCGGAGACGGGATTTGGCGAAGGAGGCGGGGTTACCGGCTGAGCTTGTCGAGCCGGAGGAGGCCGCTTCTCTTGCCCCGAATTTCGTTGATGGAAGCTCGGTAGCGGGGGGATTGTTTTTCGCATCGGATGGGACTGCTGATGCGAAGGTTATCACGTCGTATTATCTCGAGCACGCTCGGGATAGAGGGGTGGATTTCTTGGAGGCAGCCGTGACAGGCTTCGGCACCAAGAAGGGGGACGACGAAAACATCGCAAGGATAGCAACTATCCGGACTAAGGACGGGGACATCGACTCAGAAAATAGCATCGTGATCCTAGCGACTGGGATTTGGACCTCTTCACTGCTTTCAACGGGGCATAGCTCACCTATTACACAACTTCCCATCCCCATCGTCCCCGTGGCACATCCATACACCTTCACTCGGCCTCGACCTCCACGTGCTGGCAAGCCATCCCCCTTTGTCCGCTGGTTAGACCATCACGTCTACGCGAGAGACCACGGTGACCGGGATGGTATGGGTTGTTACAATCACGCTCCAGTCCTGCTGAACCCGGATCAAAGCGCGATCGGAGCGTGGCTGTCGGATTTCGAGCAAGTACTCGCGGATGCTTCTTCGGTACCGAAGAATGGGGCTGAGTTCCAGGTCAGCGGACACAGTGGAGCCTCGGCGGAAAAACCGGAAGTAGCAGGGAAAGATCCGTTTAATGGTATCTTCGCGGTAACGCCTGATAATCTCCCACTCGTCGGCCGCGTGCCCGACGTGGGCAATCTATGGCTGTGTGCTGCGATTTGGGTCACGACTGCTGCTGGCGCGGCGAAGTTGCTGGTGAGGGAGATTCTTGGTGATGGCGCTGCTGCGCGCAGGGATGCGATGCTGCTGGACGCGCTGAGCCCGAAGCGTTTCTGGGGTCTCGAGCCCGACTTGCTTATCAGGAGGGCTTTGGGGCAGTATAATGATATTTATAACCGAGGGGCTGGGACGAGATGAAGACAGTCAGTGAGGAGAGGGTAAGCCCAGGTGCCCAATTCTACAAGATATCTGTTCTGTGAATCCTCGGCGTGGAGGGAGAGTGGTATGAACTCTGGAGTATTAGGGGCTACTCCCAAAGCCCGAAGCCGAGCAATAGAAGCACTTACGAGCCTAATAGACTCCATTTACGCAACCTTCCATAGAGGATTATGGCGATGGAAAAAGTTGATGGCCCGGCTCAAAGCGTCATGGGGTGCCTGTGTTTGAAGGATTCTTTGAAAGGTATCAAGTCTGTGGAGGATAAGGAAGACAAATCTATGTGGTGAGATGATGCTTGATATTTCCCATGTTAAGGAGCGCCTTGTCGTATCATCTCGATTCACTGGAGTTTGTCCCCATCATGCAAACTCGGTCCTCCCATTGGCGTCCTGATCCAGATTGTCATATTTCTCCCTACCTGGCCTTTCACATATATCACTGCTTTCGCGCAACTTATGTCTTCATTATTCAAAAGGTCTCAAGAATAACTGATGCACTATTTCCTCTGGTCCGAGGATCAGTCCAATTCCTGAGGATAGGTCGTCTAAGAGGAATAGAAAGAAGATCAACGACAGTGAGAAGGACAACCATATCGCCTAGGATAGCGCTCAAATCAGACCAAGTGCACGTGCCTCTTCCTTTACAATTTCTGGGATCTCATCCTCGATCTTTGATTGCGAGGGTGTCCAGCCGAGAAGCTTTCTAGCCCGCACCGCTTTGGCTTTGACCGTGTAGTTAACCACAGGACGGCCAGCAGGAGCCATGGCTGCCCTGTTCTCCATATCAAGCACCATCATCTCTTCCGATGCCAGGAGTCCTAGTTTATACGCCTCTTTCGTGATTCTGCGACAGATGTCCCCCCAGAAATATTCACCACCTTCCACAAGGTAATAGCCCTCGGAGTTCCATGCAGCTTTGGATCCTCCGAATATGGCTTCGTCAATCAGGCGAACATATAGACGAGACAGGTCGTGAATATGAACGCAATTCCAGAAAGATTTCCCATCAGCTAGCTGGAGCCCCTTGCCAGTTTCAAGAATAAGCCTGGTAAGATTATACATCTGTTCGGTTCTCCGCAAGACAGGACCCCTTCCGGTTCCGAACACTGTTGAAGGACAAACAATAGCAGTCTTCAGTGTATCAGAGCCAGCTGCTAAGACAATTTTGTCGACATTGCGATGAACAGCTTCATCTTAAGAGATGATAATCTCTATTAGTGCGTGCAGGATTTGCAATAGCTTTTATACGGACACTTACCTGGTAAAGATATAAGTTCAGAGATCCCCTCCCAATCGTTGAAAATATGTATCCGATCTGGAGTATATTGCATTTCAAGTCCCGAACCCAGAAGAATATCAGTGCCACTTGTATGAATATAGACTCCTCCCCCCCTCTTCCGCAGCCCGTTTACAATGGCTGTTGCGGATGGCACATTGTCAGCACTCATCGCAAAATGAAGGACCAGCTCATGTTTCGCTACTTCCTCCTCGATAATAGCCGGTTGCTCAAACGTGCCGAAAAATAGCCTTAGATTAGGATATCTCGCTTTGAATTGTGCTTCATGAGCTGGGTTTCGTACGAGACAAGTGATACTGGGCTCCCAATCAGGATGTGCTCTCAGAAGCTCATACAGGACGTCTCCTCCTACATAGCCGCTCTGCGGTTATAGCACAGTCAGTAAGGGCGCCAACATAGCCTTCAGAAAGTGGATGAATGGTACCGTTCCAGTAATAAAAATCTTTGGCGGTAACATCTCCTAATATCCAAGGTTTTGAGACGATAATATAAGAGACCTGAGTAATTTTTTCGCCCCGGAAAGCATAGTATAGTCCCTTTATAGGAGATACCAGTGGTTTGATTACCAATCACCAGCATTATTAATGCAGGGTAAATCCATAATCTAGCTAATCCGAGCTGTCTTGCACTCTTGCCCCTCAACAGAAATACGAGCTTTGCAAACTCAGCTCATGTCAGCAACTCGCAGAGTAACTAACTAGTGAACTAGTCCCACATCCTTCTATCTCTCTTCTTATTTTCCCCTAACACCTTTAATCCTTCTGATACCAGCAGGGCACGTATACTCAAAGATAGCCTTGCTGTCTAGATGCGTGAGTGTTATGCTAGTGCTAACGACGGTGTATGCTGCATTGAGAGCTCCAAAAGGGCAAAGGAGCTCCGCAAGAATCATCTTCCCAGAGAGGACATCTTTTCTTTAAGGTTTCTCTTAAAACTGGAGCGCTGTTATCGGAGATGGCCGCTTGATCAACACTACTCTCGACAGTCTATTCTTTTTCGCTCTGAAGCTGTCATACCCCTCTCGTTTACCTACTTCTTCTCACTTCCTCGAGAACTGCGTAATGCGATTTATTTTCATGCTCTCGCGCCCCCAACTCCTACAGAACTCATAATAAAGCCTACCGAGCCAAATGTGCCACAGATATGGCCAGATGAAATGCGCATTCCCCCGGGCTGTGTTTTCGAAAGCGGCGAAAGCGACGACTGGTCCGGACGAGAGGAAATGACGAGGCTTCTCCGAGTTAATCGCCAGGTGTATCACGGAGCTTCCGCAGTGCTCTATTCAGATTTCCGGTTTGTTGTATCGCCTGTCTCTATCAATACCTATCCTACTCTCCTGCAAGAATTAAAGGCGCGGAGTTGGTCAGAACATACGCCGACTAGTCACCAGTCAGGGTCTACCACTATTGGCAAAGAGCTGTTCAGAAATTCTACAACTCTTAAAGGCGTTACAAGGTGTTGGATTTCAGGTTTTGATATGTGATTCTCCGTGGGAATGCCCAAGTGGAGTCAATACATCAAGATGACGATGAGTGGGTGATTTCCCGACTGATAGAGACAGTGCAGATATCAGACACTTCTAGGTGACATTTATTAGCCACCCGAAAACATTACATCCTGACCTGATTCAGGAAACAGGCAAAAGGCTCTACTCCCAACCGAGGATAGAATCTTAATGCAACGGATGTCGCGGGGCGACGTCTCTTCAATGGAAAGTTCTTGAAGCATGTACTGAGAGGATGGCTGCACATCCTGTTTGCTTCGAATTCTAAACGCGTAATAAAACTTTTGGCAACTCTAGTTGCTTTGGATGGCCTGATTGAAATTTCTCGAATTTGGTCATATTCCGCTTAAACAAAGTCTAGGTTGTTTATTTGGTAATAAAGAATAGCTTTTCTTCCAAGTGTTAAGCAACAGTGATGAGGACTTCGCATCCGGGTGGTTGAGCCCGAATAGTTTGTTGTGGAGCTCAATGCATTTTCCCATCAAAGTCATAGCATCTAAACCTTATCTTATAATATCCAGGTGTAAGTTAGATTGTTCATGACATTCAGAGTAATGGAATGCTCTAATCCCAAGGCTTTCTTATAGCCCTTGAGAACATATTAGTGCATGGCTTTAGTATCTCCATAATTACCCTGTTGTTCAAGGACTGAACCAAGTAGCTAAGACTCACAAGGGTGTTAGAATGCTCTAGTCCTAGGACCTTCTCTCTCCCCTCTAGATCCCTTTAATTTATTAGACATGTAAAAGTTTATAAAAATATATGATTTAGCCGTTAAATTACTAAGACAAACAGGGAACTAACTAATCAGATTAGTAATTAGTAAACAATAGACTAAAATAAACCTAAAAATAAAAGCAGAGGGCTTATAACCTTATGAAGGAAGTAGAAGATGAAGCTACTGACATTCATGGCTATCTCTAAGAGAGAGAATGGGCTGCTACGAAACTATCGAGCCTCCAACAGTTTCGTCGAACGCAATTGCAGAGTTACATTACAGGCCACAATTCTATTCATAAGAGCCCTATATGTAACACCCTCGACTGTGCGACCATTAACATGCGAGGCCCGTTGCTTCACTCCTGCGAAACGGCTCTGTGCGATATGCTACAGCGAGAAGGAGAACCTGGTATACTCTATTGGATCTCATCGTCTCACCATCTTTCAGATCTGCTGCAGAACTAGTTTCTCCATCTCCTCGAGCATAGGCTCTGCAGATTCCTCCAGTGATATCTCCAGTGTTTTCTCCGAATCACCACTCTCCGTCAACAATTCTATAATCGTCCGCTTGATCCATTGCCGTGCTTTTGCTACCTGGAGCTCCCAGAGCGCCTTCGAAGAAGCATGCTCATGAGAAATATAAACGACAACACAAATATTGTAGGCCAGTTCACAAAGGCGCAACCCCATGGCCGATGACTTTCGAACGAACTTGGACCTGAGGAACTTTCGAAGCGCCTTGTACTTGTATTTCTGTTTCAGGGCGCTTCTAAAGGAAACGCTAAAAATGTTGAATTCGCCGTCCGCCTGTTGCACGCGGAGGATTGTGTCCAGGGAAGGGAAATCCGGTGGTCTTGGATGATCGGGATCGCGAAGTTCCCTATCCGGAGAGCGTTCTCCGCCACCTCCTTCGCAGTACGTGATAGCTAGCGAGTCAGTTGGCGAAGAAGGATCGTCCTCTTGGGCCTCATTTACATCTGGGTTAGAGCTGCGGCAACGTTTAGCTCGTCGTAGGCTAGGGCCTACGTATGGTCGGGAGTGTGCTTGAGCTGCAACGGCAATAGCCTCATCGCTATCCACATCCAATGTCGGGTACGATGTCGGATACGCATAGTGCAATTCTATGTCTTTGTCCTTGTCGGGATCATCACAGGTCGCAGCTGCTTTATGGACTTTGCCCCTCGATTGGGTTAAGAGGAACGAGGCTACGCTTGCATTTCTTTCAAGTGGCCCTAGCTCTGCAGATTGGCACACCACCTCTGGAGCTGCAGAGACTCGCGATGCGTCGTGATGCTGATCCTGGGTTCGACTTGGCGGCTTATAGGAGTCAAATCCCGGGATCCCAACCCCCGTGCCGAACCTGTCAGAGGCTTGTACAGAAAATGACGGCGGTGGTTCAGGCACCGAAAGAAGCTGCGTACCTGCCTCCTCCCTGGCAGAGGAGAAATTATTTCGAGCAGGTTCCTCGGAGCCGGGAGGCCCGCCCCCCGTCAAGGAGGCATGGAATTCGCGGCGAGGATCATCGAGCAGAGATCTCCAGAAAGAAGTATCGTCACGGACAAAAGAGCCTTTTCTTTTATCTGTACGTCGTTTCGTAGAGGTAGAAGTATATCGTGGCCTGGTCAATTGGGAGAATTCGATAACATCCGCTTTATGGACCGATATCGCGTGTTGCTGGGCCGTGCTACGATCAATAGCCACATAGCTCGTCCACTTGCTGGGTATGTTCCACGTCTGCCCGACGTGCTGTGCTTCCTGCTCCAGAACTTTTTCGAATCCTGTTGGGTTGGTGGACTTGAGGGTTGGGTTAAGTGAATGCAGCCAGCTTTGTCCGGTTTCATAGTCGTTCATCAATGCTTTCGCTGCCAAATTGTGAATGGCTGGTTGGTCAGCTACTGTCTGAATTGGCAGCTGCGCTGTGAGCTTCTCTCCTTTTTCCGTTGTTGCAGTGATATTGATCGTTTTAGGCAGTGAGTCCAATCCGCTCTCCAGCATGTAGTATAGAGAGAAATATGAAAAGGTACTCAGCACAGGGATCTGGCAAGGAGCTTGAATCCACCTGGGGTATTGCACTGTATATCCGGCAATCTGCCGCTCATATGTCTTCATGACAAGATCCTCGCCAAGATCCACATTGCACTGCAGGCGAAATGGTGTTAACGCCGCCTTCAACATTTGTATCACTCTTTCCTGCCATGAACCCATCGAGGACTCTGGCACGACCTCTGCATAGCCGCCCCCTTGCTTCCCGATGCCCTCGACCAGGCGATGAGAGACTTGGTCTCCAATTCCGAGAGAAAAGAATCTGATATTAAAATAAGCGTCTGAGGCCATTCCATGTACTAACTTTATGACGCTGTCCACATTCCAGACCTCACCGTCAGTCAACAAGATCACATTGGTTGGTACATCATTTCGCTTATTGTCGTGATCTAGAACACTCTGCAGCGCGCCATAGATTTCGGTACCGCCATAGTTTGCTTGGAATGAATCGACGTGGTTCACGGCGACATCCAGGTTCTCCTGGCTGTATCTCATCGAGAAAGGCCATAACCATGTGACCCGGGAACCAAAGGAGGCGATGTTGAACGAGCATGTTTCAGGCAGACTTCGTAGGAAAATATTCATCGCATTGATGAGAGAGGGGGTCTTTGACTTCATCGACCCTGATCTATCCGCCATGAAGATAATTTCGCCGACAAAATCCTCCATACTAATATTTTGACAAAACAGATCGCCGGGGTGCACGGTGACGGCAATTGTGGAGAGGCCGGGTTGGCCAGGCTGCGACGCTGCAATAGCTCTTGACTGCGAAAACTCGCGAGAGCTGCACAAAATGTGTAAGACAAAGTCTTGACCAAGGACGGCCTTTCTGTCTAATAACGTCGCGCGTCCCTTAGAGTAATCCAGCATGTCAGAAGATGCACTCGCTGCAAAATCTATAAAGCTTTTGTGGGAAATTGCTCCCATCTCGACCGATATGGGGTGTGACCGCGACTCCATCTTGCGGATGGCTGTCGGCATCGATGCTTGGACGTTGATTCGCAGGCCCTCCGTGAGAATTGATTCATTTCCGCTGTATCCTTCCGGCACGTCTCCGTATCGCGGTGCGATCGATGTTGGAATCGTAAGAACCAGTCCACCAGTACTGTTATCCACCTTGAGGAGGTTGGTGTACGTGATCTCAATCTTGACTGTGGTTTGCGCAGGAATATTTCCCACGCTCGTCTCAAAAACCTCCGGCACCAGCTCTTCAACCAATACGGCGACCTTGCGTTGGGAGACAGCATGTTTAAAATCTGCCCTTGCCGCTTCCCTGGCTTTTACAGCTCCCTCGAGGAGTCTGTCGTTGCCTATCCAGCAGCGAAAGGCGGTGACAACTGATCCATCGTAAATGGGAAAGACGTATCTCACATTTTGTGTGGTCGAGGAGGAAGCATTACTGAACTGCTGCGTCACCTTCGTAGTACAAAGCCTGCCATGGACGTCCACGTCGACCGAGACGCTCAGCAACGGGAGTGGGACTTCGGGAGTTGAACTATTTATTGAAGCGAGAGTGGCAGCCGGGATGCTGGACGAGGCATTATTATGGTAATGGATCGTGGGTTGAGCTTGGCCGGGCAAAATGTAAGGTTGGATAATGGTCGGGGTTATGTCGACGACATTGGGCCGGAAGAAGAGACCAGACTGGAGCCGATCAAGCACGTCCATGGCGGCCAGGCTGATATCTAGAGAACAGAGAAGTGGGGAAGACGATGATCGACGGCAGGAGGCTGCGCCTATTTATACCGAGTCATCTCACCCTTCAGCGCACTTTTGCCCGGTTCTTGGCCAGTCAGCCTTGCACAGCCTCGTATTAAGACGCGGCGGGACGATCGCTCAAAGAATTTCATTAACTCACTCACCCTAGACTATTACATTTGGGCTCCATACTCTTTTCATGTCTCCTCCCCTGCCTCAATAGGTAGCGATCACTCGTCATGGCGTTTCAAATATCGATCGGCGATGTATTGATGCTGTCGAAGCTCGCCTGGGATATCTCGCAGGCGTTCACATCAGGCAGGAAGTCAGCACCAGCAGAGTTCCAGGAAGTGCAGAATCAGCTCAGTTCACTCACGCATGCACTGGAATCATTGAAATCATTGTCCAGGGTGTCAACAGGACAGGACAATGAGGGCCCAGTCAGCAGTATCGCACCGATCCTGCAGAACTGCCGCTTCACTCTGGAACACCTTGACGCTCTCGTAAAAAAGTATATGATTATCGAGAATGACGGATCGGGTGACTCAGAGAAAAAGCGATGGCGAGAGGAGATCCGGAAGAACTGGAAAAAAGTGCGGTGGACAAGGGAAGGAGGTGATCTGACGAGGCTGCAGCATAATCTCGGAGTCCATATCAACAGCCTCAACCTTACAATCGCGGTTCTAAACAGGTACTTTCCCTCCATTGACGCCTGATATGATTGCTAAACTGTTCTTAACAGCGAGATTAATCAGAACATGGGCCAGCGAGTAGAGAACGTTCATGGAATGCTGGGAGAGATCTATGACTGGTTCATCAGCAACTTGAAAAACCGAACGATGAGCTTCTATGAGCCTTCCTCGAAACCACGAGAGACACCGCCGGAGCTGTCTTTTTCACTGCACCTGGCAGATTCCGAGCCGTTTGGCCCTGCTGCTCTATGCGACAATGCGTCTTTGAATGTGGAGTCGCTCCGAAATCCAGAACAGCCTATGTTCAAGTGCAACTGTCAGCTTCGACGCACTAGATACGGGGACATCCACGATGAAGAGCTGATGCAATACTTTGGTGAGTCTAACATCCTATCATACATCTATGAGGCCTAATGGGACCGTCAGTATCCCCAATGAGCTTGATTGTGCGTCTAAATGGACTATCGCAGTCTTGGAAAATATGGCTCTCCTCTGGCAGAACATCCCGGCTTACCAGTCTTATAATCCGAAATATAACCCCATCAAGTATGTGAGCGTCTGTAGCCTTGGACAGGGCGCTAACTTAAGAAAGAGCTCGCTATATTCGATGGTATCATATCTGGTCTCGCAACCGCAATGGCTAGTGAATCATTTCATCGAAGAACGGCCTCGTTAATGGTGTCTCCATCTATCAACCCATATACAGGGCTCCCCGTGGTTTCAGTTCTGAATATGCTCTGGTATGCCAACAGCGAGCCCTTTCATTCCTTACTTTCTAACAATCAGTTAAAGCGATGCAAGTCGACTATACAGTAGGATTGAAAATGTGAAGTTGACAGCCAACGGACACACCTACTCTACGGGCCCTATCGAAGCAGTCCAGCTGGTCCACTACCGGAATTTAACTGGCGATGGAGCGTGGGTGTTCAATGAGACGGCAGATGCGATTTTGGTTGCCCGCTTAAATTCCCTCCCAATTGACTCGACAGAGGACGAAGCATTCGAATTTACCGTCACTGGTGAGCTCCCGAAGCTCTGTGAGCTAGCGAGCAAAAGAGCTAAACTTTCCCAGTGGGCATTCAGACGCATATTACGCATGGAGAATCTGCATCAGATGTTCGTATATCTGAAGCGGACTGTCTTTCCAGGACAAAGTCTGGGCAAGAAAACCTGGTGAAAGCTGTAGATGTGGACATAGAGCTGATGGACTTGAACTGTAAGAATGCTCTCCTTATTTGATCATTTCTAACATACCTAGCCGCAAGCTATCTGGTTCAGCAACTAAAGCATCTGCAAGAGGGATTGCTCCTTTTCAAGGTTCAACAGATACTACGAAACGAGAGACTAGTGTTCGAACTGTAGGTCCCATATGACTGTTCTTCTCGAACCCTGCTGTGGGAACTGACGACTGCAGAAACCTTGATACTGTGATGGTATACGACTATCACATAACAGATGCCCTCCTTAAGCTCGTTGTCAACCTGGAAGCAAAAGAGTATCGCATGCTTATTTCGAATGCATCGAGATCGATATGTCTTAGTATTGAGTGTATGACATATATCATCCCCTGAAAGCCGGCTCCTCAGCTGATTGTTTAAGCAGTGTCAGCGGAAGCATTGCAAAAGTCTTCCAGATTGGATCAAATATACATCCCTTACGATTGTCCAGTGTGGGCTGCAGAATGCAACTTGGATGTGACTCATGTGTACCAACAGCGAAGCAGACGGACATGGTAGGCCGGCTATCTGGAAGTGCTTCCTCCAATACTGACAAATGTCTAGCGCAACAACTACTTATCCTGATGTTGCAGTCTGTAGCGAGAGGTATGCCCTGTCTAACTAGTGTGTTTGTGACTTGTTTGTGCTGATTAGGATGCAGGAGACCATGGGATTACCTACCCAATAGTCGAAGGGCGTCGATACAATGAGTTAGAAGGATAGGATTGTGCTCCATTTACTCCGTTCAAGGCTGCGCCTAATTATAAGAGGGGCCTGGTTTGTGTGCCTCAAACCCTCTGGTCACATCGTGTAATGTAGTCCTGAGAGCTACAGCATCTAGGATGGAGATTTCAATTTCCGCTGCAATAAAGGTCCATCACTAGTCCAACTTCAGAGTAATGATCTATTATAATTAAACTTTTTTAGTCCCTGTGGATACTATCCAGACGCAGTGCATAGCAGGGCAGTACCAGAGAATAGTAGCGCCCAGCTAACGCGTACCTTGATCAATAATGTCCATAACTTAAAGAATAACCAAATTATATTCTTCTGCTACCAGTTACTAACCCTAAAGACCCTCATTTCGTGTACTTAGAAGTACTTTAAACAAGATACCAACACAAATACAAGGGAAAGTACCCGGCATGAGATCACAACATTAGACTTCCCAATACCCGCTGTGTGCCGATTATGGAACCTAAGACCATGTCTCTGCTCAACTGCAGCGGTATACAATCAGTACCACGCAATCCATCAGTTCTGTAAAGTCAAGTAGCCACAGACTCACCTAGGCAATACTGCATAGCCCATCACAAGGATACCCGTAGAGAGTTCCACAGCCCGAACCAGTCTGGGTACAGCCCCCTCCAACACAATGATAACCGGAATCACACCAGTCAGACTGGGTGGAGCAGCCACACTGGATGCCCCCATTCTCGTCATCCCGGGTCCGCAATGGCTTATTGTCCATAGTGGCAAGAAGGGACTTGGCGTCCTTGAATCCGAAGGCGGAGATAGCATCGTCCTTCAGAGTGCTCATGGCCTTGGGGTCGAAATTCTGTCCTTGCTTCGCGAGGTCGGTGGCCGTATCGACGACGGCGGATTGAGCGGGGCTCAAGGGCTCATGCTGCTGGCGGAATTGGTCGAAATGGGCTATCCAGGCTGCACTTGCGGTATTAGCATTTCCTGGAAGCAGAGAGCTGGAGCCAGAGACAGAAGCAGCTTGGGCAAAGCCTGCAAAACCGAGGGCGATGAAGTACAGAGTGAACTTCATTGTTATTCAAGGACTTTAGAAGTATAACAGAGAGAGATATTGTTCGTAGAGATTGTAAATGATTGATGATCTGCGGTAGCTGGCGGACCTTGAAGAGAACATGATGTGTATTTAAGTCTTCAGTGTAGTATGGATGCACCGGCTCCTTGAGAATGGACGTTGGGTTCGCCTTGTCTACTGCGTCCTTGAATGGGACGCGAACGATATTTTACATTCCATACTTTGCTGACTGTCCTAGGGGTATAGTTGCACTAGGAGACGAAGAAGCAATTACAAATCATGGTCATCACTGTCATAGTCAAGCATTTTAGGAAAATGGTAATTCTGACTATTATTAATATGCCGTATCAAGCAAGGAGCTTCAGGAATGGCGGACTGACACCTCAATCTGACATCCCAGAATCCAGAATCTTCACAGCTGACCACAGCAAGGAGGTAGCTAAACCTTGGTCTCATTCCTCAGGCTACACACACGAAGCTAACCATCGAAGGCAATTGGAGAACTTGAAACAGTGCATTTGAGGTACAACTGTACAAGGCTATAATTCAGTGCTGTCCTGTAGATTGCTAGCTGGGTATTAGAAGCTGATAGCATCGCACAAGCGGAAATCAGGAAAATATTTCTGACTTTTGATAACTTCGCATAATGGCCAGCGCAGATGGCTCGAGATAACTCCTGATTGTCTTATCTGTAGAGAAAGTCACTTAATCAGGTATATACTGGATGGATCTCCCGAGGCGCATCTATGGGTGTTATTGCATACTCTAAATTCTGTTTGAGTACACGTCTCACCTATGACAACACAGACCTATCCCTTGTAGAATGTGGCTTTCTAAGCCATCTGAGTTTAGGATCAGAGCAATGGGGGTAGAAGAGCCTCCCCTCATCGTCATGTTTCCCCCTATCCTCGGATACTAGTTCCATTCCACTGTACTATTAGACATCTCCATTCCTGAAGCTGGCTCTAGGCCTCGTCACATGCATCCTCTCAACCACAGAAACCCCGTCTCTCGTGGAACCACGCAGAGCGAAGTCTTACTCATCATGGCTTGACAGTGGAACGTATAACGGATTATACGACCCATGCTGGGTCAGAAGGATCCAGTTATTTGATCGTCTAGCTAAAATTTTGGAATACAAGAAGATATTCTCCGAATGCGATCAGCTTTGTATCACAGAGATTGAACATACACCAGACGGCATTTGCTATCCGGGAAAGGCGCTCTTTCGACATAAAGATTTTCCCTGGGGGTGTGCATATCTATATTCTGCTATTGTGATTGTAGCCAGCTCCAGAGGGTGATGACTGCGCTGGTAAAATGCTACGCTACTCTTCATTCCTACCTATGTCCAAAGTCTACTCAGAAAGTTTCGAATGTTAATCCCTTCCGCTCTCTTGCAAGCTAGGGAAGTCTTCGGGGTTCCACAGACTTGGTATGCGAGCTCCTGTCGTGCAGAAGGGTCTTTTAGTTTCTGCATATCAAAGAGCAGAGTGTGCCTTGTCCCTGCCGACTCTGCGGCTCGTTAAGGATATTAGAACAAATATAGGTCGAACATTGGACATATAAAATCAATTTAACTACCCAAAAGCAAAGGAACAAGACCTCTAGCAGAACACCGGACATGAAAAAAAAAGGAAATCCTATACAGTCCCCCGATATATATCCTCTATAATCATGCCCCAAAGACAATCCAGTCTAATCACTGTTGACAGTGCAGCGGGAGAAAGAAGCACCAGCATTCTCAATCATCACTCCAACAAAGTTGTCGCTATAGTCGGTGACAACACGGTACTTGCCAGGTTCGCCGCCTGCTCAATTGGTTAGTCTCTATCCAATAATTATAGTCTTGATGACCCACCAGTCCAAGTTCCACCCTGAATGATAGGATACTCGCGCAGGTCCTTGGTGACACCCTCAAAGACCTGGCTGTTACCGCTCTTGTTGCCAAACTTGTGGGGGTAACCGCCCCTGCCATAGTCATCCCACTTCTTGCACTCCTTGAAAGCATTGGCGACATCGTCCTGGGAGAGCGTGACGCCGTCAGTGCAGGTAGCGCTACCGATCTTCTTCTTCTTGCCGCGGGTGGTCAGGTCGCTGACCGTGTGGCTGGTGGATTCCTCAATCTCAGTCTCGGTCTCTTGGACACTGCGCTCCGCATTACCGCCCTTCTTGTCGTCCTTGCCCTTGTCATGCTTGTTCTTGTCATCTTTATCTTTTTTAGGCTCGCGCTTGGTCAGGTCGTTAAGGTCGTTCTCCGTCTCCTGGGAGGTGCGGGTCGCGTCAGCAATGTCTTGCTCCGTCGCTTTTGGGCTGCGCTTTTCATCGCCACCCTTCTTGTCACCCTTGTCCTTGTCGTGCTTGTTCTTGTCGTCTTTGTCTTTGTCAGCCTCGCGCTTGCTGTTTGAGACTCGTGTGCAGGCCGTGTATGCGCCCCCGATGGTTGCCCCGGTATGCTGCATCACACCGCGGAAGTCCCCGCGGTTGTCCTTGTAGTCTGTGACCACGCGATACGGGCCAGGTTCGCCTACACTCGTCAACTTAGCTCAATATCTTCGCACTGAAGACGCTTACCGCCCGTGTACACTCCGCCCGCGATGATGGGGAATTCCCGCAGATCGGTGCCATCGGGAATATTGCCGAATACCTTCTGGTTGTTGCTCTTGTTGCCAAAGTAGGCCGGGTATTTGCCAATGGAGCCGTCGTTGAGTCTGCGGCACTCGTGCAGGGCCTCGCGGATGTCATGTTCGGAGAGGGTGCCGTCGGGACATTGGAAGTCGCCGAGTTTGGCGCGCTTGCTGAGCTCGGGAAGGGGAGAGGCATGGGCGAGGGCCATGAGTCCGTAGAGGACGATGGATTTCACATCGAACAACATTTTGAGAGGTTGGTGCTTGGACAATTGTTTAGAGAGAAGAGATGCTTCTGAGTTGGGTTGGATTGCTTTGATGCTGTTGATGATGATGAGAGGTCTGGCAGTATCCTGAGGTTTTTATATCTTCAGAATCGTTCAGGTCATCAATCTCAACCTTTCTAAACTCAGAACACAATGTCTCGAGATCGTCAGGCTGAGTGAGATTCCCTCAATGTTCAAGGCTGAGATGCACTCCATACTTTGGCCCCGGGTGTTCCTCCTGTATTCTGTGTTCTGCATACATTATGGTGTTGATATCGAAACGGCCCCAGCAGATCAATTCTGGTCTTGGTAGAGATGCTAAGAATGCTTGATCCCTTAGACCCATCGGGCCAAGAGTGGGGGCGGGGGGGGAGAGTAAGCACTACAAGCACTATTCAGTTATCCACAACCTAGTCTGGCCCCCGCAGCCAAGACAGGCTAGGCTGTGTTGATGTCGCACCATCAAGCACAGCCCACCATCTCCTCCGTACAGCCTCATCCGATTCTGCAGATCTCAATTGTGCCTTGTCCTTCCTTTATCAATCAGTCAGTTAAAGTTTCTACTCTACTTTCCGAGTCCTCCATCCTAACCACACTTTCAGTCTACTCGAGAACACCATTTCCTTTGATTACAAGCAATCACTATGGGAAAAGAAAACTTCATCCGACAAATCGAAAACTCGGTTGAGTTCAAACTCCTCGACAAAGTCATAAAAGAAGAGATCACAGCGCAAGATGCAGTCCAAGAAGTCATCAACATGACCATGACTGCATTGTCAATCTACGGCCCTACCAAACAAGGCGGTATCGGCCTGCCAGACTACAACATCTCTCTTGCGGTGATGGAGCTAGCTCAACGCCTGGAGCCATCAAAACACACCAAGCTGGTTGAGTTTGTGTCTCATCTCCAGAAGCAGATTGCCGTTGATCCATCTACAAACGAACCCCTCACCGTCCAGGGTGATATCCTCTGGACCGACATGCCGTCATTCGGCTACACAGAGCTGGAGACGTGGTACGAGTTTGGCGGTGATTACAAAGGTGATCCATCCGTCCGATTCCAACAGACAGACCGCTCACGCATATAGACCCCTGCGATACAACGCTAGCTTCTGAGCAACGCAATCGCTGGGTAAACCTCAACGCCTTCCTGGCGCAGCTCACTCAGGCCGCAGACGTTCACTATACCCCTCCCGGGGAGGAAGTGCGATTCTTTCCATTAGACAAATCACTACGGGCCATCTGGACCATGGCGATGGCTCTTGAAAACGAGCGTCCTCCTACGACTCTGGGGGATACGGCGGCTATGGAGGCCGTTTGCCAGTGGTTAATCTACGCTGCGGAGCGGCTGTGGGCGAATGTGGTCAATAATCGCACGTATCCCGAGGTGGCTGGCGCTGGTCCGGGGAAGAGGTATGAAGAGGAGGGCTGGACGGGTTATACCCGGGAGCGATGGGGAATTTGGGAGGATGGGCTTAAGGAGGCCAGGGCTGCTTGCGAGAATGAGCGGATGCGGATGCTGATTGATGATGCTTTGGCAAGTATGAGGGCCACGGTGTCTCAGTAGTGGACGCAAATTATACGAGATCCAGCGATACTCAAATAAATGATCTGGGTGATCAATTGTATAGTATGATCATGTCTATTTCTATTCTCTTTGTATGAGTTCAGCAGTATCATTCCTGGTCATCTATTCATAACTGGCTCTGACCCCGCAAAGCTTGATATTGTTCATTCATTTACAAAGCAGATTCGGGGTCATTCAGCTCTCCTTATCAGTTTTATCTCTTCTCGATTCATACAATACTTTTAAAAATCATCTTCCTTTCCTACAGTCTTCCCGGAGCAGTTACAGCTAGCAAAGAATCTGTCTATGCCATAGGTGATGCCCTTTTCTATACGCATACAAGCAGCGTCATTCCTCGGACAAGGACCAGTATATTGAGAGCTGGGGTGCTAAATTAATCATAAGTGATATTCAATATTAATGCTTAACTCACTTATCTTCTGCATCTGGTGTTTCGGTTCATCTAGTATGTAATACTGTTTGACCATATTGCTGTTAGAGTTATACTAGTAGTACGGAGTAAAAATATATTCATGTAATACTCTACACTTCGTGAAGAAAAGTCAATGTCACCCCTCACAACTATAAATGTATATCTGACTAGATGATCCATAATCCTCTCCTAGCTTATTATCATGAGGCTTGAGCCTTACTAGCCATATATTGAAAAAGCAGCCTTATCGGTGGGGCTGAGCTGAGCTGAACATTCCTTTATTTCTGCCTTATTTCCTGGCCCCCCACAATAAAGTTCGCTTCTGCACTGCCGAGGGGCCAAAGCCTCGTGTCTGCTGTTGTTTTTATCTCAGGCTGATCAAGGGGATTGACAAGCTCATGCCAAGCCTCTCACAGGAATGCTTAATACGAGGGGAACAGTGGGGTTTCAGCCTCGCGTCTGTCGATCCTACCAACATTTGATGATGCACATGATTGATTGGTTAATGTCGATTAATGTCGATCTTTCTGTTGTCAACGTGGCGCAGCGACTGACAGATCGACAAGTCATATACCCGATGAGGATGTCGTACATGGATGACCTCAAGGCCTGTTCATCTTATTTACCACTCCTCCTGCCTTTGTCTTACGCTCTTGTCTATTCTTCAGTCAAGATAGAACAAAGTGCATTCCTACGGGACCGACTTGCACAATGACCAACTCCCTCGCTGCCGCTACCTGCGCCATCTACGCAGTCCTCGCCATCCCAGTCCTCTACCTCCTCGTCCGACACGGTCGCTACGGTCTCCTGGGATGGCTCTTCCTCTTCTTCTTTTGCACACTCCGCATCATCGGCGGCGCGCTGGCCGTCAATAACCCCAGTACAGCCGCTACCATCATCTCCAGCGTCGGCCTTTCTCCTCTCCTCCTCGCAACAGCCGGCATTCTCCACGAGGCGTAAGTCCCAGTCCACGAAATACAAGACCAATTCTAACATGAGCAGCCGACACTATCGCATCCAACCTCTCGACAAGAAAATGGAATGGGTCTCCGTCCTCGCCTACCACATGCTTGTCGTCGCAGGCGTAGCCCTCACAGCCGCCGGCTCCGCAAAACTCCAGGAACACGAACAACCCCTCGACAAGGCCGAGAAGATCGCCAAGGCGGGGATTGCCATTCTGGCAGTCGCGTGGGTGATTCTGGTTGCCTGGACTAGTTTCTCGTTGGTTGCGAGCCGGGGCCGGAATTCTTCGCTTACGAGGGCGGGGACTGTCGTATGTACTTACCCCCCGGCGTGTATAGCGGCTATGCTAATGTACCGAACAGTTACTTACAGCCGTCGCCTTCTCGCTTGCATTCATCGGTCTCAGAGTCTTCTACAGTCTTGCTGCGCTGTGCACGCAGAGAGCGTCGCTTAATCCCGTGACGGGGTCGCTGGCTATCCGCGTGGTGCTGGGATTCCTGCCTGAGGTGATTGCCACGCTGGCGTATATCTTTGCGGGGCTCAGGACGCAGGGTGCGGCGCTGTTGGCGCACGTTGAGGAGGAGGAGATGGGTCCTGCTCCGCCGAAGTCGAGGGTGCAGCCTTGGGTTTAGCTGACATGATTTATGCATTGTTTGGTTTGTCTTGCGTATATACCTAGATGATGAGAGTCCAATGATTAGAATTATTGGACAGACCTGTGGCCTTCTTATAGAGTGATGTGTTACTAGCTTCTCGCTCAGCGGGATTTGCACAATCGCTTGAATGAGAAGGGCGGAGTACGGCTATAGCAGACTATACATGACATTAACTCACAATCGGATGAATACCAGAATTAGACATTAGACATTAGACATAAGTAGATATAATCGCCGCTACAGCTCAATCTCCTCCAACCCATTCTTCCCCGTCCTCTTCCCCCTTCTCTCAGTATGACAAGCCCACGAAGCCCAAACCACGAGCATCAAATGAACCACCCTACACCATCAGCTTATTCCATCTCCATCTCAAGGGGAGCCAACTTACACATTCACAAACACAACCACATACGCAAAAATCTCCACTCGGAGGACTGCATCCCCGTCACAACCTGTAGAGTAGCAGCTATACCCGCCCTCCATCACCGGCGCCAGCACCGCCAGCCCGATACTCCCCGTTATCGCATTCGCCAGGAACGCAATCATGTCAAACGCGAGGTATATTCCCGGATGGATACGTCGGGGGATTAGTCGTATTGTCAGGGCGACGAGAGACCAGAGGAAGGCGTATGCGATCTGATCTTGTTAGATTGGTGAGATAAGATGGAGGTGGGGGGGCGTACGGTTCCCAAGACGACGGAGTTGATGCTCCCCGCTCCGTCGTCGGAGATGCCTTCGTGGTGTGTGATGGACCAGGCGAGGGAGATGAAGCCCGCGGCGGAGGTGAGAAGGGCTGCAGTGCGGAGGGAGAGGACGACGGGGTGGTTATCTGTGAGAGTTTTCGGAGCCATGATCGTGTAGTTGTTAGACAATTCCTGGGGAGGGAGGAGGAGTGCTATATATGTCATGGTGATCAGCACACGATGAGGTCAGCTCGTGTTGGCGGCGCTGCACTGCCCAATCTTGGGGCGGAAATCATCGACGAATGTGTCGATCACTGGGCTGTACAGCTGCGGAATCCTTGGCGTGCCTTGGCGCTTTAGCTGGGCAAGAGTTGGTCGCTACTCGATAATGCTCGATAACTTGTTACCTGAGGGCTAATCCCTTCGGACAATCAGCACTGGCCCATAGTACTCCCTCCGCCCCTTGACAGCATACATGACCAAACTGAGGACGAACACACCCCCGAAGATCACCACGCTCCAGTTGAAATTGTCGACTGTGACTGGGGTTTCACTCGGCCATAAAGCCCAGAACAGTGCGAACATGCAGTATAGCAATCCGACGATATTAACAGTCAAACCATACCGACCGAGATCCCACCGCCGCGGGGGCAGGGTGTCTGGATGCCAGATCTTGCGGTAGATAATACAGCTAATGGAGATGATGTAGGTGTACATGAGAGCTGCTACATTAAGGGAAATAATGGCGTTGAAGGCGGTTAGCGAGCCGATGTTGATGAGAGAGAGGAGACAGCTGATGATGCACGATAGGGCGATCGCATTCACGGGGATTTTACGTTTAGGGTCGACTTTGGCAATCCAGCGGGCAAAGGGTAGTCCTTTATCCCGAGCAAAGGCGAAGGTCTGTCGGGACGTGGAAGCGTTGAACAGAATGTTGCTGAAGATAACGGGGATGAGAATGATTGCTGTCAGCCCATTGACCCCAGCAACCGACGTGGCGTTCTTGAACACATAGATGAACGGGAATCCGGTGTCGTCTTCCAGTGCGTCTTCGACTGAGGGAATGGCAAAAAGGAAGGAAATGACCACCACAATGGCCATGACGCCATTGCTAAAGTATCCCCATGCGATCGCAATCGGGACGTAGCGTCCAGCGTCCTTGACTTCTTCAGACATGTGTGCCGTCGCATCGGAGCCTGCCAGAGTTAGAGGAATTCTAAGCGGCGCATCAACATACTCAGCGAAGCATAGATGGCAGAAATCTGCCCGATCAAGGCACTCAGCCCCATACTAGACCAGCCTCCCCCATTCGTCCACTCCGTGAACACGGCCTTGGCGGATTGGTGCGGAGCCATGGCCCACAGTACAATCACGACCACCGTCCAGGACAGGATATGCAGGATCATCAGCAGATTATTGAACAGAGGCATCATGTCTGCAGCGTAGACGTTGAAAAAATAGATCACCACAATCATGGCAAAGACGAACAACGTTCCTTGCCACCGTTCAGAATGGTACTCTGGATCACGAACGCTGATGAGCCCTTGGATAATTGTACCGGTCAGAAAAGACCCTGATGCAGAGCCGGCTTGCCATGCTAGAACGGACATCCAGCCCGTGAGGTAGCTCAGGAATTTCTGGTATCGCGGTGAAGCAAACTCGGACACCCAGTGGTATTGTCCACCAGAGGTCGGGGCCCTTTCTGGTCAGCAGTACTCTTGATCTCACTTACACTTCAAACAAGACGTACATGGAAGCCATCTCCGATAATGAAGCGATGATAAAGCCGAACCCGACAAACGTCCATACATAGGACCACACCATGCCCGCGAGTCCGCCATTCTGCAGCCCCTGCGTGTTGGATCTGAATCGCTTAGTACGGTCGGTCGCAAGGATCAAGTGCACTCACATGAGAATAAACTCCCACGTTGCCTGAAGTACCGACGCGAAACTCAATGCAGCCAAAGGGCGGAGGTTTCTCTGTTGGGGTCAGAACGTGCCATATCGCCGTCTACCGCTATTCACCTTTAGCTCCTGGACCTTTCCCATGCGCTGCATATCATGATCATCATATACCGTTCCGCTGTGTTTTGCATCTGTGGACGTGTGATGTCCCCCTTCCACCAGAAGTGAGCCCATCGCCGGCGCCTTGGATCCTGCCTGCATCGTAGGATTATCGTGTATCGACGCCATTGCTCGATTATCGAGTTTCGAAGAAATGTAGGGCGGGATGCGCAAAGATAGAAAGGAAGAAAAGAGGGGAAATGCAGGATGAAGCAAGGGGGAGCGACGGTGACCAGAACAAACAAAACAAGCGAGGCGGGGTTACACAGAGGCATGGGCGTGCTCGTGTCTGTTGCTCTTCAGCAGTCTGACGTGGTGCGATAATAAGCATAACCCCCGATCCCAACTGTCAGCATTCTCTTCATCCTCATTTGAATCAATGGTCAGAAGACTCGTCTTGATCCCTGCTGTCTAGGATGATCATGCAACTAATGCATCAGCGAAACGTTATTCACCAACCACTGCTCATGTCAGATTCCCATTCCAACCAGCTCTCTTTCCAATTCGAGAGGCTGATCCCTGGCGTTTAATATCGGTGATACTTTTGCTGACTTCGCCCTCTCTGACCATATATCCCGGTTACCTCACATCTGCTCTGCTTATATGAGCAGTTTGTTATCTTCTCAACAATGTCGCCCTTCCTCATGAGCAGCTATCATCGTTATCGACGCCAGTCATGACGACTGCCACGACTCTCCCATCGGGTGTTAGTGGCCCTCCAACGGTGAACCGGAACGACAACCATGGAGGGCTAGTTGTGGTGATCACCGGCTTCTGCTTGGTCCTGGTACTTTCGTCTCTGGCCGCTCGGACGTTTTCCTCGTTCAAGAGGCGAATCATCCAGAAAGACGACTATGGGTTTATGGCTGTAGTGGTAGGACGCTAAAGTTTCTTTGCAAATACAGTCTAATATGGAGACAGATTGTTGCACTGGCGCAGACGTCTTTGGTACTAGCGCAGGTTCACTACGGCTGGGGAGCAACCGAAGAGTCGCTTTCCTCCGCAACAAAGAAGAAAATGCTCAAGGTACGTCGAAGCGACCGTGTGTTTTATTCATACTTACATCCGCAGATGGGATATGCCTCCGATATCCTCTTCGTTGTCACCCTCGGCCTGTCGAAGATAACGACCACCGTCTTCTACATGACACTGTTCAAGCAGAAACTTCGAGCTGTTATCCGAGGTCTTCTCGTTGCAGGATGTATCTGGGTTATACTGTCCATTATTCTGTTAGCAGTCCGATGTGGCCATCAACCGTGGCTCGATATCGACGCACAATGTGGTGGTTTGGTATGGTCTCAACGCCATCCGAAGCGACCCATGCTGACAGACGCAGTTCCAAAGATGGCAGGCAATCACCGCCATCGATATTGCCCTCGAGTCCCTTCTCATCCTCTACTCCGCCCGAGCGATATACAGCATCAAGATCTCCACACGACAAAAAATCGTCGTATTCGGTACTCTCAGCTGTCGAGTCGTGTAAGATCCCTCCGCACCTCCGCGGTCCCGCTGACGAGAGCAGACTCATCCCGCTGGCGGCTATACATCTCTATTACGTCAAAGTCCAGCTAGTTTCAGAGAATCCGATCCTCTATGGCGCATTCGCCAGCATCACCGCAGAACTCTACCTCGCCATGAGCGTCGTCTGCCTCGTCGCCTCGTTCATGAAGCCCGTGCTGGCCGTCTACGTCGATGAGTACGGCATCGCCTACACGGACGACGTATCACCGCCGAACTCGAAGTTGCGAAGTCATACGTCGTCCGATAGCCGGTCGCGGAGGTTGCGGCGGTCGGAGACGGAATACGATCATGGCTGGGGGCGGATGCCGGATCAAACCATCCCGGCTGCTTCAGGGGGACGCATCATGAAGACGGTGCAGATTAGTGTCAGTGATGGACCGATGGAGCTGGACAGGCGGGAGCCGGAGGTTGTGATTGGTGTATAATGTATTGTAGAATCTTTTTGTGTCCATTTGTTTCTTGACAGGGGCGCCATCATAGAGGGAATATAGCAAGATATCCATAACCCTACGTCATGTCTGCCAGGGTGAGCAAAACTAAGTCTCAGACACGTTGTAAGGTTCCAATGAACGAGACCATTACAATAACGAACTGAGTTGCTAACAGAATTCGACGCTGCTCATCGTGCAGGTTTACGGACTGATGTGTTGCATCTATCAGCACATAGATATATATACTTTGCGAGAGGTGTCATCCTCGCGTCCCAACAATATGGAATATGTAGACCAGCGGACTAAGTGCTTGATAGCCTCATATTTTCAACACTAATGCGTGCATCAAACCTAAACAGAGTCATATCACAGCTTCAGAGGAATAAAAGTGGTTGGATTCATTACAATAAGGGCCAGTCATGTACATGACTGGATCTGCGTTTGTCTGAATGACTCGGTGCAGATAGTCAAGATCTTTTGCCCCCACCGAGCGGTAGAGGAATTTTGAAAGGACCTGACGAGGCTGCATCATTAACTTTTAATTAGCTGCCATAAATCCACCGCGGCACAGCTGAGGGGAGAGTCACACTTGGCCTGGATCTGCAGCTAGGCAGCCATCTCGCCACTATTGGCCAGAATGTCAGCCTGTCGGGTGGATCCTTAGGCAGCACTGCCCAAGAAATACCACATAATTGAGTACCTAGAATCGGTCCCATGTCAACAGCAACATCCATCATGAACGGGACCGTCGAAAAGGTCTTGTATCTCTCCTCCCTTGCCGTGGGATCCTGGGTGGCCAAGAGACTGCTAGATGAATATGGCGACTTCCCACTGCATCTCCTCTGCTCCAGCATCGAGGTCCACTCCTACGATGAGGCCTACAATTATCTCCTCTACTGGCTCATGAAGCAAAAGTTCGACGCGGATAAAAACCGCTTGTTGGCCATAACGTCCCTGACAAGCGGTCAGAGTGGTTTCTTCGGTGAAGACAGCAACAAGGACAACGATGCGGCTGAGGAGGACGAGCTGGAGGTCCACGCTGATGCAGAATACAAGGCCTCCCTGGCGAATACCCGTCCCTTGCTCTGGACTCCGTCAGCGGGAACACACTGGTTCCGGTATCGGGGTCGGTATCTTGCGCTTACCCGGGAGGTGGAGGAAAATCGGCAAATGGTGTACACGCGGACGGAGAAGCTGCGGGTCTCTTGTTTTGGACGGGATCCAGCCATTCTGAAAGACTTGATGCAGGATGCTCGGGTGGCGTTCTCGCAAAAAGAAAAGGGAAGGACGGTCATCTACCGCGGCATGAAGTCGATTTACGATGGCGACTTCGCCTGGAAGAGGTCGACTTCGCGTCCTGCGCGACCTCTGTCCACCGTTATTCTGGACGAGGCGGTCAAGAAGGCGTTCCTCGAAGACATCCAGCACTATCTGCACCCCAGTACGATGCGCTGGTACAGCGACCGTGGCATTCCCTATCGGCGGGGATACCTGTTCTATGGACCCCCTGGGACAGGGAAATCCAGTCTTGCGTTCGCCGCCGCTGGGTTCCTGGGGTTAAATGTATACATGGTCAACTTGAACTCGCAGCAGCTTACGGAGGATTCCTTGACGCAGCTGTTTCTGACGCTTCCAAGACGATGCCTGGTACTGTTGGAGGATATTGATGCCAACGAAGTGACTGGTCGCCGCAAGCCAGGTGCACGGCGCCGAAAGGGAAAGAATGGGATCTCGCTCTCCTCCTTATTGAATATCATCGATGGCGTCGCGGCTCAGGAGGGCCGGGTGCTGATCATGACGACGAATCACCATGAACATCTCGATCCGGCACTCATTCGACCTGGCCGGGTAGACTACAAGCTGGAGTTTCAGCTCGCCAGTCGAGATCTCTGTGCGGCCATGTTTCGCAATATCTTCCAGGTTTACACGTCCGCTGAAGTGGATAGTGCACCCGTTGCGTCTTACGTTCAGAGTGACCTATCGACGAAAGAAGGGTCTGCAGCGATTAATCCACAAGAACTCGCCAAACAGTTTGCCGAGAACATTCCCCCTTGCACCTTTTCTCCCGCCGAGGTCCAGGGATATTTGCTGCGCTATCGGGATTCGCCAGAGGATGCTGTAGCCAGTGTCGAAACATGGGTTGAAACATCGCTGGCCGAGAAAGCACCTAATAACCATGAGCTTGATGACAACGAAGACGAGGGTACCGAGAGTGAATCTGAGGATGAGTCTGAGGAGGAAGGCAACGAGAATCCAGATAAAGAGGCATCTTGATCTGTTCGAGGATCATTTTCTGCATCGTGTTTGGTGCCATTATCTGTACAAGTTAGAAATCAAGAGAGACAAGGGCCTTACATACCACACAGTAAATCTACTTAGCAGACTGATTGTCTATCATAAGCTGTACACAACAAAGGAAAGCATGAAAACCGATCTCCAAGAAACAGTGGCACGTTGCCCTCCAGGTAGGTGATTTGATCGCGCACTCTATTCCCACTGACATACCTCGCTAAACACCATCCTCACAGCTCGAAGGGGCAAGCACAACATCATCAATAAACACCCTCCCTGTGTAGGAAGATCCCTCAAAGGTACAACTAGCCACAATATTCAGATACTCCTGCGCCAGCCTCGGCCGGTAATGCCCCGTGATAGACGTCCACTCGCCGGAGTTAAACAGCATATCGGTGGCCACGAAACCCGTAGTCGAGTTCTTGCCCATATACACATAAAGCGAGCAGTAGTTTGCGGCGGGCGATGCCGCTTGCACCTGCATGCTGAAGGTGTAGTCGATGCTCGGGTCGAGGTTCCTCAAGGGCTGAGAGATGGTGTTGCCTCGGTTTCCGATGGCGGTTTGTAGGTCACTGCTCCGGTTAGTTAGGGCTCTGGCAATTTGGATATGGTCATACAGGTAGTAATCCCCGTCATATGCTTTGGTTGCATTGCTTATCTTGGCCACGTTGAGGGCAGACGGGAACCATGGGAATAGATTGCCTGATTCGAAAGATGGGTTGACAACAAGGTTACAGGGTGTTGAGAGCGCCATTTTTATTGCTGGTGATAGATATTGATTTTATGATTTAAGAAAGGAATACCTTTTTATATGCCGTGCCGGATTTGATGAGAATGCTGATTTATAATTTTCTAAGACACCGATGCAGGTGTCAAGCACCGTCTCCGCGCAAGGGGCTTGTGCACGGGAGAAACCGAGCTGATTACCAGGTTGGGCTGTTGTTATGGTTACATCGCGTCAGTCTTAGTCCGTGATTCAGTCCGTCCTCTATATTTAGTGTTCGACTCCAATCAATCTGCTTTTACTTTCATTAGACTAAGAAATACAAGCTTTTCGCTCCTCCCCCAATCCAAATAATGTCTACACCGCTTTTAGATCCGGGAGGCAATCCGATATTCCAAGAGGATCTCCTTGGGTACGGCAGGTCTGGCGTTGTAGTCCTCCAGAATGGCATGGCTGTGAAGATGCCTCTAAGGTACTTGGATAGCTCAGATGACGATGTGGACATAAACATTATGGTCATTCAGCGAGAGCAAGAAGTTTATCGGCGTCTGCAACAATGCGATGGGGTCCTCCCATACATCAGCTTCTCGGACACGACCACCCAGCTTGCATTGATGAAGAATGGGGATCTACGTTCATATCTGTTACAAAACCAGCCAACAAAGACTATGCAACTTTCATGGTTCCGGCAAATGGCCCATGCCCTCTGCAATATCCATGACCGCTCGGTTATCGTTGCAGATATTGCCTGTCGGAATCTTCTTCTTGATTCCACTCTGGCGATTAAATTCTGCGACTTTACCGAATCAACGATAATGCCTCAGGATACCGACATGGAAACTGCTGATGACAACGGATATTCTATCCAAACGGACATTGGACAATTGGGGAAGGTGATCTATGAAGTCGTGACAGGGGAGCACTGCACATTTGATCTTCACGAGAACTACGTTTCCCGGGCGACGTGGCCGCGCAGAGAGTCTCTCCCAAGTACAGAGGAGATCTGGCTTGGGCCAATCATTGAGAAATGCTGGGCCTGGAGTGGCTTTAAGGATGCCGCTCGCCTGGCTGAAGCGTTGGACGCCGTGTCTTAGAGTACGGGGTCTGCCCCAACGGCGTCTTAGCTAGAACGCTCGGGCTGTTGCCTCACTTGTGCTTTGGGTCTGGAGGCAGCAATGAGACTTGTATGCCGTATTATTGCGCCCTTTCTTTCCAGCACGGACGGATAGACGTCTATATCCATTTCGGCCTCTGTCAATACGGAACGTTGATACCTGGTTGTGCTTCATGCCGATGGACGACCAAAACGAACAGAATACAAAGAAAGGACATTCCGACACTTGGGAGGCCTGTTTTTCCTCATTGATGAAGAAGATCCGGGAAAGGGACTATCTTTAGTTATGCCGTGTGCTCGTGTGATGCAATCTCTGAGACATGGACGGCAGGCACCAAGGCAGCCATCTCCACGCGGGAAAAGCCGGACCAATTACCGCATTAGCGGTTGTTATGGTTACATCAGGTCGGCTTATTTAGTTCGTTTAATTAGAGCCGCTAATACATGACTCCTTTCGTTAGTTTGCAAGAAATTCAAAAGGGATTCCTGAAGGCTTGAACGCCTGAAGGTTATTAATAGTGGCTCCAACAGGATCAGGTGACTTTCGCATAAAACAAATTGGACGCCTGAAAAATTCGAATCTTCACCATTTACCAACCAAGCAACGTCAATATGGCTCCCAGTCTCACTCATGTCAGCACTAGCATTTACAGAGGCCTTGCCATTGGCGTGCTTGTCTCATGGACTCTCACCTCGCTCGGCTATACCGCCCTTGCTGCCCTTAACACCAACAGCACTTACTTCGAGATCATCGCTTGCACCACCATGTTCACCTTCCTCATGTGCCGCCTCCTGGTCGCCTGGAACCCGTCTTCTAAATCTGAAAATGGCACCATCGCTCAGCTGATTGCTTTCGCGGACTCCGGATCTCGCCGGGGGGCTCTTGTCCTTTTCTCGCTGTGCTGCACATGGCTCTATGAGTTACTCAATCAGGCGTTGGTGTTGTTCTTCATGACGGTCTTCGGGGGTGTTATCGCGACGGCCATATACAATGATGCATTTACGGACGGTGTACATGAGACTGAAACCCAGAACGGAAGCACGACATCCCTCTCTGTCCATGTTAAGGAGTTCAATAAAAGGGTCGGGTTTGATCCGACGGAGATCTTCAAGATGATTCCCCCGCGAGTGTTGCTTTGTTTTGTTGGACTGATGTGGTTGAACTTTTTGAGCTTGGGAGTTTATGTTCTGGGTCATGCGGTAGCGTCGTTGATGAAATTGTTAACTTCGCCTACGTCTACGGCTACTGCGACGGAGTCGACGGTTGATAAAGCAGTATCTATGGATGCAAGCAAATAGATTGATAATTGCCTCATTAGCTGATTAAATAAGCAACCAACGCCGGCGTTATTTTAGACCGCCGTTCTCTGAAGCAATTGTTACATTCTGGCCAATAGAAGCATGAGATTCAGCGTCACGTGACCCAGAACACGGGTGCTCCTTTGAATACTAACTTGTCCACGCTGATCTGGACCGGGTACTTCTGTCCGGAAGCTGTAAAGGTTCATAACAGCCTGCGACATGTTGATGGCATTATCCCAAGAGCACCTGATCCAGGTGCTGTTCTTGACCCTGTCACAGGACCAGTGCGTTTCGGAGCTTTAAGAGGCATTGACTACCTTGTCTTCATGGGATCTTCATCAAATTAATCTACTCACTATTGACAATACACGAACACATTAAAATATGACAATAAATATCTGCCATTCTGCGAATCCCCATATCTCCGCCGAGGAGGGATGATATAGCTCATCAATCACTGCACACGACTCCTGGTTTAGCTTTAGATAGTCATCAAGCTTCCTGGTGAAAACTGTTTATTCTTGAACCATGAAGGAAATGGAAATAGTGTTTCCATACTCGCCAATAGAGTAGTGGCTTTACGAATACTATTGCTAATGAATCACTACTTCTTTGGTTACACTTATGCACTGAACCTTAATGATATATTAAGTGCAATTAGACTAATACTACATGTCCTGGTAACAGAAATATTTAATACTATACTCTGCAATACAATTCACTGTTATATGTGTCTGCTTCTAGTACCCAAACTAGAAAGCTCCAGTAATAAAGACGCCAGGTAGCCTGATCCACAGAACAAGAGATATTTGAGGCAAGACAGACAACGGGCAAGGACTCTTGAATTCAAAGTAATGTACTAGAGAGGACAAAGATGACTGTTTCCTAGTTTGAATAAGCATAGCTTCCACTAATGAGCCATAATCTCTAAGATGCAAGACACATATTACCCTGTAGTATTTCGATCTCTTTACCCAGGTATGTAGCCTCAGCATGAACTTGATGAACATAGATGTCTCCCAAGTCGTTGCAGCATTTTTGTGTAACATGTATAATTGTTGCATGGGCAACAATACTATGCTCACACGACCCTTGCTTACAGCTTTTTCAAGTCACCTAGGTCCCGTCTGGTTGGTAATTATCGTTCATTTCCAAACAAATTTATCCCACCTAGGTACAGCTGGGAATGCATATATGTCTAGATACTAGTTGTGAAGAATAAGTATTTGAAAAGCAAGAAGTATTTCTTGTCATATTGACACTGCACTGAGCATGTTGGTTAGCTGTTTTGCTAGACTTCAAATTAATTCTGTGATAGGAGAGACTAGAATGTCCTATTGTCAGACTGTTAGGGAACCAGTGGTCTTCAATTGCCTTGGTATCTTCAATAATTCCCCATTGTAGGCCTATAAAGTCATGTCTTGTGCTCGCAGTCCGCCGTAGATGGTCTTCGCTGCATGCGGAGATATGACCATGACAAGACATTACTATTATGCCTGCATGGCATCGAAGTTAACCTCATGTCAATTTCCATATCTGGCCTGCAATTGAACATTTGAACTTGTAATTAGATCAGGAATCAGTTAATCTGACTACAAGGATGATATCATGACATGGCATATAAGTTTCCTGAAAATGCATAGATAGAGGTCACGATCCAGCCTAGGCTTGTTCATTCTATACATCTCTACTGAATGCAGAAATGAGAATATAAAGACACTGATAGTCTGACGTCGCGCTCCTTACATAAGGCACACTGGGTATAAGGCCGCCGATTAAGCGTGATGCAATGATGATAAACATTGGCCATATGGATGGTTACACAGTCGTGACTATCATACATCACCACTATGGAGAGAGATGTTCACTCCTCACCACAATTGAGTGGTGAAAACTGATATATAAAGCTGACAATTCAACAGTTCACTCACTACTTCATTCATACAACCCTATTGATCATTTTTCTGAGCAATCTCAGCTTCCATTAACCCAGTAAGTTCCACTTTACCCTTAATAACTGTGATAGTTGGAAACGAGAGGAACTCTTAAGTTGATAAATGTTTTTTTCAGGTCTTTAACGCCTGCCTACTACTAGTCAGAGAGGTGAGTAGTCTTACTCTAATACCTACTTACTTGAAAGTAGTATAAGTACTCATCTGCATGATTACAGTAGTCACTATGCATCCTCACCACATATTTCCAGGCAGCGCTGGTGGTGCAACTGGCGGCGGAGAGGCACTACCCAAGTAAGGGGAGCAAGGGGGGAGGATATTAAATGTCATGTGATTTTGACAATGGGGTATCTTGGTCTCGGAACAGGTTTTTCTCCTGATATGTAAAGTGAGGTTGCTATTAGGTTTTCCCTGTTCTATATATGCAAATGCAGAGGCTGGTATTGTTGGCAGTAGTGCATTCATTTCACCAGGCATCAAGTGTCAAGTTCTAGGCTGGGCTTTAATCTTATGTTAAGCATTGTTTCTCAGGCCTTAAGATCATAGAGTGAGAATCATCAGGCAACTGAGTGTGTATACGGAACACTAGGCCGGCGTATAGCCAAGGTACAAACGTACAGAACTGGGCGTAATAGCCGACAACACAACTCAAAAGGATAGACAGCAGATCCAAGACCACAAGTGGATCCATGGCTTTATATGACAGCCACTGGGAGAAGGGTTGAGCTCGACACTGGTGTGAAACTTGAAGGTCGGCAGAGTCCAGAATAGTGTTGTGGCTCATCTTAGGAACTTTGCCAGGTGACACAAACATGCCTAGCAGTAAGGGGCTAAAATTTGGTACATATATCACAGTGGTACTTTGACAACACAGCGCAGCATTACAACTTCACTGAGACACATTCGTGCCCAGCTGTAAGGGGTTTACTGACCGCAGGGAGACTGACCAGTATTTATAGTCCAAAAGCCACCCACAACATAGCCGTCTTTGGGATAAGTGTCTCCCTGGTGTCAAAGCTGGGTAATAACAGATAATTCTACCCAGCTTATAGAAATCCATTCCAAATGTCCATCCAGTCTCCGTGCTCCAGCAGTCTCAATCGGCGTCTCCAGGAATCGCTATCCCAAATCGATCAAGCGAGGGAAATATGCAAGGTGCCGTCTATCTCTTTTGGTGTGGTTCACGAAGGCAAGGTAGTGTTGCAAGGAAGTGTCGGGTACCGAGACGCTGAGAAGAGGTTCAAGTCTGATACAGACACAATCTACTATATTGGTTCCTGTTCCAAGATGTTCACCTCTGCCGCCGTCGCCATGCTAGTCGACGAAGGGAAGCTGCATTGGCAGGACCCAATTCAGAAATACCTTCCAGAGTTCAACCCAGTAGGAGATCCTCAGATCGGCCAGAATGCAGACCTTATCGATGCTCTTCGCCACTCGACAGGGGTAACTCATCCGGGGGCGCTCTTCTACGGGCCCCGTGGGTCCATTCTTGCTAGCGAGGAAGATGTGATCAAAATCCTGAACATAATGCCGACAAGCAACAAAGAAGGCCAGAAATTTAACCGCCACTGGGAGTATAACAATCTCACATATGGGCTTATGGCTAAGGTGGTTGAGAGGGTAACAGGTCAAAAATTCGCGGAATTTGTTCGGGAACGCATTTTACACTCGCTTGGCATGATGAGGACGGCTCTGTCAAGAGCGGACATCGCAGGTGATGATAACGTCGCTGCTCCATGTGCAACTCTCGATGATGGGAGCTTCGTTCAGCTGGACTCTGAGCCGTGGTCGCATGAGGATTGCTCACCATTGCTGGCTGCGACGGGGATGCGGAGCAGTGTCAGAGACATGCTCAACTGGTGTGTTGCAGTCCTCTCTGCGGAGAGGAGAGAAAACCAGCCCCAGGTCAAAGACACAAAAGCATCCATACCCGTACCAGACGATTCCTTACTTGGTACAGAGGCCAACATGCACAACAATCCCTTAAAGCAAATGAATCGAGTCCGTCGCGGCTACTGGACTCGACCGGCTGATGACCCATCATTTAGCAAGGACGCTGCATATTGCATGGGATGGGTACGTATGGATCTTCCATCTTCAATGTTGGGAGCATTCAGTGGCAATCGCTACTCCCGAGATACAGACCACCAGATTCACCTGAAACACATACTGGGGATGAAATCCCCGCCTTTCCTGGCGATAGGCCATACCGGCGGCATGCCTGGATCAATAACGACAGTGTGGACATTTCCTGACACACAAAGCGCGGTGGTGACTATGAGCAATGGCCGAAGCTTTGGAGACGCGAGCGACTTCGCGGCACAGATCCTGATTCAAGCATTATTCGACCTGACCCCATGGGTAGATCTGACTCCGTGGATGAAGAAGGAGGCAGACTTAGCACGACAGTTCTTCTACGAGGGCCTTCAACGGCCATGGAGGGAGAACCGACGACTCTCCGATATTGAACGGGACCCAATGATTTATGTGGGAAGGTACCAGGGATTTAATGATCTCTTCACCATGACTGTGGTTGCGGACAGGGAGGCGGCCGGTTTTGATGGCAAACTGGATGTAGTATTTAATCATAATGGGGCTTCGAGACGAAAGCTGGTGTTCTACCGAAAAGATACTTACAGTTTCCTCTTGCAAGATTGGAATAGCTACGTGGTAGCTTCGGCAGGTCCAGCGGATTACAGACAGACTCTCCTGGAGTTCAAGCTTGACTCTGCAGATGAGCAAGTTACTGGACTCTGGTGGCTATGGCACGTGGATGAGAAGCCGGCCTGGCTTAGGCGGATTGAATAAATCAGTGTGGCAACGAGTGTTGCAAGCTGTCTTCCCCAGCGGCTTCACAACTGCCAACAGTCCTACCCCCATGATCGTACCAGACTGTCAGGTGACCTTGGCAAAAGTGAATATGAATTGACTTCTCTGATCCCCCTTGCCCAGAGACTTATTATTCAGAAATTGCCCCACATCTTCCGCCATGGACATAAGATAGAAATTGTGACCGTGCTGTCCGTGTGTTTCCAGTGCCCAATGCGCAATGCCATTTACTATCTCAGCCACGGCGACTGCAGAAGATGAGCATGCCGTTCTTCCACCATTAATCTATTGGCACGCAGCCTTGATATGAGCTGGCACAGATATCCTCGCAACCATTGGCTGTTCATCGGATTGAGCAAAGGCGAGGGACCTAAGACGCATTGACTCTTACTTCTCTCCACAACAATTTCATTAGCTTAATCTATCCATTCTGACAATGGGCAAACGAGGCCAGAGACTCAATTATGTTAACACATTGATCAATCCGCCCGGAATATGTCACTACTCCTAGAGCTGGATTGAAGTAGAGATCCTGCCTGTCACCGCCTAACACGGAATAGCCAACGACGATATAAAGAGTGGAAATGACCTGAATTACATAGAGCGGCCCCTCTTTGCCATGTCACAGAGCTGACATTGCCTGTCTTACAGTGGATGGACAACAGAAGCTCTGTCAAGCCTGCCTCGTTCACCTATGCCCTTCTGGAGCCCCCGTCTTCTGTCGCGGAATGAGGCGGACTGGGAGTTTTCGACGACAGCCCCTCTACGGATGAATGGATGTCATACGGGGAGTTTCCCGGCAATTTCCCAAGGACTTGAACTATACTTTACGCCGTGCTCAATTGCGGATGGTAAGTGCGACGCATATACGCGTGGTATTATTGAATTCCTCTTTATAGAAGGGCTCTAAAACGATTGCTGCCATATTGGTCCATATATAATAATTATTCCGACATTGTAACAGCAGCGCCCCTGAAATGGAGAGGCCAAAGTCACTGTGCTGCGAATGCAGCCGCATAAACATTCATATCCTTCACGAACCCGCCTAACCTCCTCGGCCTCCAGCCAAGAAGCTGCTCAGCCCGCGCAGAAGAGCCCCGGAACGTCGTACTCATTGCTTTAGCGAACTTGTCCTCGCCAGCACCCTTCAGAGTCACTGTCCCTTTGAAGCCCCAGCATACAGACATAGATTCGAAGATCTCGCGCATGCCCTCCTGGCTCGTAACCAGGTCAAAAACAGGGTATACACCGGTTCCGGAGACACAAGGGAGCTTCGCAGTAGCGCACTGAAAGGCTCGCGCTACGTCGTCGACATGTACCAGCCCTGGCCTTGCATCCGCCTCCAAAGGGATCTCAATTGACGTCGTCTCTCCAGTCCTCGCTGCGTTGAGTAGCGGCGTCACGAAAGACGACCAGATCGTTAGTTCCCTGCCGTAAATCAAGGCGGGCCGGAGAATCATCACATCCAGCACGTCGGCCGCGTTTAGTATCTGCTTCTCAAGATCACGTCGCCAGGCAACTAGCTCCGGGGCAGGTGAGGGTGCCAGGTCTACGACGGAGAGGTCATTAACGGCTTGGGAAGATGAGCCGTGCACCCAGGTCCCGGAGCAGTAGATGAAGCCAAGCTTTGGTCCTTTCACGCCGTGACGCCCGTATTCCTTCTGCCGTTCCTGCCCGATGAGTATCGCATTGTGGAGGAAACTGTAAGTATCCTGGTTTGCGCCTGAGACATCGACTATGATGTCAATGCTCTCGGAGCGGATAACGGAGAGATACGCCTCTGGAACTTCGACCGGGTTGCTGCAGAGAACGGGTATTATCTCCTGTCGGGCGAGCTGGGCTGCTTTCTCCTGTGAACGTGCCACGCCGTAGACTGTGTGTTGGCCTGACTGGACGAGCCTGTGGGCTACATGCTTGCCTAAGTATCCGGTTGCTCCTAGGATGAGGATTTTCGACATGGTTGGAATTGGAGGAAAGATGAAATAACAAGGATTTATGCTGTTTTATAGAATACCCTATCCAGAAGACAGAGAATCTCGAGAGTATGTCACTTGGTCAAAGCTAGGGCTTCATATATGTTCTATTCGGAGTTAGTAAAGTTAAAACCGGCGAAGGTTTACGCTCCCGGTTTTATCCTCCTCTGCGGTTTTAAGTCCGCTGTCCGACAGTAGGTAAGCACCTGACGTCAGGCCCGGTCAATAGCTCTCAAGCTCCGCGGAATCTGAATCATTCAGCATAATGATGGTTTGAATGCAGTTTTGAACATCTCTCTCTTTGTCCGGGAGCAGTCACTCATCCCCGTCCCTACCGGACCCGCCCGGAGACCGTAGCCGTTGCCGATCTAGGATTTCAGCGTGTACGCCGAACCCCAACTTTTATCCACCAGGCGAATCCAGAATCCGAGACTTCTGCTTCTTGAACTTAAGTGTCAACTCAAGCCTGGCGAGGTACTAGGTCCGTGTTGGAAGGGACATTAGCACCTATCCAGGTTGCGAGTATGTACCCTGTCCTTGCTCTTCAGGGCCATCTTCTCTGATTCACGAGCAGAGGCTGTGATAACCTAAGGGCCTGTGCTGCGTGATGAATCCAGCTGCATGGTAAGTATGCTAGTCCATTCATTGCCCCCATTTCCAGCATGGAAGAGGCATGACCACCTACATCCCTTTGGGAAATCCGCTGCTGAGCTCGTTAAAGAGAAGATCGTATAAAGAAGATCGTATAGAGATATAGTACCACCAGGCCAAAAAGGGATGTCTAGACATGGGCCTTGTCAGTCTAGGCTAGCCTCTGGGTCTGTCTCATCGTTGAACTCCTGAACAAAAGATATCAGGGATAAGTTCAGACTGTAAGGAAGATTGCAAACCCAGTATGCGCCATCATGAAAAGCATGGTAGCGTCGCCTATACTTGAAAAAATGGAAGCCAACCATCATACAATCGAAAATATGAGTCTTGAAACACTATCAACTATCCCGCCTAGGCTTCGACATTAGATACAATCTTGTCTTCAGCAATTCCAGAAACTCCGCCAAGCACCTTCCCCCTAATAGTCTCCTCGAGACGTTCTTTGCTTAATTCTTCCACCCCCAGCCACTCATTGTCTGTCTCCTGAAATCCCGTCTGATAGTTAGGATCCCACACTACTCCCGCCATCAGTGTCGACACTGCCGTCATAGTAAACTCGCCCCTCTTCAGCATATCCAAGCCTTCTTCAAATTTGAGGCGGGCGTCCTTCTCGCTCACTACCCAGGACCCTGGGTCTGAAGAATATTGCTTTGCAATCTCTAGCACCTCGTTCTGCGTAACCAGCATACCGTGGACCTGCACGCAGTGCCCAACAACACGGCCCGGCTGTTTGAGCACTTCGGAAATCGCCCTTGCCACGGTCCCAAAGTCCGAGATACTAAAAGGGACATTACCCCCGTTCACGATATCAATCCGGCGGTGCGCCAGGTCTATCATAAATGGCAGATCGAACACGTATTCCAAGAACCCGCCGCAAGCGACAATCGTCCATGAGATCTCGTCGGATCTCGCTCGGAGGTACTTTTCGATTTCCAAGACATCGGTATACGGTGGCAGCAGCCGCACTGCGGGGTTCCTCAGGCTCATGGCGTAGTCCGCTGGGATGAAATGTTTTACGCCGTTGGCGATCGCCGCGTCGATGAGGGGCTTCTGAGTAGCCACCGCCACACCGGCCACCGTCGAAACTACGGCGTCGTGACCCTTGAGTGCGGCTTGTAGGGAGTCTTGCGATGTATAGTCTACCTCAATGACTTGCACACCGTCTGGAATATTCCTGAGCGACGGTGCTGAAACTGAACGCGTGAGGACTGTCATCTCGAAGCCTGCTTTGATGAGTTCGTCGAGGACAACAGAGCCGAGTCGGCCTTTCTATGTAAGCGAAGCATTCAACTTGTCAGCCTAGCTCAAGTCGAACCAGCGCAGGTGATACTAGTGTGCACTTACACCGGCCAGTGCCACCTTGGAGATGGCCATATTGGTATTCTGATTTTCAGAGAAGCGTGGACTGGCTTCAATATAGGAAGACCCGCAGTGATGAACTTCAGTCAGGTGAGTGAGCTTATGAACTTTGTGGGAGTATAAATAAGGTGAAGCCCCTCACTAGTGGAACATCACTTATTCCTACCTGCCCTAGCTCTTACAGTGCGCAAGAAATATTTCCTTAGTGCTTATGTACTCTTGAAGCAGTCAAGTTAGATTGGTTGAATATCATCATATTAACAGTATAAGTGAGCACTAACATGTATGGAGTAGTCTGCTCAAGGAACAGCCGCGGATTGACCAATTACCAGCCTAATGCACGTGTACACAGTGTCGTGTCCTCTATTGAGAGAAGATAATGTGTCTTGGCGAAGCCCGTGGTGAACACGAAGCTCATGATAATCATGATACGAACAAAAAAAAAATGGGCCTATAAGAAGTAAGTAGAAACATTAGAACCAAATTATTCGCGGAAGCTACGGTGAAGCGGGATGGTATGCTGGTCCTGAATGACCCAATGCAGATATCGGGCAAAGGATAAATGCTGGCGGAATCTTCATCAGCAATGGCATTGTTGCTAGTGACATTGACAAATCGAGAACCATACTGTTTTGGCACGAGAATTGATACCTTTTATATACTTGAGGATCAATGACTAGAAGTGTTGAGTACCGACATCGGACATTGTTCTTGCTGGCTTGGGAGGCATGTACCGAAAGGTGTTTTTTTTGACCTAGGGACGTAGTGAATGACGGCTGCAAAGTAAGAGCTGGAGGACCATTCCATTCCAGGTTTAAAAATAATCATTGCAATCTAGCTGATGGCTTCCGTGCTCCCCGCGGCATCAACCTGCTGCGATACAAAGTTTATGTATATCACTTGAGTACAGAAGAGTTACTAGTCACTCCAGGATCCTGTTCGCCACCCAGTCAAGGACCACAGGCCCCATCAGGCCGTAAGACTGACTTCCGGCAGACGCATAATTCGGGGCCGTTAGCGGAAGCAGAGATCCCATACACATCGTGGCGTTCATCTCAGCTCTGATGCGATTATAAAGCGTGGTTGACACCTCAACTTTGACATTATTGGTCTCGCCGCGACGGATATGATTGCTGATGTCCACTGCTGCATTATCGGCCGCGAATGGACCCACCAAGCAGCCATTTACCCAGACGCGAAGAGTGTTGAAGATCGGTCCAACCGAGAGGTACGCCCCAATGTCCTCAATGTCCGGAACTGTGAAGTTGGTTGTATAGGTGCCAATGCCGCTGACGTTTTCGAGCTCAGGAGAGATGCTTTTCCAGGGCAGTAGAGTCTGGTTCTTGAACTTATGTGTTGAGATCTGGGTCCTGATAGAGGTCGTGTCGTTGGGATCTCCTTTCCAATCCTGGATTTCCAGATTCCAGAGCTTGAGCGAAGTAGGAGACGGCACAACTGCATCCAGACTCCGTTCCGTGGTGTTGTTGATTCTCACTTTTGACGGTCCCTTTATGCTCGCATATAGTTTCCCATCAACAGTGTAGCTGACCGCTTTAACAGCTCCGGAAGTATTCGTAACCCAGCTCTGCCTCTTCGCTGTCAAGGGCCTGAAACCAATAATAATGGTCTCATAAGGTTGGAGTTTGAGAGGTATCTGCATCCCTGTATTGGAGAACGAATACTGTCCGATCGGTCGTGTGTCTCCGGTCCAAGCATCCAGAAGATGTGGCACCATGTCCTTGCTGACCTGAAAACTGGGCGTAGAAGAGAAAGTGGCATTTGCGTTGTTGAACAACCAAACGTAATCATTTCCGGATTGGGTCTCTGTGCGATAGACGCTGAAGATCGAACTGTTTGGAAACGAAAACTGCACACGCGGTGTAATACTTGCTTTTGCTAGAGCTGCGGGAAGGTCATCGTTCCTTTTGACATGGTGGATGTTTGTTCCATGTGCGATCAGCTGTTCCACCAAAACAGAAGTGTTGTATTGCTCATTCGGCCGGGAGGATAGGGGCAGAGGCTGGACTTCACCCACGAAGAAGACGGGTAATCCAGCACGATCGAACTCTCGAACCTTGGAAACAACTTCTTCATCAATCTGGGTGTTATTAAGAAATACCAATGCTTTATAGCTAGGACCATCAGGGCTGAGAACCCCGTTCGAAGCGGACGCGGCTGGGAGTTGCAGGTTTTGCGGGCCGATGAAATTGTAGGTATATCCTGAAAGCACTTATTAGTTTCCTTCATAAGAGACGTCGAAACCGCTCAGACCTTTTGCTTGCAGATTGTCCGAATCATAGATACGCGCAGCAGTCCAAGCGCTATCGGACTGGTATATGGCAAGGTCAATACGAGGCTTTCCTGATTTCAGGATGTGCTGATTCCTTCCCAGGTACCCAAGCACATCGTCCATGTGCCGCCATGCGGGTTGAATATGACTCCATGAATCGGTGGTACCATAGCCGAATGGCTGATAACCCGGCCAGGTGGTTTGCGCATATGGCCCAGTGTACGCCATGCCGTGGATGACCATCATTGTCAATCCCCCAGCATAGGATTTCTTGATCGAGAGCAAGAGCTCTGGGATGGTCTGGCTATATGCAGGCTGGAAAACGGCTCCAACCTCTGATGAAATGTCGCTTCTGCCAGCAAGCTGGGCTGGGCCAGACAGAGAGCGATAGGCATCTAGGATATCCTCGAATCCGAGAGATTCCCCTTCCGGATCATCCACCGATGGAATTTCGTTCAGCTGAAAATAATCTCGGTTAGAGGTTACTACATGGTAAACCGGGAGACTCACAAAACTCAAAGGCAAGTTATACGAAACCTGCGTGGAGAATTCGATTCCATGTGACTTGGCCCATTCAACATGGTAATCCAGATATTCTTGGTAACACTCGCTCAGAGTCTGCCGATAATTTGCGTCGTGAACACTGACGTGGTCTGTAGTATACGCTCCGTACACATACTCCTCGTCGTAAGGAGTGTATGTACGTGCCCATGAATTGCCTTTGTTAAATAGAAGCGGCAAGTATTTCACAAGACTATATCCATGGGCGGATTCAAACCTCTCCAGAAACCCTCGTGTCCAAGGAAGCACGAGAAGTAATTCCATACTGTCCTCCCAGGCTGCTATCTGTCAATCTCAGGCAAAACAAGAAGGGTAATTCAATCGGCTAGCGTACCATATCTACCGTTGGCCCTGAGATTCGTTTTAGTCGCTTCTCCTGTCAGGATATGATCATCGAAGAATTTGGTATGGAGTTTGGCGCCGGCCTTGCTGAAATGGTCTACAGCGAGAGACCCTCTCTGTATCGTTGTTGTCCCGTTGATGCCACCCGAGCAGGACACTTGGTTGGTAAAGCCCTCCCAGAAAGCAAATATCTTCCATGTGTCATTGCCAGCCGGAACTTTCCAATTCAAATTGAGGCCATTCACATAGGGACTGAGATCGACGATGGAGTCTTCATCTATTATCACCTTCGTCGTCGTGTCAGAGCTGTTACTCTCAGATTCTACGACAGCAGGTATAGGGAGTTAGCATCAAGTACAGGTCCTGGATCAATAAGTATGAAAGCACAAACCTTTTATTATCCTGCCAGCAATCACACCCTTCAAGTTTCCTTTCTCAGCATTGGTGAGACCATGCATGAACCCACCACCGGAGAGCAGGGTACCAGTAAGACTTTGCGGCTCTGGGACGGAAGCTATAATTGAACTTCCCGATCTGACCGTCATAACACCGAGTTGCTATGTGATGCTCAGCCGCTGTGGTCCAAGCATTCAATCCATTTAGTGGAAAACAGGACGAAAAGCTATCATACCAAATGGATAGATAATCCTTCGGTTCCAGCTTCAGCGGGTGTTCCTTGACCTTGACTAGCACCTAAGCTAAAGTCCATCAGAAGAGAGTTGTCAACTGCTGCTTGCAATGCTGTATCGAACACGTTCCGAAAAGCTTCGGTCCCAAATCCATACGTGTTCCAGTCCGTGGGTAGCGCGGCATCCGTGGGATTGCCATAGGCGTAGAAAGGTACTAGCTCAAAACCACCTGCTCCTTTGGCAGCGAGGTCGGCGATGTCTTGTTGGACGTAGGAAGTTGTGACACTAGCATCGGGAATCCTAGGTGGAGATTAGCTTCTGGCATACAATCGGTAGTGTCTGACCCATCGGAGTTTACCAATAGCGAAATTTAGCTCGGGAGGTCGCAGGAGGCGATTTGAACTGATCAGCTGCTGATGGGTTTGCAGCTGCAAAGGTTGCCAGCAACGAAAGACACAGAAGAGCCTTTCGCGCAAACATTTTGAGGGGCTTGATGGTTGTCATGTTTGGCCAGAGCACACGATAGATAGAACCTACGCCGATAGCCGTAATGATCAAATATTCCCTGCGTTACTCTGCAAATTTCATGCTCTTTATATCACATCCCGGATACAAGTGCGGAGACAGACATGATTGGATAAAAAGATTCTCGGCAGCTGCCTGGCTGCTACGACTTTACTCATAGACCCACTTCACATCATCGGTCTCAGTTCTGAACAATATGAATAGGACCTTCTCCCGGGTACGAGAATACGAGTAAACGACTATACGGCAGGTAAAGGCCCCGTCCGCCATGCGCCGTGTTTGCGCACAATGACTATAGAGACTCGGCACTTCATCACTGTACAATTACCATTCGTTCCGAACATTTGGATTTTGGAACGTAGGAACATGACATTTTAAGCTCCATACAGCGCGTTGAACGACGGACGGAACACAATAACGTAGATGTTGCTAATTATACTCTCTCAATCGAATATTAGTGGTCCGGGGTGTAATATATTTCTAAGATTATAAGTATGGTAAATATAAGCATCGATCTGGTGGGATATAGCAGGCACACGGAAAGGTGCACATTATTCAAAGGCTCATTTGACGATCAGCGAAGCTGTATGGAGCGCTAGAGTCGCACTATTGAAGGAGAAAATCCGGTTATGATGTTGACCTGAGTTGAGCTATCAAACTATCTGAGTTATGAAGCTTCCTACTTATGAGGCAGAAGACGAGATGTGTGAGGCGTTCGGCCTACTCGGGAGGCGTAGACGAGAGAATCAGTCCACATGTATCAAGTTGTCGTTGAGGCACTATATTGGTCAGCGTCTAGATTAGTAGTATTCATCCAGAGGCGCCAGCAAAATGGGTTGAGCGCATTTCTTTGCCATGATAGTCGATTGACTTCGTCATTTATTATGCAGAGTCAGCCAGCTCATTTCTTCCCCGACTTTTCATTCGAATTCAACTCCTCATCCTCTCAAGCTCACCATGACGCAACTCCACCGTTGAGTATTTTTCACCAACACCGACCTGAAGCTCAGAATAATGTTCGATTACATTGTAAACGGCGTTGCGTAAGGTCCATTGGCATCCATCTGGCGGCCATCAAATGCATTAAGCTGTTGAAGGAGAAAACTTGAATCCGACCCCAGTACTACCCTAGGCAGCGCCGACGACTACTATTATTAACCGGTGAAGGGCAGTCCACATATTCTACTAGACTGAATATGCGTGCTATATTTCTTTGACTGCACCAGCGGAGTACTAGTCTCTCAACTTCACGAGCTGAGATTCCGCCGGTTAACACCGACGCAAGGGGTGAGGGAGAAAAATGCTAGGCTCCAACGCTCTTACGTACGTGCGCACTACCATATATGTAGCCTAAGATTTACATATAAAATAATTCAGCAGTTCCCCTTGAAAATCTTTTGGCAGTATGCCATCCCGGCACACCGATAGCTAAACGGCGCAAAAATCACCTCTCTATCTGTCGTACCATCCACATTTTTTTCATTGATTGATCATGTCAGACAGTGGGGACACTCGCGAACGGACCATACCTATCCTGAATTCAAGAGACAATGCGCCAAACGAGCAGAAAAAACCTAAAGTCCCGGACCATTCGTGGGATGGTCCGCTGGTGCCAGACCCATGCGGTCTGGAAAATGAGTTAAGGGTCAAGTCACCTGACAGAGGGTCTGTAGCAGGAATCACCATGGACGAATATCGAGCTTCCTTTAACTTGGAACGAGAACGGACCCTCAGACACCTCAGGAAACTCAAAGCAGAGAAGAGGCTCGGCGAGTTGGAAGTCGAATATGTCGTTAAGCTGTGGCCGTCGGTTGATATGATGCGGACGGACGGCTGGAGCGACGACAAGGTCGAATTGGCCTTAGACAGATACTATATTGGTGCCCAGTAGTACGTAGCCCCCTGACTATCCAATTTACCATCATGCGGTCGAATCGTCGTGGTATTGCTAACTCCACAAAGTTACCTTACGCCCAACAATATCGCACCCCCCAGGATGATTGAGCAGTATGGTGCCGACTGGGGACTGAATGCCCGAGGTATTTACTACCGCCATTATTATTCTCCGGGGTGGGTTACTTCCGATCATGATCTCTGGCTACCGTCACTTGATGGCATCGATTGGAATCATTTTAGTGAGTCCAGTCGCCGCTCGAGAGCAGAAACTTTCCTCAGGCATGTTCTCAACAATGAACGATGGAAGAAGAGCGAATATGCATGGGAAGCCGACGCCTGGACAGATGTTTTCGGTCAGATGAAGAATGACCCAGTGCTGGCCGTGTCAGTTTTTCCCTATTGGTGCAGCCTCAGCATCTGATCTAACGAGCCCAGAGATAAGCACGAATACAACACCGTTAAGTTGAAGAGAGATCCGGTGTCCTGTTTATTAGTGGGTGAGCCCAAGTTCATCAAGAGAATTCCTGATGCAACTTTCGGACTTGCAACCTTCAAACCGAGAGACTACCAGAATATCTTAGCAGAATGGGATTTGGACCATGACCGCCTTGAAGCACTCCTGCTTCATCGACATTGTGGCCTTATTTCTGATCCACGCTGGGGCTACGCAGACCTTGTATTTCCATTCGCAGTCTATGAGGCTAAGGGATGGGGAGGGGATGCTCGCGAAGCGCGTCGGCAGGGATGTTCAGCAGGAGCTGTATATCTCGATATGCTGGATAGCCTTGCGCGGCAGCCAGGAAAGGTTGGACAAAAGAACAGAGTATATCAATCGGCAAAGAGTCGCAGCAAAAATCAAGTCTTCGTCTTTACCTCATTTGGTGCTCACTGGCATGTCCTGGTTGGCTACAAACGACCGCGGCATGAAACGGAGTATGCCGGGCATGAAGGATTCAGTGAGTCTGTTTATGTAAGTCTGGTCAAGAGTTAGCTTCAGTGGCGAGTTTACCTGACCTTGGAATCATAGATTTTCCAGAGAATCTGGAGCGGTCGTGTTGTGAGTGCACGGAAAGCCTGGGAACTCCTGTCGCTAGTTGACCAGATACACCTTTGGGGAGCAACCGATTTTCGAAATTCCATTATCCAATATCTGAAACAATGGCATGAATTCGGCAGGAGATGTTGGGCCAATGATGTTGATTTCTTGTTCTCAGAGCTCAAAACAGACAGAGTCACGCAAGATGGGAAAGGGTATTGTTGCATACCCGCGGCTTCCCTACAACTTCCAGACTGGGCCAACCGGCTCTCGGAGGAAATTTGTGGCAAATTGCTGGAAAGAGTGGGGTTCCACTTCCGCGAAGCCTACCAAAGAGATCTTTCGGCTTTGAGTGATCAATGGCCCGGGGCGTTTAGATGCGTACGTGGAGACTGTGGTCCACTGGGCACTCCAGGATATCCTATCCTGTGCGAGGAAGAGATGGTAGCGCACTATCGCCTGATCCACGGGACAGACGATGAATCGATAGCAGACCTCGTGCGCGTTTGCGGCGAAGCAAAAGTGTTTGACAACGATAACAATCCGCTGCAGGTAAGAAAGAGAAAGAGATCAGAGAGCGGAGAACCAGAACCACGCACGAAACAGTTGTGACGGCTGCTATGTGGCTGTGGATGCATAGATATCAGTGTAAGGCATGCCAACGGCTCGACCCAGGGTCCCAGAGGACCTGGATGTCGCGGGCTACACCCACAGCAATTTTGCATTCGCCATCTTTGACCCAGTGGAGTATCGGATTGCCCCCATGGGGGGTCACAGCGAAGATCTGTTTGCTCGTTTCACCGCGCTGAAAAACGGCAACCCCGGTCTGCAGATGTGGATCTCGATTGGAGGTTGGTCGTTCACTGACCCTGGGCCCACTCGCCCAGCGTTCAGCGAGATGGTGAGCTCTGAGGCAAGACATCGGAAATCCATCACGGAGGTTTGGCACTTTATGGGGTGGATCTGGACTGGTAGTATCCACAAGCCGATGATCGAGGAGGTGCCCCGGACGATAAGGAAAACTACGCAATGCTCATTCTGACATGCGCAGTGCCTTTGGCTCCGAATTCGGTATCACGGTGACCATTCCAGCATCCTACTGGTATGTGCAACATTTGATTTCCACAATACGAAGCGCCTTGTGGACTGGATCAACCTGATGTCCTATGATAGTAAGTCCGAAAATGTCCTGAGGGTGCCTAGAAAGTGAATATGAATTGACGCGCGATGCAGGACATGGAACACGGGATAAAGACTCTAAATTCGTCGGTCCCTATATTGCCCCTCACACGAATATGACTGAGATCGATATGGACTTGGACCTCCCCTGGCAGGCTGGAGTCCCTCCCAGCAAGGTCGTCATGGGCATGGCATTTGTAGGTGGCCCTACTTAGCGAGCGTTTCTCCACTAATACTAGACACAGCACGGCCGGAGTTTTCAGCTCAAGGATCCAGCCTGCAACCGGCCAAACGGGCAGTGCGGGTTTGTGTACGAAAATGGAATCGGCGCCGCCGCTGGGCACTGCCCTAAGGCCTCTGGAATTCTGAATCTGGCAGAAATCCAACACATCGTCTATGAGAATGATTTGAACCCCCACTGGGATCAGAAGGCAATGGTCAAGTAGATCACATGGGATCGAGATCAATGGGTTTTCTATGACGATGAAGACACACTGCGAGGGAAACGCGACTTCATGCAGCACCGCTGTCTCTACAAGAAGTGCTTGGCAATATACTAGCACCTCTAAATAAAGAGGGATAGCATACAGCTGTAAGATGTGCTGGTTCTAAAGGTTCGGAAGGAAATGTGTCCCCTGATGATCTGTGATACAACTATGAATGAAGAGCACTTGTGACCGAAGATCGAATCTGCGCAAGCTAACTCGAGGTTAACGCCGCGATTAAGGATAAACAAATAATCAAGGCCTCTCATCAGATCTGTTGTCATCAATGAAAATATGGAGATTCCAATTAAGGCAGCGCATAAATGGCGTTGCAACTAGGCATCAGTATCTTGCAAAGGAATGTAATACAATTGCTACTTATATCCTGATGGCAGGACATTTGGAGAATTTATTACCCAGACTAGCGCATCTGTATAATGCTCCCTAAGTGTAGTTCATGCAAGGCTCAAGTACCGCATCAGGCCAAGCATCAGGCCAATGAATTCAATATATAATGTCAATATTACAGGCTACAGACTAGAGTAATTATCCCGATCATTCTCAGTCATAAGTATATATCCTGTCTAATACTTGAACTCCTGACCGACAAGCTTCTCGCTAAGTTTCCATAGCCTCTCTGCGTCGACGTTGCTGGTTGCCCACGAGTATACTTCTTCCAGGTCCGGGTCCGCAACATGGCAATCACTCAAAAAGGCACCGTTGTGCTCCGCAATACCTGTGTCAAACGCAGCAAAAACATGCGTTGCTACGCCTTGATCCAAGTCCTTGATCTTCATCTCGGCCATGCCCCACAACGACTTATTTCCATACAGGTTGTCCATCTCCGTGAGGTCGGCAGAGAAAGAGGCCAGGTCATCCATCCCGTGCGCTGAGAGGTTCGTGAAACTAACCCCCGGGCACATCGGAAAGGAGAGGAGACCGCGGGAGCCGAGTTTCTCGGCGAGCGAAAGTCCCATCAGGGCGTTGGCGGTCTTGGACTGGCCGTACGCCAGCCACCGCTGGTAGTGCTTGCCCTCGTTGAAGTTATGATCGGACCAGCGGATATGGCCGACGCGGTGCACGCCGCTCGAGACGGTCACAACGCGCGGGGTCTTCGAGGCTAGGATCTTCCCCATGATGAGATTAGTGAAGAGGAAGTGGCTGAGGTGGTTTGTTTGAAATTGGCTTTCGAAACCATCCTCGCTCTGTCTGTATGGCACCGCCATAATGCCAGCGTTGTTGACCAGGACGTCAATGTGAGGCACGTCAGTCCAGGAGTTGACGGTCTCAGCCGCTTTTCGGACGTCGGCCAATGAGAGCAGGTTTAGGGCCAAGGGTTTGACCGTGATGCTTGGGTGCGTGATGCTAAGCTCGTCAATGAGGCCCTGCATCTTGGGGATGGAGCGGCCGGCCAAGATGAAAATGGCAGGCTGTGCTACGGCAACTTGCTTCACGAAGCTCTCGCCAAGACTCCCTGGGGAGGCGCCGGTGATCAGAATAATCTTTCCAGCGATTTGAGGAGCGTAGTGGCGAACAAGCTCACTGGCTCTAGTCTCGTGGTTGCAGGTGGGCGCCATGGTTGGTACGGGAGGAAGTTCAAGATGATTTGAGAGGTGTTACAGTAAAGGCACAAAAGATAATGAAGTTGAGAATGTTTCAATAAATCCTAAAGGCAGATCAAGGCCCTTTTATATTCTTTTCATGCGCCTCTGGCCGAGGAGAGATGGGTCATAGGTGTAATGGTACATGCTCAAATCGGCTGAATTGTGAACTCGGATGCCGGACTATATACATACCGGCTGCATCACTAAGTACTACCAAACCATTTCCGGTCTTTTCTGCGAACATACAAAGCAGGATGTTAATAATACTATGTGAGTGTGTGCACTTGTTCAAGCCAGTGTGTAAACATAGTGTGGCTAGTGGCAGCCGTTTGCCAAAATGCGCTAAACCATTTCGGGTTCATTGTGCGAGAGTATCAGCTATTCTTACTGCTATCATCGTATATAGGGAATGCTTGTTTACAGGCTTTACAGCATGGGAAGATACCATTGTCATTTGGGTATGGGTGATACTTCGTAGATGGAAATGAATACACGCGCGGGTACACCATTCGACAGTTGCTTGCCATCGAGACGGACAACGACTTCGGATTCAGCTCTTCGAATTCTCGTACAGCTCTGACGTGGAAAATTCCATAACGTACTTCCCTACCCAGTTGGACACCCTAGCGAGCCGGACACCTCTGTATTCCATATAAAATGGCACTCATCAAGGCTTTGATATCTCAACAACGAAGCATCTATAGAGCCTAAGCTCAGATAGGAAGTATTAGTATAGTCATACACAGTTATAAGCTACAGTCTCCTAGTGTATGTGAATACTCAGATAACATAAATATGATAAATTACATCTGCATTTTTGGTGATATTAACTTTGTAGACATTAAGAAGGGGAATAATGTTCTAGGGCCTTGCAGAACAGTATTTGTATACTTTAATCTATACATTGGCTAAATACCTTACTTACATTGTAGCATATATGGACATGGTTGAGATATCACAGCCTTGAAAAGCGCTATTCTATATGGAAGACAGAGGTGTCCGGCAGGCTATGGTGTCCGACCCGGTTGGGAAATAACGTTTTAATGCATAATTAGAATAGATAAGAATCAATAAACATTATCCACTCCCCAGGGCACATCTCACATCAGTTTGTTCATCCAAGTAGGCAGGTTTACCACTCCCTCCATTTCGTCAATCGTCTCATTCCACAACATCTTCTGTACCTTCTGTCCCTCCTTGCTCTTAATGAATTCGGACGGCTCCTCCACCGCCGTGTCTCCACCCCCGTAACGACCGCTGCATTCAGCGCAATCCATCCTGCTTGCTTTGGTGATCGAGCGGTGAGAGCTTTCATCACGTTCGTGGGTATGCGCATATAGAATGGGAGCCCATCAGTCATCCCTGTGTTGACAAGGCCGGGACAGAAGCTGTTGATGATGACTTTGTCAGGATGATAGTGCTTCGCGAGTTCGAGCTGGAAGAGCACACAAAAGAGCTTACTATCTCCATATCGCTGCAGCATGGAGATACCCTCGGCGGTGTTGAGGTGCTTGAGAAGCCCTTCTCCTTTCTGGAGGGGAAGCTTCTTGGCTAGACTAGTCTTCTCGTACATTCGACTACCGGTCCAAGTAACTCTCGCTGGCTTGTTGGTCTTGCTTGCAGTCGATTCCAGCATTGGTAGGAGAGCGAGTGTAAGCAGTACATTAGAGAGATAGTTGACTTGGATGTCCATCTCATGCCCCGAACTTGCCGACTCTTTCGCTGCCGTACCAATCCCCGCATTTGCCATCAGCAGATGCAAATCTTGAAACGTGAGCTGGTAGGCAGACACGAAGCGCTCCACGCTCGCGTAGTTCTCTGTGTCGAGCTCCATAACTTTGATCGTGACATTGGAGTTGCCCGCGTTGACAGCCGGATCGGAGAGCAAAGATTCTCGGACAGTCTGGCCCTTTGACGTGTTGCGCACGGCCATGATGAGATTTGAGACCTTGTAAAGGATAAGTTGGCGAGAAATCTCAAGCCCGATGCCTGCTGTTGCGCCGGTGACGACGGCTGTTTGTCCAGAAAGGTCAATGCCGGAGGACGGAGGGCTTACTGGTGGTTGGAAAAAGGGCATTGTGAGCTGTCCGTGGTACTTCCCCGTAAATTGGATGTGTCTGACCCTCAAAGGAAGGTTACATGAGCTTCTAGTTGTGGACTTCGTCTTCTCCGAAGAAAGACTGGCCGTCGCCCTTTAATACCCCCACCCCCTCTCTTCAAATCATGCAGCGGGTTGAGTTTCTTCTGCAAACCGGTTCGCTCTTCATTAATCTTCCGAATCCCGCGCCACGAGGCCCCTCAACTTCACCAAGTTAGTAATTGTTCCCCCTAAAGCCATAGCGTCCCCCCACAGCGGGCCAAAGAAAGTTCTTGACATCACACTATGGCTCTTTTTCCTCGTCTCTCTCCCTTTCCAGCCTGGCAAGTGGCAAAACATATTCGGTCTCTAGCTCATTTCTGTCGGATGGTGGGAAGTATTAGTACCCATCCAGGCCTGATAGGGCGGCAATACAATCAATCTAACGCAACTCCACACGTCTTAGTGGTTCGAGGCGTGGAGAAGGTTAAATTATTAAAGCTCGCGCTTATGACCCTTTAAGGTTTAGCTTGGTGGCCCGGTATTCGACGCTAATCGGATAATGGTAAGTCTGACGGAGCGGCCATTGATATTTATCCCGTGATGACATATCGAACACCCACCACCATGAATCGCCTCTCCTGCCGGATAAGTCCCAGAGACCTTGGTCATCACTGGAGCGAAAGATCAAGAAGAAGCCCAGCACTTTCGGCATGGTTAACGCGGGCAAGCGGTCTAAGTGCTGTTTCACGTGTCGCAAGCGGCGTGTGAAGGTACGGGAACCCTTTGTGCTGCCAAGGTCCGTCTGGCTAACAGTGTCCTTCCCACTCTAGTGTGACTTGCAAAAGCCATACTGTCGGCGTTGTACGCAGGCGGAACGACCATGCCCTGGCTACCCCGACGCCTGGGACGTCATGCTGCGCGTGCAGAACAATTATGCCGAGAGTAAAGTGCAGTTGCGGGTTCAGAAAGTAAGAACTCAAAGAACGGAGCGGATCGGAAGAGAGGAAACCACCATTCCACGAGGAGTCCACATCCCTGCCGAGGTGCACTGCTGGAATCGTTTCTACCGAGATTATGCAATTCACTCGGGCATCGCGCTCTTCAACGTTCTGCCCAGGTTTTATATAAGCAGCTCGTCGACGTGTTTCCAGGAAGCTCTCCAGGCCGTGGCCTTAGTTAGCTCGGCTCGCCAGCTTCACCAGTCTGGATTGATGCTGCGAGCAAGACAGCACTACGGCAAAGCGATAACAGCACTCAATGCCGCACTTAACGATCCTGTACTAACTGCGGACGATTCGGTTCTCGTAACCCTGTTTCTGCTTTCGCTATTCGAGGTAAGATACGTTTGGCTACTTTTGCCCTCACTCGTTTCATAGAAGTGAGCTCGATTGCCGCCAACAAGGCCCGTTCATGCTAAAAGCATGTAGATGATCATTCCGGAGTTCTTGATGAGCGGCCTGAAGGACCCGGTCTTCCGCTGTCATATCCACTTTGAAGGGGCACTGCTCTTACTTCAATGGCGTGCTGAGCGATCGCGGGATTCCGAACTTGATAAAAGCTTCTTAACGTTCTTCTCTCATATCTGTGTGCGTATCAACCCTTGGGCCACGCACAGTCAACGTTCCACTGACATCGGTATTTAGTTGATGAGCATGTTCCTCAATTATGAGAGCGCCTTCGATTCAAAATGGTTAGCCCTGGAAAGGTTTGCGGCTCCGTGGGTGAAAGGACCTCTTTTAGAGCCCATTCTTGCTCAGACGGTCAATTTTAAAAGGCGTACGCACGCTCAGGTCACGATGAGCCACCCCCCATCTCGAATCGAGGTGATACAGCTTATCAAGGACGGGACGGCTATTTGCGAAAATCTCAAAGCCACGGCAACCAGCGTCAAGTCCTCCTCGAATCTAGATCTGCCTTTACACCTACAGCCGACAGCCTTCAATAACATGTTCGAGGTCTCCACCAAAACAACCGAGGCCATTGTAAGGTGTCTATATCAAACCGTGAGGTACCATGTCGTTGAAGTGGTCTCGAGCCTTGTGACTTTTGTTGAGGACGGTGACGGAGCTTACCACAAACCTGAATACCAGTTTGACCCATCACTGAGCTCCATGATCCTCGAACAGGTGTGCGGGGAGATTTGCGCCGTGCTGGGGCTCGACAGCGGGCATAATATGGAGCAAGGCGAGATAGGAATGGCTTATCGCGCATATAGCATCTTCTGGGCTTTGGTGGTCTTGCTGTTCTCTCCTTTGGTGGGTGAGGAAAAGAGGGCGTGGGTCCAAGAAAAGCTGCGATTCATCGGCGAGATAAGTGGGCTCGGCCTGGCAACATATGCCGCCGGGAGTTTTAGCACATCCCATCCAGCTCAACAGCAAGCGCTATAGGAATTTGGTGCAGGTAGGTTGGGGTAGAAATCAACGCCAGAGGGGTGCACTGTATGTGGGATATTTTTCTACTACAGCTCTTTAATGAGGTTCAGGTCGGGCAAGTATGTTGGTAAGTACACTAGTTTGACCCCTTATCAAGGCACATTGGCTTGGCTCAATATCTCGGAACGATGAAAGGATGCATTATCCATGATAAGAACTTACTCGGGCTCGGGATATTTCATAGACTACCATCTGGCGTACTGGAAATGTTTGAAGCTGTCTAGCTATGACAGATAATAAACAAAGGTCACGCGAATAATAATCCGGTAATTTAGACTACATAATTGCAGGTATTATGTGGAATTTGACACTCTCCGTGGGAAACAGGATTCTGGTAGATATCTCTCACAATTATAAACAATAGGCGCAAATCGCTACTGGTTCTAGACTACCTGTCTTGACATAGAGATCGCTCCGCTAGTACCAACAACTGCCACGGGCCTAAATGCGTGCACCTTGCTGGCCCAGTCTTCATCCTCATCTCTGTGCCTGAACTACTCAGCGAGTCCTCCAGGCATAACTTCTGGGAGATTTGGTCATGATGGCCTCGTACAATTCTGGCTCATCAATGCGGCCCCCTCGGCAACGGCCCATGCTTATGTCGAGAACGTGGAGACATCCATCGTGTTCTCCGCTGTGTCGAAGACGAGCCGAAGTCCGGGATTAACCTTTGCCTCATTGTGGGAGAACATTTTAAACACTAGAAAAGAAGTTGGTCAGTAGGGCCATGCATGACACGACACAACAGGAAAAGGGAAATGGGAAAAAGATCAACCCACCGCCATTGGCCCCTTGAACTCCGATGGTACACTCAGCACCTTTGTCCACGGCATCATAGTACTGATAAGTGACCATATTTGGGTGTGCTTCGTCAATACGCAGATTAAAGTGAAAGTATTGATCTTCCTTTGACCACCGTGTCATATACCACTCCACCGTGAGCGATCTCGACCCTGGCTCTCCGACAATCTCATAATAGATCCCGTGTGGCTTGCCCTGGCAGATCTTCAAATCGGTCCAGAAAGGAAACATTGAGTATGCGGGGATTTCATCGTAGAAGGGAAGAACCTGCCCTGTTCGCTGTCTCTCAGATGTTCCGCCGGCCGCATCCAAACTGAGGATGCCATTGTCCGTCACGAAGATTTTCGAGGTGGAATAATTGAAGAGACTAATAGCAAATGGAAGCTCAAGTGGGTACCATTTGTCGTCAATGTTCTCTGCTGCGCCTCGTAAACCGCCCACAATGGCGATAGGGTTGCTTAGAGTCTATGGTGACTGTATTAGCGAAAAAGACTAAAAACAAAGAAAATCAACAAGCTGGAATGAACTGTTCATACCACGCTATTATCGAGGATCGGTTGTGGATCTTCTTCAGCTTGAGCTTCCCTTTCCCTGGCTCTCGCCTGAAGTTGCTCAAGGAGCTTTTTCTGCGTCGCGAGCATATCATCGAGATAAACTTTCACCATGATGGTGTGGGCCCCTTGTTTAATTTGAAGAAGGGTATTCTCAGCCTCGTGAACAGCATTCAATTCCTCCTGGATGGCCAGAGCAGAAGCAGCAGCGTCGACGATTTCCCCTTGTTCGGCAAGCGTGGTCACCTTGTCAGTGAGCTGCTGAACTTTCCTATATCCATCTTCTGCCTTCGACCGGCTGACCAGTATGTCCTTGGTGAGATCTGTAAGGTCTTTCCCTGCTTGGACAGCACTCTCTACATTCTGTGCCAACAAGGTGAACGCACCGGGCGCCCGCTCAAAAACCTCAGTAATTTGGGTCTGGACCAGGTAGATTTCCTTTACCACCTTCAACACCCGCCACTCGTACTCAGCTGCTGCTGTGGCATATTCTTGGCTCCGACCCAGGGCTATTTGAGCCTGGCTCCTGAGCTCGCTCATATCTGCATTGACTTTCCGGACGTATTGGCGGTACTTCAACAGGATAAGCTGCCACGATATCAAGCCGAGAACGGTAAGCCAGAGAATTGGGACAGGGATGACGAAAAGGGCGATTAAGAGAAGAGTGATGGTGTATCCGCCAGTGATGCCATTGAGCCAAGTGGCGAGAGACTGCCATTCCAGGTATGCAAATCGTAGCTGCCAGGAGACATTTGTAGATTGTTTGGCTGCTACGAGCAAGGCCACTGCCACGAACAACGGCCCATAGAACAGAGACTCAGCCGAAGGAGTTTCTGACCCTCTGCAACCCCAGCTGACGTCGAGTTTGGGGTATACCAGAGCCAGGAAAACCAAAGTGGCCACTAGGGTTTCAATCCCAATCAGTACAATGACTTTACTGCACATGGGGAATATTTACCCTTTCGTTTCTCCACAAAACGAAGGATCTTCTCCAAGCCCCCGAGCGTCTCCCCAAGTGATGCTCGTGTGTCCGGTTCGTTCGCATTGTTACTGGGTGGATTCGTCGCCATAGTGGGCAAGCTGCTTCTGTAGCAAAGAGATTTCCGCGTCTCGTCTTAAGCAAGTAAATCGGCGTCGAAATGGATAGAATAAATGACGATCTGGTGGCAACGACACTGGGTGAACAGATCTTATAAGTAGACGCAAGGCAAACACACAATCACTCGTTGGGTAGTCAGAATAGCCCATCTTTAGTCTAGTCTGATTTTCCATCTAGTCCCCTGGTTTAGGTGTGTAACAGAAGGAATCAGAGTTATTCGCGCTCCTACACTTGGCTCAGTACATGGTGACCTGCAGATCGTGGAAGCGATATGCGTCAGAACCTCACATTACAGCCAAGAGGCCCAAGGCCAACAAGACCAGCTCCACACCACTGGCTCCCCCATCTTCAGCTTGCTATGCATGACTTTGCAACTATCTTGAATATCTGAGCTCGGCTTGAAATCCTGGCGGTCTCACCGACGCATAGCAGGGTATGATTCCTTGGGACGGAAGCGAGTGGTTTGGATGCTATATGGTGAAGCGTGATTCGTGAAATAGTGCAGCAGCTCAGCCACCAAAGTCTTCTCAAACTACAGGTCCTCAGCCAGTCACCCGATGGTATGCAGAAAATTAGGCTAGGAATAGGATCAGACCCTTCGTCACCTAAGCACAGGAATGCGTGTATTGCAGTCGCAAAGCGGGGTAAATCTATAAGAGTGGTAGTATAGAGTGCCAAGGGTTAGGTTTCTTCTGCGAAACCCTCCAGTATAATTATTCTATTGGTAATAATATAGGTTACTTCCTAACTAGTCACTTATATTCGAGGGAATGGCCCTTAACTCCTTATTAAGTCTACCCCCTTAATGTACAAGCACAAAGTCTTTAGCTTTTATTAACTAAGTAAATGTTAAGCCACCCTTTATATACCCAATACTTATACATGCTTGGAGAGAGGAGCCTCTGCCTTGATTATTTAGGAAAACGTATCTTATCAACAACTATACTTCTATACCTTCGCAAGTGTACGGGGGTCAGATCTAGCCTGCCATGGTGGGCCCCACCTGTTGACAACGGAGAGGTCCTTGAGGACCTTGACTCCTCCTATTGGCAGGCAGTCATAGGATAGTGTTGATTAAGGATTTCTTCTGGTTGGCCAGAAATTACCGGATACGACTCCAGTTGTGTTTGAAATCTGTTGAACATGGAAAAGTCCCTTGAGGATCCGCTCGCCTTTCGTCCAGCTCTCAACTTGGAGTCTTGGAAAAGGCTCGGGATGAATGAACCTAGTTAACACTCTTGACTACTGCTCTAGGTTTGCCAAACTGCATTGCTTTTACCTTGTTCAGCTGAGCGTGCGTATATTCAGCCAGCCACTGGTGGTGGGAGTATTTATTCACTCAACGTTGTTGGCATTCTGATGAACCGGTGGCTGTTGAGCTAAGCCTGTTCTAACCTATCAAACAAGGTTTCGTAATCATTCTCTGCAGCATTTCCCGGCGTGGCCGAGATGCGATTCCCAGTAGCAGAGCGTCTCGCTCATTAATATAGTAGGTATAGAAGCACAGAGTGGAAGAGTAAGTAGTTTTATTCAGCTTGCATCGCTTCGGCCTCGCCGTCTTCACGTCCTCATGAATCCTAAAGACTGGGAATCAGATCCTTTAATGGACAAAAATATACCCCGCAAGCTTTCATCTTAACACCATAACGAAAGAAGCTGAACCATAGCAATCGAAAGGCTGTTCAATCTATTCAGCCAGCCACTCTGTTGTTGACATCCTTGTAATAATGCTAATTGAAGCATGCGGTTCATTACTACATATTCTATGTACAAATGGATCCTACTTTCAAGAGAATATAATGTCCAGACTCCCTCCCTCATTCTGCGCTGCATTTTCCACCCACTTTTCTCACACAGTTTTACTTGCTAGCTTGCTGCCCTGATTATTCTCACTTGATCTTTGATACCTGACACAATGGCGATTGACCAAGGCCAGAAGAAAACCAATCCTAGTCCTTATGACCAAGTTATTGTTATGAGCCAGAGGTTTATCAATGCCTCGTTTGCAAGAATGTGGCAAGAAGCGCCATACAATGACCCCCTCAAGCGGTTCGAACGTACTGGTCCTCGCACACAGGACATGATCAATGTTACTTTTGAGCCCCCTCAGATCTTCATTCCTGCCCCTGACCGGAATTATCCTGGTCAGGTATATCTCCGGATGAAAGTTCTGCGCGGCGATATCTATCTCTACTCAAATTCGACAAATGCATTCCCGGATCATTACGACATGGATGGATGGGACCTATATTTCAAGATGAGAATCAGTATGCATCCGATCCTCACTAATCACACCATCAGCACTTTCCCATTGAAACGCTTTTCTGTATATTATTTGTGGCTTATGATCGCTGATGATCGAGCCAGGGAACAAGGATAGCGATCGACATGACCCCAAATATACAGCCTACCAAAATCTATCAGGGTTTAAGAATGCTATCTTCGATCTGACTCAGCTCTATATGGGTTTGTCTGGTAAGTGGCACGCCATTTTCTGATACGTTTCCACCATTACTGGCCGATCCCAACCTGGACCACCTACACTGAACTAATGTTGATTGGACAAACCGTGAACAGATCCCTCAAATCCGAATGAGGCATTTGACAGCAGGAAGAGCACGTATGCCGCTTCGAACCTTACTCCAGATGCCAAAAAGAATCTTCAAACTGTCATGGCGGACTGGTTGAGGAGTGCTCGGCTTGAGAACCCAAGGTGTAATCTTCTTGGATATGTCTTTAGAAGCCAACAGGCCCAGACTTGTGAGTTACATTGACGATGATCCCTGGATTTGAGTCCGCTTGTTGACCTTTCTTTTGACAGTGGGTGGGGCGGAAAGCTCGCTTGTTCCAAAAATAATAGACTACAATGTCTATCCCTGGAGAGGGCCTGACGGCTCCCATGGGGAAAGGGATGGTATTGATGAGAATGCTCTGTGCATACTCATCACGACGGGATCCCATCAGCCACCGTATCCTCCTGGAATCAACTACTCCGGTCCATTTGTTGAAAGAGGAGCAACCCTCTGTATTAATGCGAACTGCTTCTGGGAAGACTGGATCCTTCGAGACATCCAAGTGGTCGCCAGAGACACAGAGATTATCGCTGATAAGCCGCCATTTTCCCTGACAAACAGTAAATGGACTATTGGTGTCAAATATCATCTTGGATCCAAAGCGAGTCCAGGCAGCTTTCATTTTGCACGCCAAGTTAACAATGGACGGACCAGCTGGGCATGGCAAGGAAAATTGCATAAAGTCCGGAGCAACACTGTGAATATGGAACTTGGCGGTGGAAAGTATTTTCCTTTCGTTCTTGATGAAACTTGTGTGTTTGTTCCGTGGCCTAGTTCTTCTTTCCGTGAATTGGACGTGCATGCTAACACTTGCTTGAAATATCAAAGCACAATCGTGGATCACCATCGAGCCTAACAGCGGCGATGAGCATACGTTTTCAATCAAGGGACGACACGTCTTCTACCATGCTTTGCTCTGGAAAAAGGACGTGAAACTATCGTAAGTGCAGACGTTTCTCCTCGCTTCCTCCATGCAAGCCAAAGTATTCCCCGCGGATTACTGACTGGCTGAATGTACAGGCAATGGGTCAAGCTTATTGCGGATTGGCATATCAAATTCAACCTCCAGGCCACTGACGATGGAGGAGTAGAGATCGCCGCCCAGTTGAGGGACAGGTCCTGGCTCACAATACAAACCAAGAAAGGGACCATCATCCGTACCAATCAAGGCTACCTGAGGAATCATGCCGCAACAATGGAGAAAGAATTGCGCAAGCGTCTCGAACGAGCAGTCTCCCAGATTTCTAGGAAGCTCAACCAGGCTTTCCAGGTGCAACACAAGTTCATCATGCCGTCATCAGGAGTGTTCGCAATGAGGTACCCTAAGTTCAACAACCGCGGAGATCTTTTGGTCGAACTCGAATATCTCAAGTGAGTCTGCCGTAAATTGCACAGTGCTATTCTCTTGAGAAGCTGCTATGTTCAATGTGCCCCCCGTCAAGGCGTCTATCGCTAAGTTCCTTACAGCTTCAATGCTCCTAATTCGAAGGCGGTTGACCCCACACAACATGTTGTGGATGACAGCAAAACGGAATTCGATCACTTTCCTTTCCACAAGATTCCGTCCGTCTCTCAGGATTATCCTTCACGACAGCCAGTTGACCATCACGACCACGATCTGACCAGAGAGCCTTTGCATGATGATGTATACCATGAGTATCATGTCGACGAAGATGAGTTCCACAAGAATCACACCTACCATCCAGGCGAGCATGACGATGAACACGAGGATCACCGACCTGATCAGTTCAAACATACTGAACGTCCTTGGCATGAAGAAGGCGACTCTCCTTTTCACTCCGACAATGAGCCTGACGATCATAAAAACCCAGACAAGAAGCCTGATGATCATACCCCGGATGACCACACTTCTCCAGAGGACCGTTCTAGGCCCCACCGTCGCCCACAACAGGGCCGTACCGATCATAAGGATTATGCAAGTGACGATGACGACTACTATTGATCTCTTATTAGCACTTGACAGGAATAGCCAGGAGCTAGGAGACTAGTGCATTCGGACTTTTGACACTGTCGGTACCTTTACATGGAATGCAGGAGCAGGGAATCGTTAGTTGCTTGTTGTAATCTGATTTAGGCTTTTATCACGCACTCTTCTGGGTAAAGTAGGGTAAGATGAACAGGTCCAAGACAGAACTCTATGATAAGTACAGACTGCCAGTTTTGTCATATTTTCATTCTTTTATATGCTCTTTGAAGATAATCTGCAGTGAATTAAGTGTTAAGCGCATGGATTATGTCTCATGTATAAAGATGCCCCATATTACATTGACTGGGGCTTATGCACCCAATCCTAGAAGCTAAATTCGAAAGCCTTTGACTTGCTGGTTCAATTCTGACCATCCTACATTAATTGATGTTGTATTACACCATATGAATGCTGTATTAGTCGCTTCGCTAGTATCATTATACATGCCTATGGGATAAATTGTCTCAAGTTGAAATAGCACAATTTAGACAAAGGACTGCAGCGTCATTTATAGACTAGAGTGTAGGTTAATTGTACTATTTATTTTGATTTACTCCATTCTTTGTTAGAGAGCAGCCTGTGACACTATTCACTGATTTTCCTCACTTCCCTCCCAAAGAAGCTAGAGTAGCTGGAGATCTTACTCAAAGAATGGAAACAGTAAGAAGATAAGACCAATATGACTTACCAGTAGTCTCCAAGCATTCTCATCGGAAATTGGACCGCAATATGGATTCGCTGACGATGAGCCATATGGCATGCCCAGCATCGCAGGCGAATTGAAACCCCACCAAAAGAAAGCACAGAATTAGAGTCTCTGGGCTGAGTTTGACGTGTTCCGCACTGAAGAGAGGTTATGGGTGACAGAACAGGGCCACAGCCAGATTGCCTTCAACCTAAGGGTCCTGTGCCCGTGCAATAATGAATCATTACGGTATGGAAAATTAGAAAGACAGGATCAGGGGGAACAACAGGGCTGTAGTATCTTCTTAAGATCTTTCTTGACACACTGAATAAGTCCTCTTATCAGGGATTAAACAGATGTGTCTGAAGTACGCCTAATAGTTGTTGAGATATCCCCTGGTGTGGGTTACATGGTCACGCAGAGCAAGTGCAGCTTAGAAATCTTGATAGTACCTATTAATCATCCCAACTATAGGTCTCACCTTGATTCAGCCCTTCATGTTCCTACCGCAAACTCTGTAAGGTCTTGGAAAGAGTGATGTCAGGTAGTAGAGATGCCTTGGCATGCGGTCTGAGGAACATGTAGAGGGTGAATATATGATATTATCTCAGAGAAAGTGGCTACATGGACTATACACAAGTGCCTAGTTCTTATTATGTCTCCACTCCATGACTTATATATGTCACATATCGCAGATGGCATGGCAGATCCATCTCCTTGGCGGCCTCAATCAGCCTCTACTTCTCAGGCTCCTGTCCTAGCAACAAGCCCATTCCCCGAATAGCATATAACATAACTAGCCCTGAGGCCCTGGACGTAGGGAATATAACCCAATGACCATGCGATACACCAGGAAACGCATTCAACCTTGTCTTAGCACTGTGGTCTCGCAAGGCGCGCTCGTAGATCAGACTAGCTTCTCTCCGCGAATCCATCCCACGCACCTGCACAAAACTACTCGGCATCAAACCGAAGGTATTCATATTGGCGAAGATGGCACCGAGGACTGGCGAATTCGCATTTTGCTCCTGCGAGAACCAGAGATCTTTGTACTTATCAGGAACAGCCTCTTCGTTCACTGTTGCGGGTACACTGGCCCAGGACCCGGGTAAATGGGGGTACCATATTCTCCTTCGCGGCGTGATGAGCCGTGACGATGTCCAAGCTCCCACCGGCCGAAACACCGCCTAGACCTTCAAAGGCTTCGCGACGAATGGTATACGGCCCGCCAGTGTATGGACATTTGTTCGAAGGCTGACACCCGTGACCTGCCTAAGGGAGAGTGTCAGTACTATCGAAAATTACGGGACTGGAGATTCAGTACAGTTCATGGTGTCGAGTGATGGAGGCCATCTTAGTGACGTTTCCGTCCAACAACTATCACAGGACATGCCAAGTTATGCAAATTCGGCATGTTGAAAGCGGGGGTCAGAGTTCTGCGACAAATACGCCATCCGTCCCTGGCAGCGCGAAAAGAGATGAACCACCCTCTGAGTTCAAGGATCGGTACGGATGAGGTCTCAACCTTACCCCCGAATTATCCTCGGCCGTTCACAGTAGAGTACAATTCATGCGGATCTTAATGCAGGTGATCCTTAAATGAGAGACTCTTGAAATGGCGGCCATCGGCTGGGGTAACTTTCCCTTCCACCAAGTGCAGGAAGATCCTTTTGGAGAACGATTTTCTTCTCCGCCATCCGGATCCAAGGAGAATGGTCGCCAGCGGATGGGAATTTTCGGTCCATCTTAGGTGTCATGGCAGACGATGCGTAATTGAGACGCTTCCAGACTGCTTGTCTACTAGAGGGGCAATACAGCTGTTCCCTGTGGCATGTGAAGGAGATCGATTCGGCCCCCAAAAATCAGGCAGAACTGTTTCGAATTTCAGTCTCTCCACTAGCTGCATAGCTTGCTCTTTTACGGAGTAATTTCTTTCTATGAGGGTCCAGAGACAACACTTTGATCGGCATACCGCTTGGTGGCGCGAGAAATAGATGGCTAAGATCGGCTCCAGCCGACTGATGATTCGAGTGACAATCCTCCTTGGCCCAATTGCGAACGACTCTAGGTATATCATATCGAAAGATATTTTGGTTGGGCTGTACACCATGGGGAGTCTCCATCTTCAATGTATTGCGCTCATGACTACTAGGGAACTGTCTAGGGTGCAAATATTGAAAGTCTATTGGCCAATGCAATTGTTGTTTATGACCCGAGGGATACCTAGCTTGGCCACAAGACTGTGATTAAGGAGTGATCTAGGATTAAAAGGGAAAGCCGCCTGTCGATCAAACATAAAATATAGTTTTGGCCTCATGGTTACATTCGCAGGAAATGTACTTATGCATGGAGTCGAGGAAATCTTCAAACGGCAGGGTCTTCAGATGAGACATGCATAGTCCTTGCAGCATCAGCGGGTCCATCCCGGCTGGGAGATCGAAATTCCTCCTATGGCCTGATCTTACAGTTCCACAGTGGGCTGGACCCTGATGGCTAGACCAAATGCACCGTATCAACTTCCCCGGATTTTCCGGATTCACCGGCTTGTGTAACGAGGTGTGCGAATCACATGGTCATGAAGCCTTGATCAAGCAGGGGCCAGACAATCAGGCCGAACTATCAGATTGCCCTGGCGCTTCATTTTGAGTATATAAAGAGTATGATGTCTGTCTACCAGATAGACGACCCAACAAGACCAGGCTCTCTTAACATATCAAGGCAATTGCTCTTCTTGACAATCAATCTGATCTGGCACAATGCGTCTCTCTGAACTTCTTACTATTGCTTTAGTCACTGGTGCCACTGCTTATAATCTGCCCAACAACCTGAAACAGATCTACGACAAGCACAAGGTATACTGTACCCATCTCGAGGTTTCAGTCAGCCTGCTAATATCTCTTTCTTTACACCTTTAGGGAAAATGTTCCAAGGTACTGGCAAAAGGATTCACGAATGGTGATGCTGGCCAAGGCAAGTCTTTCAACTACTGCGGCGACATCCCGGGCGCCATTTTCATCTCCTCCTCCAAGGGGTACACCAATATGGACATTGACTGCGATGGGGCCAACAACTCGGCCGGCAAGTGCGCCAACGACCCGTCCGGCCAGGGCCAGACAGCCTTCAAGTCCGACGTGAAGAAGTTCGGCATCTCCGATCTGAACGCCAATGTCCACCCCTATGTGGTGTTTGGAAATGAGGAACACTCTCCCAGCTTCTCGCCCCAGTCGCATGGAATGCAGCCTTTGAGTGTCATGGCTGTCGTGTGCAATGGCCAACTGGTATGTCTCTCCCTCATCTATACTGTAGAACTGCATGTCGGCGTCCGTGTCCGTCTCGGTAGCTAATATCGAACGCATTCCACAGCATTACGGAATCTGGGGTGACACCAACGGCGGCGTTTCTACCGGCGAAGCCTCCATCTCTTTGGCTGACCTTTGCTTCCCCAACGAGCATCTCGATGGAGACCATGGCCACGACCCCAATGATGTCCTCTTCATTGGCTTTACTAGCAAGGACGCCGTGCCTGGAGCGACTGCCAAGTGGAAAGCAAAGAATGCGAAAGAATTCGAGGACAGTATCAAGTCGATTGGCGACAGGCTCGTTGCTGGTCTGAAAGCATAGAGAGAAAACAGACCGAAGACAGCCATGGCACGGGGTTTGGCTGTTGGCAATATATTTTTGTATCTACAATCGGAGGCACAGTACGCAGGAGTAGTTAGTGTAGAAGAATCTTAGTAATCTATATTTTTCCATCCGCGGTGCCAGGTTTGAAGATCCTATATTATTGCATGACATGAAAAATGCCTCTGAAGACCATCAACCTCCCAGGGTTATTGTTATATCCGCCGTGGGGCAAACTGAAATGAGTGTAGCGACAATTTCATGCTCCCAAAGAGCATTTCACTATTAGAGGCCATCAGAGTAGGTGTCTGCAAACCACGTTACTAGTTGACATGATCCCCTGTCTATAGCTACAACATCTGGTTAATCCTAAAGAGGTGGTTAATGTCCAGATGTGAGTAGCACTGCTGATCTGCGCTCAGTCTCTATTGGAAGAACGAACTTCACAGTTAGGGTAGAGCGCTCTGAATCGTGCGAGGGTGGAGGATAAGATAGCAGCAACACTGTATGAAAATAAGTATGTAATGATGGTAATTTGTAGATACCCTGTATAGCCCCGTATGTCCTGGACAGTCCTACGTTGTTCAGCATATCTAGTTGACAAGCACAGTGCGGAATTCATTTTGCGCAAAGTAATGATACCTCTTTAACCATCTACTGCACTAGCAGCTTGTACATTGTATGGAGCCATTGCCTTGTCGCCCTGGGTTGGCTTCGCTACCTCCTCTACTAAGTATGCCGGCGGTGCCTTTCGATGGCGCTTCTGCTTTGCCTGCCAAGTGATCCCGATTGCCTTCCTTCTTTTTGGCACCCTGCTCATTCCAGAATCGCCGCGATGGCTCGTCAAGGTCGGACACAACGAGGAGGCATTCGAGATTATTACCAAGCTCCGTAAAGAGAAGATGGCCTCCTCAACCACCTGAATGTGCAGAAGTCAACTCGCGAGATCGTCGCCGTCGTGCAGATGGAACAGGAGTCGCAGAATTCCAGCTATACCAAGATGCTCTTGGGCATCGGATCATGGGATATTCATATTGGACGTCGGATCCACCTGGTCTTCTGGCTCCAGGTTCTGATGCAGTACGACATGGGGATTGCGGCGGTTGTCATCTACTCGGGGAAATCTATCGCACTGCTGGCTTTGATGATTTCAAGTCCGACTGGCTGTCGGCCGTGTGCATGACCTGCGGGGTTCTGAGAACGGGCATCGCTGCCTTGACCTTGGACCGAGTGGGTCGCCGTCGGACCCTCTACTGGGGAGCGGTCGTTTTAAGTATTATTCTCTTTACCCTGTGAGTACAGAACCATTTCGTCCTTAATGTGGCTCCTGCTGACTTTTCCAGTGGTGGTCTGAACCGTGGAGCCGTCAACAACCCCGACAAGACTGAGCAGTACGGAACCGGAGCCGCCGCCATGGTCTTCCTCTACTTCGTTGTCTCCAGCTCCTCCTGGTTGATGGCCCCTTTCATTTATCCTACCGAGATCTTCCCAACTTGGCTGCGCGCCAAGGGTAACGCCTTTGGCGTTGCAGGTTGGGCCGTCGGCTACGGCGCCGGGTCACTGCTGGTCCCGGTCATGTTTGCCGGCATCCACGAGAAGGTTAGTTGTCTTCTTTATTTCCCGCGCGTCCATTACTAGCTTCTATTGCGCAGACGTCACACGTCTTCGGTGCCGCCATGTTCACCTACATCCCATAATCTACTGTTTCTTCCCCGAGACGGCCGGCCGCACACTCGAGCAGATCGACTTCCTGTTCGCCAGCAAGAGCCCCTTCGTTTGGGATGAGGAGAAGGAGTTTGCCAAGCGCATGGCTCAGTTCAATGCCGAAATCAAAAAGATGGAGATTGAGATCGGGGGATATGGGGGCGGCGAGAAGACACGTGAGAAGTTGTCGAGAAGGTCTGATCTAGGGCTGCCATTCATGAAGCATAAAGTAACACGTCTTATGTTTATGTATCAAGTCGAGTTATATACACGTGGGTATATGTAATGTATCATATTTTGCTCCGCGAAGTATTTGTTTCCTTATCCGTGCCTGCAATGCTCGAGTTCTCGCCAGTCTTAATTCTGATTTAGATTTGCGATTGCATTTACTTTATGGAGCATCCCGATATTCCCGCTGCGTAGCCTAGCCCTGTTTCCTAGAACGGACTTGTCTTCCACGGATGCTATGATATGCTAGTTGGCGTCAATATCGCATGGTCAGACATACCAAGCTAGAGCGGAGCGGAAATTGACAGAATCGACGAATAAAGAAACTTGATCTTTTCGAATAAGCCCTTGGACGACTTACTTCGGCCGCTACTTGCTTTTTTTAAAGTTGGGGCGTATGTTATTGGGCGTCCTTGCGCCCAGTTAACAGGTTGGCAGCAATACGATACAAAGCATGGAAGAGAGATTAACAAGTAGCGGGCTTACAGAGCCTTGTATGCGTAGCGTGTCTGAAGACAGAAGCAGGGAGTCCATCCGCAGCAGCGACCACAGTCATACATGGAATGAGCTCAGTACATGAATCTGCAAACACTCGGTTCAAGTATGTAGCCCTGGAGGGCTACTATGGTGTTGATTAGTATTCATCGCATTACCGGTTGGTATATATACATAGGCCTTGCTATCCATCAATAGGGTATATCTCTTCATTAAAAATGACACATAAACTGGAAAAAAGAAGGTAAAAAAGAGGGTTGAAAGAAGGTGAAAAGAAGGTAGAAAGAACGTAAAAGACGGTTAAGAAGGAGAAGAAGAAGGTAAGAAGTAAAGAAGAAATTAAACATTCATCCCATTCATCGTTTTTCCCGAATCTATCGACACCGTGCGGGTCTTGACGAACTTGGGCCACGTATTGGTGAGAACAAGATACTTGATGCTCTCCTGTGCATCGTCAAAGACATTCGGCCCGAACGACTCAGGAACATCACCCCAGTATTGCACGCGGTCATGGATAGCGCCCACAGAGCTCTGCAGCTCTTTTTGGGAATTGTTCGAATAGGTCGGTGACGCGGGTGGCTTGAAAGAATCGAAGGGGGTGGCAGGATCGACCTCGCGCTCGTCGCCGTACAGGATGCAAGCGGGCCGCTCAAAGACGTCTTGCAGCTTTCGGAGATCCTGAGATGAGATGTTGATAGGGAACTCAGCGTGCGTGACGCTGATGAACTCCGCGTAGATGCGTAACGCGCGGTTGAATCGCTCGCGGATCAAGTCCTCCGTGTTGCTGTCCCGAGGAGCCGTGTTCTCCCGGATTGCCTTGGGGAAGGAGTCTTTCCATTCGGCGACGCTGGTCAAAAAGGCGATATTCTCGCCGGAAAAGTCGCTGAGGGCGGAGAAGCGCTGCAGAGGAGCCGGGTCTCGTTCAAGGGCATACTCGAGAGCGCCCATGGTGAGGATACTGTCGCGGGAGTGGTTGGTCTGGACGGAGCCGTTGGTGGATTTGCCACCGGTCATAATGGATTCGACCAGAGTGGCCGTCTCGGCGAGAGATTTGCTGGCTGAGCTGTTTTTCTTGTTCTTTTCCTCCCACTGCGCGATAGCGTCGAGGGTTTCCTTCTGGAGCGCCTGGTGGCGCATTACCTCCCAGCAGGGAAGGAAGACGGTGAAGATCTCCATGACCAGGATCGAAAGGCAGACCCTGCAATTCATTAGAGGACATGCTGGAGAGGGGATCGAGCGCTCATGCACTTACCACTGCGGAGGTAGCCAGACTTGGTTTATTTTGTCAAATGCAGGGACGTAGATGGAAATGAGCCACAGGGGAGCACCGGGGAGACTGCACACAACTTAGTGGGACGAAGAACGCATGATTTGGCGGCGACTCACTTGGCTATAGCACAGCCGATGGTCTGAACTCGCCAACCATGGGTATCGCGAATATTGCGAGATTTCCAGAGAACAATAGGAGCAAAGATCCAGGCCCAGAACAGCTGCCAAAAGATACTCGGCCACCTGGACCTGTTAGCTTAGGCCTCCAGCCCAGATCGGAGTACTTCGCTTCATACCACTCCCAGCCTCGACCCATCGCAGATAACTGGGCCATCTTGGGTCCGGTAACCTCGGTGCCTGGAATTCCCCAAGTGGGATGCCACTTGCGCGAAATCAACCACATGATAATCGTGAGCATGATCTGGGCAATCATGCCGATTGCAACGAGAACAAGGATCCTGGTATTGTAATCGAGACGCTTGAAGCTGCCGATCAGGCCGCTTCTCCTTTGGCTGGAAGGGAACTTGTGTCGAAGGTCGTTATAAACGTATTTCTCCTGCAGCTTTGCGACGTAAAGGAAACGACTGTTGGACGCGTGAAAGAGAGCGATTCCGCAGGGTAGAAAAGTGCCCATGATCCAAAACTGAGCATCTCCTGGCATGATGGGTCCGATCATGGTGCCGAACTGGACAGGGGCGTAATACAAATGAAGGAGAATAATTGCAGAGAGTGACAGGCCGAGGCCACGGATGCGCAGAATAGGAGTGTCCCGACGAACGATGAGATAGGCGATGCCACTGGCGACGAGGACTGTCCAAACGCCTGCCCAGGTGGCCCACCAGATGCTTACCGGACTGTATATAGGCTCCGGCTTCGAGTCGGGCGTGACTCCCAGTTCCGATCCCATATTGACCGGTTTGGTTGAAGCAAAGGATTAAGGGAAATGAATGAGTGACTGAGTGAGTGACATGATGGAAAGAAAGGAGAGAGACAAGCTGGGACGGCTGTCGATATTAGTCTGAGGAGCTTCAGGACGGGACTCATGCAGGGTCGTGAAACCCATTATTAAACAGAGTTTGCCGGGTTTACCTTGTACTAATACAAAGCTGGGTCGATCGGCGTTGACGAGGGCAGATATCGGGGGGGAGATGGCGACATATCGAGATTAGATACCGAAAACATGACTTCAAGGGCCCAGCGTAGCAACGAGACCCTCAAAGGCGGCCACATTCTCTGGCTCCATGGCCGGCTGTGCCTGAATATCGATCTATTGCCTTCGTGGGAGTCGCCCAGGACAATCAGCCGAACTACTTCGTGCTATTGGTTCTGCAGCGTTCCAACCGTGGGGGTCGAAATGTGCTAGTTCACGGCCTCGCCCCACTAACCACAGACTAGTTTCATGTTATTTGGAATTCTGATCGTTCGTTTCTGCCCACGGTCCAGTTCCTCAATTTACGCTCCACTTTATCTACCTACTCTGTGCGGCGTAGTCTGAGAGAATCGCTGGAAAACCGGGAAGCAACCTTGGTGGCCTTGAAGCTAGTAGCGAGCTAGATGAAGATAGGAAGCACTCTCGGGGCCCACTTATCTTGCAGATCTGGGAGACTGAGACCTGGGAAAGCTTGCTCTGAGGAGTTCCTGCTGGCGATTTCCCACACACTCCGTCAGCATTCTCCTGATCTTCAAGGAAGGATGCCTCATGCATCGGATATTCCCTGCAAGGCGGTATGCACAAACCCCGATAACAAACGCTTGTCTGATATCTGATAGGTGAATCGTATGCTTGTCGCCGCTTGGGATGCCGCTCGCCTTCCCAAGCAGGTCATATGGACAAGGATGATGTGATGGCACGATATCTGCCCTGACTGTTCGTACTGTTCGTATTATCATCTCTACGGCTGACAACCCTAGTCCTGACTGGCGCTTCTCCAATCCAACCCTCCAGGTTCTTGGCCACGAAGTCTATGAATCCTTTGAAGGATTGCGTGTCGAGCTAGCGGGATGCCATGTGATGTGATTTAAGAAAACAGAGCGGTGGTAAACAGTAGAGAGACAATCAGCGGAGGAAAAGCCACACTACCGGTTCAAGATCCCCAGAACCTGGTCATCATGCATAGGTGCGATCATGGCCGTCTAAATCGACGATACGAGTGGAGAAATTCCGGTTGTACGGAGTGTCCTCTTATCAGCCATTAAACCACTGCGCCAAAGAAGTGTCTAGACGACCATTTCTTACATAGTAGAAACGATAGGCATAATCTGGTTGACAGTTCTAAATTTTCGCAGCGTCGGTAACTCTCCGTATCTCTGACACGCGGGGGCAGTGTGTTCATGACCACTGTACATGTCGCACGTTGCTCTATCCGTCTATCCGCTAGAGACTGATCAGTAGGACTAGCAGACTTTTCAAGAACAGGCTGCTAAGACGACGCCGGCGGCCCCAATGGCAGTCTGCAGGCCGTCTTCCCGCTTTGGACACGAAAGGAAAGATTTGAGTTGATCACTATATTCATGGATTCCATTGGTTGCAACGGCATATTTCAGGATTCCACCATCGAAAGTTGCTCAATATGGCGGCGACCAAGCACGAGAGTTTACCTTGCGGTGTTCCCGAGCATTGTCGATAGCTACCTTATATGCCTGTATTAGCCCTGCTCTTCAAGCAACCTGGCGACGGCGAAATGGACCCCTGGAGGAGTGTATTATTAAGCTAATGTAACCGTCTTACCATGATCACTACAGCCACACTAACTATCCAGCCTTGAGTTACGATTCCAGTGGTTAAACGTTGTTATTATATACCCCTGTCTAAAGTTACTAGAGTCGGCCTTCGTGGGTACTCCAGCATGCTTACAGAAAAGTAAATTATTCTAACTTATGCCAAAAGATAAATTTCATATCTGGGAAGTTGAGTGAATGGTGAGATAGCTGAAGGTCGATTTTGTCTATAATCGCGAATATATATTACCACACCTTTCATACCAAACACCGACATATCTAATAGAACCTTAACACTCGCGACCACAAGACGTTTTGACTGAATATTGTGAAATAATCAATTGATATCGAGCCATCGGTCAGATAAAAAAGAAATTCGCCTTATTTTAGTGGTCAAATGCTCACAATACCCCACTGTACGACTCTACGACTCAACCGGTTTCGAAAATGCAAGTCATCGACCCGCTCAGTCTCCTGCGCCACTAGTTCAGGCAAATTAGCGTCGATTTCACTCCATCTGGCCATTTTTAGTGGCGTGATTGAAGCGCTTATGCAAGGCTTGCATCTCGTAGTGTCGCGTTGATTGGAGAATCCCCTCCCTCCCTGCTGGGACCACATCAACGGCCATTCTCTCAAAGGGAAGCTCAAGATCTAGATATATCCAGAAGACCTACTCCTGTCTGAAGCTCAACGACTAACTCGCTAGAATGGCACTCTCAAGAATGATTGCCCCGGTGGACGCTGATTTACGACGGACCCCGAATTGCCATCCTTGTACGTCCTTCATGCATTCCGCACATAGCAGAAATGGGAGCCCGTCTCACTTTGCGAACCTTGGAAAACTCGGCAGAGCGTTGCTCAGCGGGTTCGTCGAATGCCGTTTCATAAGGCTTTATTTTCGACATCACCGCTACAGTTCGATCCGCGCAGAGTACGGAGCGGGTCCAGGCGGTTTGTCGAGGCTATGAACCATCTGCATTCACTCCACAGATTCATATCTGCACCAAGAGATGAATCGAGAGGTTGATTCCCAGTCGGACATGATAGTCCTGGGCCGCAGGCATGACGCCCCTCGACGCGATGGGGAAAGCCCTCAGGGTAATTGTTCAGTCGCCTCTCGCTCGCATCCCCGCGGTACTGGGACACTAGTGATCCTCCGGAAAGTTCGAGGCTGATTTCCAGACTGCGCACACCATACCGGCATGAGAACACACTTCTGTATGCAGATGCAGAATCGCTCCATGAAAGAATGAAGCCAGGCAAGGCATCCTCGCTGGGCCATCTGTTGCGCCACTTGGTGTCGAGTGCCGAGCCTTGATCGAAATGCTCCTATCAAGACTGATCAATACCCACCGCAAGTGCTGAGGCGTTAACTGACGTACTCGTGCATCTGTGAGATCCGCCTGGGTTACCCCGCGACTGTACAGAGAGGCGGTCTTTTCAGCTCCCACGCAGCTCCAGCCGCGCTGGGGGAGAGGCGCCTTTTGGCATCTGTGAATTGAACTTGGATTGTCTTTAAAGGAGCTCCGTAACTCGATATCTATCCCTTACTACATATCATTGACCAGTATTGTTCTTCTAAACGCTATACTGACCATCAACTCCATACTTTCCTGGATCATACAGATTACTGTCCCTGTCCGCGGCTAGTTATGTTCCGTCGAACCTCGATCGGGCGTCGCTTGTCCATTCCACGGAATTGTCAGTCGACGGAGAGTTTTCCTCGCCTTCTCTAATTCGCGAAGAGGATGTCTATGGGGCAAATGACGCCTACTGAACGACCCCAGGAAGTGATTATCTTGCTGGCGACGAGGAATACCCTGGGATGGTAAAGTTCCAAACACATTGCATGAGATTCGAGTCATTTCCAATGTAGTTTTGAATCTTATCCTCGCGTATTCAGCATGTCCAGCCCAGTTTATTCGGATACGAGAAATGTACGCTGGCAGTGCTAGTTTGCAAAGAGTCACAGGCCGCCGTGAGTTAGAAAGTCTCTTCTCGCTAGGACCCTCCGGCATGGTCTAGCCCGGTGCTCAAACGGAGTAAGGACTCAATCAATCGAGTAACTGGAAGCTCTGGAATACTACTCTTGCTTCCCTTGCTCATGGAACACTACAACACCGGCGGTGTTGGAATATATCTTCAACTAGCTCAGGAGCATATTACCCAACAACGTATTCCATCCTAACCAACACCAGATTCGTGTAAGACCAATCGCAAACTGTAACAATGTACTAACAAACAAACAAAGAATCAAGATACTTCTTCATCAATGCACAGTCAAAAGGCGGACACTGCAGTCCCCCCGGATATGTCTTCAACGCCTGCCTCGTGTTGGTATCGTCGTACGTAGGCATATTCTCGTATAATTCCCACCGAGTAAGGCCCTTGTGCACCTTCTCCGCCAGCATAGGAAGTAACGGCTGGAGACTCGCATGCGCGCTCGCCGAGAGCCGCTCAATCCACTCACTGTAGCTGACTCGCTGCAGCATCACGCCCCGCGCCTGGCCCAGCAACTCCATCACCGCGTCCATGTCGACGGACCCTGACCGCTCCGGCAGGAGATGGAAGGCATGGCCGAGAGATGACATGCTGGAGGAGATGTGCAGCATGGCGGTGACGGCGTAGTCCACCGGGACGAACTCCTTGCGCTGGTTGGGGAGGGCCGGGTACGCCCCCAGGTCGAGACTGGCGCGGATCAACCGGCTGAAGAAATCGTCCGGGTTGCAGGCTCCCGTCCGGTAATCGCCTGTCACGAAGCCGGGGCGGTACACAGCGATGGGGAATCCGCGGCCCACGAGGCGTTGGAGGAGTTGGTCGGCGGCCCATTGGCTCTGCGCGTAGCCGTGGTCGTAGGGGAGGGCGTCCAGATGCGGGAGGAGAGGCGAGTCTTCGTAGATGATCTTTGCGCCAGTCACGAACCCGGTGGGACCGTAGCAGGAGATGCTGGAACAGTAGTGGAGACCCTTAAGGCGGCCGGTGGCGGCCAGACGGACGACATTGAGCGTGCCGAGAATGTTGGCCGGACGGTGGAGGGAGTAGGGCTGGGTGTAATTGACACGCGCGCCGAGGTGGAAGATGACACTGGCCCAGTTGGCAATCTCGCGGAAGCGCTGCTCGCCAAGGCCGAGCCAGTGGTTTTCTAACGAGCCGCAGTGAGGGAGAAGCTTGGACTGGAACGTGCCGTGCCAGAGGTTGTATTTGCGTAGGCTGTCTTGCAGGCGCTGTAGGCCAGTGGCGGTATCAATGGCGCGCACCAGGCAGCCTACCTGATGCACGTCAGGCATCTTTAGCAGCTCGGCTAGCAAGAACGAACCGACGAACCCGGTGGCGCCGGTCATGAACACGCGGCCTTCGGTTTTCCGGCGCCAGTCAATGGCCGGCCCGAGCGGGAGCTGAAGGCCATCTGCCAGTTTGGTGTCTGCAAGCCAGAGGGAGCGCTCATTGCGCACAGTTGCCATGGTAGTTCCCCAGTGGCGGTCGATGACCGAGGCAAGCTGACCCAGTGTCGAGTGATCATAAAGCGTGAGAAGAGATATCCCGGTGCGGAATTGCTGCCGGATGCGACTGATGAGCAATGAGGCTTGAAGGGAGGTGCCGCCGAGGGCGAAAAAGTCGTCGCCGTCTGCATATTCAGGAACGGGGGTGGCCAGTATGGTGGCCCAGAGATGGGCGAGGTGGTCACGAGTACTCATATCCCTGGCCTTCCCATGGAGAGCGCAAAGATGCTTCTCGCGGCGCTGGTGATACATCTCCTCGAGCTTCCTGCGATCCACTTTTGCGTGTGCATTCAGCGGCATTCTTGGGATGACCTCAATATGCGGCACCATGTACTCCGGCAATGTCGCACGAAGCTTCTTTGTCGCGACCGCCACGGCATTGTGCCTAGCGTTGGCCTGAAGGGCAACAAAGGCCACCAGCGTCGCACCTGCCCCGTCCTCCTTCGAGTCTATTCGCATAGCAAGCCCCTCGGAGAAGTGGCCAGTTTTCATCAGTGCGGCATCAACCGCCGCCAGCTCGACCCGGTATCCGCGGACCTTGACCTGGTGATCCTGACGACCCAGAAAGTCATGTTGTCCGTCGCGACGAAGCCGCACCATATCCCCAGTGCGATACATCCGGTACGGCTCACCGGTCCTGGGATCGGCCATCCCGGCAACATAGATGAAGGTCTTGGTGCTCTTGTCAGACTGGTTGACATATCCCGGCGACACGCCGGGCCCGCCCACCAGCAACTCGCCCTGTTCGCCGTCGGGGACGCGACGACCCTCCTCGTCGCACACGCAGCAGACATTGCGGCCGATGGGCTTGCCAATGCTGACTTTGCCTGCCTCCACATCATCCTTTGTAATCTCATGGGTGAGACAGTAGACACAGCATTCCGTGGGCCCGTAGGCGTTCATGAGATGTTCCGGTGGCCCAGCGGTGAGAATCGCCTCCATCGCGCGGAGATTAACCGCCTCGCCGCCCATGAGGACTACCCGCAGTGGTTGAAATGTTGTGGGACATGTTGCTGCCGCCAGATTGACCAGGGGCGCGGTAATGGCCATGATGGTGATGCCCAGCTGGCGGATAGCAGCTGCCATGGCGGGAATATCCAGAATGGTGGGCTTGCTGAGCACACCAATCGCAGCTCCGCGGACGAGAGCAGCCCAGATGTCGAACAAGGCCACATCGAAGCTGGTGCTATTGCCGTGACCCACCACGTCAGAATTGCGGACGGGTTCATAGGGAGTGTGATGCGCCACATGGGCGATGGAGCGGGCCGCGATCTGTACGGCTTTGGGCTCGCTGGTCGTTCCGGAGGTATGAATCAGGTGTGTACAATGGGCCATGGTCGTTGGGACGGGAAAATGCGACGGCTGCGTACTGAATGACTTGCAATGTTGACGTCGCAGCTCAACAGGCAGTAAGGCAAAGGGGAGATTCCGCTTGTTGTTGACCTCGTCCACGAGGACGTACCGGGTGCCTAACCGTTTCAGTCGGTCGATAATCTGCTGGTCGGGCAAGAGAGGATCAAGAGGGACACACGTCCCTCCCGTGTAGATGGTGGCCACCTGTGTGACGGCGTCCCAGAGTCCATGCTGGACGACAATGCCGACTCGTTCCTCCGCATCGAACGCTTCCCGGGTTAGAACCTGCGCCAGCTCGATAGCCCTCTCATGCAAAGCTTCGTATGTCAGGCTCTGGCCTTGTTCGTCGACAATCGCCACGGCGGAGGGGTCCTCGACCATTCGTTGATAGAAGAGTTGGCCCAGTCCTTCATCTCGAGAGATGACCACATCGTACTCGGACTCTGATGGAGTCATTGATACCATTCTCCAATTCTGAATGGGAATAAAGAGAGCACTGTCAAGAAACGAGACACAGAATCAAGCTCCTCCATCTCTCTGACTTGGAGGCAAACCTCTGGTTCATGAACGGCTTCATTCTGTCCGTTTCATGACCCACGCATGAGAGCCAGACAGCTTCTTACCGAGGTAAATCTGCACCGCCTTTCTGGTGGACGTAAATCACAGCTTCGATGCTGGGTTCCTTGCATCATCCTTTGCAACGTGTACGAGGAATAGTCGTACAGACGCGCCGAATAGGTACGTGAGCACCTAGTATTGCTAAGCCGTATTGCTAAGCTCTCTGGTGGAACCATGGATATGAGCAAGCGAGACATTGCGTTGGTCCAAACCTCGCGCCGCTCGAGTAGAGGAAGCAAATAAAAAACGCAGACAAGAGGATGGCGCAAGTCGAGGCTCCCCACGATGTCAACCTACATGCTATCGCCTGAGTCTGTCAACTCCCAACGCCTTCCATTACATCTTTCCAGCTCGCGACAGGAAAGGTTTTCCTCGGACGGCCACTGCTATCGTAGGAAGGTGCTGTGTGACTCTCGACCTGCTTGTGGAATCATCGGTCCCTTCCTATATAGGGGTAGAAGATCAAGCTCGGTTTGGTTCAGAAAGCATGTGCAATCCGTCGCACAGAGGTATTGCATGCCAGACGTATTAGGAGGCGAAATATCAACCCACTTGTAGTTTCGAATTGACTGAAGGCCATTAGTATGGTCCTGATAGTACTGGTTTATCATGTATATATCCATACCTAGTGCGCTTCAATTAGGACAATGTTGTCTCCATAAGCAAAGGTTATCGAATCTGGAACCTAATCGCAAGGAGACTGTAGGCTCGCTCCGACGTGATGGGCTGCTCCAGTACTCAGAGTGAAGTGTTCATCAGGATTCGGGAAACAGACTGAGGCAATAGTTACGTTCCGGGACGGTAGCAGTGGGATCTTCAGATAGTAGCGTCGGTAGGCTCTTATCACAAGCTTGTTTATTATATCTTGTTTTACTCTTTTATATTCGCAGGAATGTGAATAAAAAGGGTAGTGATACTGTGCCACCCCTATGTTCTAGTGATACCTCCCTGAGCCAATCGGGCAGGGGATGGGCATGTGCTCACCATGGAAATTGATTCCACAACACGTGTGATCTGCGCTTTAGGTTTAGCAGTAGGGCATTACTACTTGATATTCAATTGTTCTGTATCCCCAGCGAGTGTCAATATATCGCTGCTCTAAATGAGTGCCATGTGATAATGACTGTAGGAATTATATCACGCTTCTTGCATGTCATTCCACTGCATACAGCCTCGGCTGCATATAGCATGAGCCATCACCGTGAATGGCTTTTGTCACTCTCCATACTCAGACATACAAGGAGATTACCACTGCAGCCAGTTTCTAGGAGGCAGGATACTCAGAAAAAGACCTCAGCGCTACTTTCACGCATAGCCTGCCTCCCTTCAGTCTCCTGATAAATCTCTCTCGACCTTAACCACATCCATCTCACACTTGTGCAAAGCCTGATCCACTGTCGATTCCAATCATGACCAGCTTTACTCCCCTCATCACAGTCTTCGGAGCGACTGGCAACCAAAGTGGCGCCGTTGCCAGATCACTCCTCAAAAACCCATCCTTCACGGTCCGCGCTCTCACTCGAAACCCCAGCTCAGCTGCCAGCCAGGCACTGGCCGCCCACGGGGCAGAAATCCACCAAGCAAACGGGTTCAGCAGCGAGTCAATGGTCGAAGCCTTCCGTGGCTCCTGGGGCGCTTTTGTGAATATCAATTCAGATGATAAGGTATGTTAATGGTCGTCGTTACTGGGTGTGTTAGATGGTCCAGGCTCATTAGTTTTCAATGCAGGCATTCAAACTCGATGGTCCCACGGAATTCGACATGGGCAAGACGATCGTGGACGCAGCAGCCCACGCCGGAGTCCGTCATTTCATCTTTAGCACTGGTCCAGACTGCTGCAAGCTTACCGGAGGCAAGATCAAAATAAATGCCGCAGACAGTGTGTAGCCCCGTCCTCTGCCCATGAGATGTAAGACTAAGACCGGACAGTGAAGTGCAAGATCGAGCAATACGCCCGTAGCATTCACCGCTTTGAAACCGTCAATTTCATTTGCGCTGCCTGGTTTCTAGAAAACTTTCTGGTAAAGGACATGGCACCCATCTTCGGCGGTTTTCCCTATGTGCCTGATTCCGAAGGGTATCTCACTTTTGTTGCTCCCAGATGGGGTGAGGAGGAGGAGATTCCCTTCATCAGCATTTCCGATGACTTCGGGGACATTGTGCAGGGCATTTTTCTTGATCCCGTTAGGTGGAATGGCCAAGTCATCCACGGCTGCAGTGATATTTGCAGCTTTGATCATGTTGTGTCCGCTTTTGAGAAACTGAGCGGACGGAAATGCCGCTTCCAGCCGCTGCCCTCCTGGGAAGACTTTGATACCCACGGGATCCCTGAGTTAGAGGACACGAAAATGATGTTTGGGTTCACACAGAACAACCAGGGACATTACTTTGGCCCTGAGCCGTCAGAGAAGGGCACTGCTGGTACACTGAAACTGGAAACTGCATTGGCCCTGGGACGGGCCAAGGAGAAGCACAAGTTGATAACAGTTGAGGAATGGTTCAGAAAGCACTTTCGGTTCTAGTAGTGCATTCTAGCTCGGCGTGGATAAAAGAAGAGTCTCCTATCAAGCCTCCAATTAAAATTCGTTGTCACGCCACTGATATAGCCTACATGTACGCCGAAATCATGCCCAGCCACCATACGTGGACTAGATCGAGTAGTATTTTGATTACCCCCGCCATCGACCATCTAGCCATACCACCAGTTACCTAACGACTGACCGTCTGTCATGATTCCTATGTGCGAGTCGTCCATCCAATCACAAATAAAATAACAGGCAACTGGGGCGGACCTGCTTGAATTGGCGACGTTCGATACTGTGATAGATATAGTAGGCAACACGCTGGCAGCAGCATTGTACTACATCCTTCGGAATCCAGTGGTAGAAGGATGTCAAGGACGAGCTGGATGAATCGGACACGCGGAACTTCAGGGGACCTCAAAAGTCTATGTCCGACAGCCTGTGAGTCAACTTGGGCACTTTTCCAAGCATTAACCTTATTAGCACCTGCTACAGATTTTATAGACATAACGGTAGATCGTACATTGGTCGCGACTCGTGCCTCACTAAATGGTTTGCAGTCGGAGCTCGCAGAGATGGGTTGGCCTCTATGCACCGGTGCTCTTCGCCCTCGTGTAGACGAGGCCGCTGATGAACCCAAGGACAATGGCAGATACGCTCCCGAATGTGACAGGAGCTGCGAAGAACACGATGCCTGCAACAGCCAGAGGAAGCTTGTTTAGGGCGCCCACCATGGCGTAGGTGGTAGACGACGTTGCTCGAATGCACCAGGCCGTGCAGTACGAGATAAAGACGGCGGCCACGCCAGAGTAGAGAATTCCGATAAACAAGCTTTGTCGCGACTCGGCAGGGAAGTTCCTCTGTAGGTTTTCGGAAGACCAGTCTTCGGCGAGCACGGACGCAACCAGCAAAACGGGGATGCTGAGCAGATTGTTGTAGAACATGACTAAATCAGCGCGCCGTCAGTGAAGATGCTTGGCCTACTAGCCCAAAACACGCACCGTCCCAGTTGTCAAAATTCGTCTTCTTGATTACCCTGCGCATGCCCAGTGCGTACGATGCCGAGAAGATGACGTTCGTCCCCATCCAAGCGTAACCAGCGTTGAGAGCCGACAGAGCCGCGGCTGTCGACTCAGCGCTGGCCCCTGCCGTAGCGGTTGTCGCGTTCCGGACGTCGGCCCAGGCTGCCACGACGGAGCTGAGCACCATCAAGCCGAAAGACAGCAGGGCGAGAGGCTTCACGCCGCCTCCGACCATGAAAACTTCGCCGTACGCAATGACGATGATAGTCAAGTTCTTGAAGATGGTATAAACGGGAACGGAGAGGAATTGCAGCGCTTTGTTGCCAGTATAGATCATTCCGACCAGCAGCAGGGATATCGGCAGCCCTGCGATTGACATTAGTCGGTGTTTGCATGCGACGGGGGCCTAAGCAGAAGCCTCCTACATGTTTGGGCCTTCTTCAAGTCAAATAGGGCGAGGTTCTGAATGAGTCCGGTCTTCTTGCAGGCCAATATCGCCACGGTGCCAATGAAAGACTTATCAAGTTAGGGTTCATCCTGTGCGAGAGATGCCGAATGGAAAAGAAAAAACACACCTGCATGGCGAGATAGAGAAAGCTCAAGTTCCAGCTGGCGCCGGAAACGACGTACTTGTTCACCAGGGTCATGCTGATGGAGGACAGGCAGTAGGCGAGTACAGCAGCGCTGGCATTATTTCCAATAGTCGAGGCAAAGCTCGTCACAGATCCAGAGATGTCGCCATCATGTTGCGACCGACGCTCGTAGACGGGAAGCAATTCGTTCTTGCTGACGCTGTTTCGCGCACTCGCCATGGCGCGTGCAGGGGGGAAGGGGACGAGGAGGGGACGGAGTCATCAGCCGGTCGCAAGGTCACTGCGAAATGGGAATAGCGAGGAGGAGGCGGGATAAAATGTTGACAGAGTAACAGAAAAGGATGATGGAAGATGCAAACAGTGAATTGAGTCTGACAAGAATAATAATTTCACAATTCATCCAGGGGCGGATGAAGATCAAGCTGACCTGCGGAGTTGGCTAAACCAGTTTCGGCTTTTAGACAGATCAGCTTGACGTTGAGAGAGTTAACTACCCCGTACATGTACTAGTAACAGGCGTATAATGGCAACTATAATCGAGTCTTCTTGATAACATCAAGTTCGTAACTAGTTCGTGATCTTGAGGGAATTCGATATTGTTGTTGTCAGAAGAATGCCTACTACCTATTTTTAGAATACTCCAATTGAACGTACCATTACGGGTAATTTACACTCAGTCCCATAAGTTCGTGTACCACCATACCCAGCCACCATACATGGACTGAGGTATTAGTATTTCGATTACCGCCACCGGAGACCAATCTAGGCACGCCAGCAGTTATCTAACAACAGACTGTCTGTCATGATTCCTATGTTTAAGTCATCCAGTCACAAGCAAATTAACCGGCAACTAGGGCCGACTTGATTGAATCGGGACGTGGGATGCTGCGGTAGATACAGGAGGCCGGACGCTGGCAACAGCATGGTACTACATCCTTCGGAATCCAATGGTAGAAAAGAAACCAAAGGACGAACTGGACGAATCGGACCGGTGGAACTCCAGGGACCTCAAAGTTACGTCGTACGGCTGGTGGCCCTCTATAGCCACCTTTCCAATATCAATTAAACCAAGGCTGAAGCTGGGTACATGCGACCATAAGGTGTGGAAAACAGCGCTTCCTGTCTGCTCAGCCGTACTTAAGGTTAAATAATCCCGGAGCCCCTGAGTGCTTGCTGCTTTAACATGAAATATTGAGTTATGTTGATAAATATTCTAAGGCCGACTAGATCCATTGGCATCAATCCTGTAGACAGCAGCTTTTGTGCTAGCCAGTGTCGAGTCTTTTGAAGTTTGATTGACATGCGATCCACATTCCATTCCCTAAATGGTCACAGCTCCCCAAGCTTCCTGCAGCATTTCAGCCATAGAGCGGAGCTTGATATCTGGGGACCGCTGCCTGTTGAAGGCTTCCTCTTCGGGAAGGTTAAAATCTCCTGCTTCTGTCCATTGGCCCAATACAGCTAAGATGTTTTGCAGCTGCTCCTTGGGAAGGAAAGGATATACAGCAGGATGCGATGGAAGTTCAGTCACGTGGAAAGTTTTCAATATTTCCACGCTGTCGTATGTAACGTGAACTTTGGTCCCTCGAGCCTCAGTGAGAACCGGTAGATATCTTAAGTAGAGCTCTCCGTGTACACTGTGTAGAAAGAAGAAATGCCGAGTGAGTCTCGAGACACACGCAAGGCAGCTATGACTCTGACCTTCGAATGGTAGTGCGATCGTGGAAAGCCTACTGACCAGGTCTGTGAAAGAGAGGGCCGCGAATGCGAGTACACTTATCATCTTGAGAAGCGAAAGTTGGTGCGAGAGTGTTTCGGGTATAAGAACGTTGTTGCTAATACTGTTCTAGGGCCGCCTACTAGGTGCTATATCCATGCGCTTCACTTGAGGATTGCTTTTCTAGAACATCAACTTGCAACAACGCGGGAAGTTACAGAAAGTAGCCTGTTTTCGGCATTGCGTTCAGGCGCGGACGAGGAGGCTGGGACGGCGCCCTGCACAGAGATCCTTGGTCTCGGCCAGCGACTCCTTGACCCTATCTCTCTGGGCATTTCAAACTTCAAGCCGGATTTCCAACTTCGTGGGGCATGCGGCCTGTTCTCGTCCGGGGCTCAGAACGAAGAAGACAGATGGCCTGGTCCAGCGAACATCTTCGTGAACAGCGATGCGCTGACAGGAGGACTCTCATGGCGCACAAGCCCAGCTCCTGGAAGATCTCTGGGCCTGGCGAAATACTTGGCCAGTTCTAATCCATGAGCCTCTGTTCCGGCGAGATCGGTCTCAGGACGGAGTCAATAATTACTGCACGTCAACCCTCTTGGCTGCAGCACTGGCTGTCTCTGCGCAGTATGCTAGTGAACACCAACTCCGAGTCTAGGGCACATCCTCCGATGCCCTCGCTCAGCACACAAAGCGCTTGGTTCTCGCTCAAATAGAGTCCCCAAGTCTACCCCTCATTTTAGCAGCAGCTCGTCTTGCTCTTAGGCAGTTAACAGTCGACAGCCTATTTTCAGTCTCCCAGTTTATTGGTAAACAGACCCCATGGCCTATATCTATAATAATACACCGTCTATAGGGATCGCTCTTTGACTCTCAGATTACACTCGAAGTCTCCGGGAGTGGATGATTCCGTACCAGGCAGAAAAGACCTTCAGGAAGCCCGGTTTATTGCGTGGTCTGGTACTTGGATGCTGGAAAGGTCTGATTTCTCCGTGCTTTGTTACATGGGCAGATGGCTGATAATTCAATAGGCATATAACTCAGATTCTTGGCCAGCCGAGTGCTGTTCGGCAATGTGATATGCGGCCAGCGTCAGTCCCCATTATTCCGAGTGTGGAATATCGCCTGTGGCCGACACCTGATATGTCATATTCGTGTATGTCAATATGCGTGCAAATTAATACATATGGTATGCCCAATCCTTGATGAAATGTGAGTATATAACGCGATATGGCAATGAACAAGAATGCATAAGAATTTTACCTGCCTGCCCCCTTGCTAGAAACATTCTTATAAATCTCTGCTTATCATACATCCAGCTACGCACTAATTTTACCTGGTCCTCTCAGACTACCTGCCGCTGCCACAAAGCAACTCAGTCCACCTGTATACTAATTCAAGTAAGTGGCCCTAGACATGCACAGACATGCACAGCAGCTGAATGATGGAAAGCTTATATATATGAGCTTTACTTTATCATACCCTGAAAATTATGCTTCATCATCCACTTATCCAGGTTGTTCCATCAATTCACAGCTTACAAGACTCAAAGAGCCCACGAATGGTGCATCTCCAGTCAGCCACGTTTTCGGTTCTTCGCATTACGTCTATAATCAATGCGTATAGAAATTTCTACCCCCTTGTGAGTGTTCTGTTTGTCTGAACAACCTACGACTCTTATTTCTTTCACTATATCATAGGAAAACAGATCTTTGTTTAAGTTTACTTCCCAGTTTTTTCTGGTAAAGTATCTGATTTGGGTGACTACGATCTAGGAGACACTGTCGCCATTTACTGTCAACAGTTTGACGTTTTCGTCTCTTATGCATCTTCTCAGCGCCAACTCGAATGATGAAAGACTGTCGCACCGAACAAGACACCTTTATAACCTCAACCTTGGCTTCCTGAATCAGATGAACTCGACGAATAAGTGCAGCGGTCGCGCAATTAAAGCCATTAAGTCAATCGAGTACGATCCAATCAAATGCATGTTTACCCAACTTGGTTGCAGCGAAGCTCCTCTATGTGGCTCAACAGGTGAACTCCGCGGATAATTTTATCTCTCAGCACGGAACAGGCACAACAAACAACAACACTGGAGTCGATGGGTGTATCACAAAACCTGTGTAATACGGGGGACCTTTCGATTGGTTTCAGTTGCCTTTGAATGACAGCTTGTCTTCGATGATGTCTTTGAGGATTCTTTGTGGGAAGAAGCATGCGAAAGTCATCCCCTCCCTGGAGGCGCACGACCACACCAAGAAAACGAACCTGTGGTACCTGCACTTGAGCTCTCCCATCGATAAATGCCCGCTATGGGAATAACTCCTGTACTGTCGCAAATGGTGATTTTCCCTGCTGCTTTAAGGAGGGAGCTCAATATATCAGAGACTTGATTTACAGGTAGCACCTTCCAGAAGATACTACATTGTCACAAAGCCCATCCTATCTGTATTTCATTCGCGAGCATGGTTAACACAACCTATCCAGTGTATAGACGCGCGTAGAAACTCTTTAATTTTTTTTTTTTTTTTTTTTTTTTTTTTTTTTTTTTTTTTTTTTTTTTTTTT